CTTGTTTCAGCCTAGAAAAAGGAAGGGTTGGTGGCAGTGGACGTGGTAGTCAGAAGGAGCTTCTTCCACCACGGGTCCCCCCAACGCAATTAGGTGTGTGCCGGCACCACGCTTGATTCGCACGCTCTCCAACAACCCGATTTTTTGCGCGGGGGGCTTTGGCTAGAGAATTTTTGGTTGCACCGTAGACATGGGTCGGGGGGAGGGTAATTTGGGTGGGAGTTGGGATTTAATAGAGGTTGGCAACTTTTAGGTTGGAAGGGTGTATGGATTTTAGGTATAGATTTATCAAGTTGCTGCGATGCTCAAAAGCTTTAGTAAATGTCGCGGCACGCAAAGAGTATACCCGTCCTTAGATTGCGTAATCGATTACGAAGTTTTATTTTAGGAAAGCGGCGCTTGCGCGTTGCGTGTCGCGGTTTCGCGGTTTTTCCCAAATTCTTCCAAATTCTTCTTAAATCTATTTCCATTGGCTTATTCCTTACCCGCCACACGCAGCGCGTGAACCATTCCGTTGCGTAATTGAATCCCGGCCGAACGACGCGCGCGCGTTGCGTGTCGCAGCAACCACAAAATCGATAGAATCCATGACTTGTCCGTTCCTTTAAATTCTTTAGTCACCTCGCGCACATCATTCCATAGTGTAACCGATTACACTATTTTTTTCTAACGTACGATGCGTGTCGCGGTAACGACACAATCCATAGCATCGATGACTTCTCCATCCCTTTCATTTCCTTATGTTTTCGCACCGATCAGAACACACAAATTGATCCCCCTCGTGTTGTTATTCGATTACCAAAAACTCCCCTAGGACTCCACCTTCAAGTCTTTTTGAGCATCATCCACCCCCAGAAGCTTTGTTCCCCTCTTCGATTTGACGCCAATTAGCGTCGGCGCGGGCGAGGAGGGGCTGCGGGGAGGGCCAGCCGTTTTTATGGTCCTTCCAGCTGCATCCAGCAGTTCGTGCTCAGCTCCTCTTGCTGGCTAGTCAAATCTAGGCACTCTTTTCCAAGGCGCATGGTTCGGAATTTTCCATTTTTCAGACCCGATAAATTTTTACGAGACTCGGGCTCGTTTTTTGGTGGCTGAAAGGAGCAGCAGGATTGGCTAGTTGGGGGGAGCAGGAAGGAAGGAAGGCTAGTGCTAGAGGGGGATATGTAGTGAGGTGAGGCGCCACTGCGGGGTGTGCGCAATCTGATGACCTGAGTGCTAGACGGCTAGGCGACGCCGCCCCCCCCCCCCTTTAGCCACTAGCACCACCAGCAGCAGCCTCTTTTTGAGGGAAATTGGTTTTGATGGGCTAATGGGTGGTGGTGAGGGATGTGGCTTTGGACGATGTGGTTGCGTTTTATAGGCCGGGACAAGGATTTTTTTGGTTGGGGTTTAATTTCTGTCATTATTAGCATTTATTTTGTTGTTTTAAGATGTTAGCTTTATGTTCTCGTAGTTTTTAATTAAGGTAGATATAATTTTCCGAAGATCCTATGTAGTTTTTTAGGATTAGTCATCCTGATCAAGCTCACGACTCCGAAAACGCTCTTGAAATGAGTCATTTATTGACTTCCACGACCCTTTAAAACCATGCTGCGTCTTTTTAAAGGGACCGGCAAGGCCAGAGCCCATGGATTTCTTATGAAGCCGCCACACGCAACGCACGCGCCGCGTTTTATTGACTTGAACGTACCTTTAAAACGTTCTAGCCGGTTTTAGAGACAGTCAATGCATAGACGCTATGGATTTTTCTAGGGAGATCCCACGTGCCGCGACATGCAACGCGTCGTGACGCCTATCCGCGGCGACAGTGGAACTTTACGTTACGCAATGAAAAGACCAGCGCGCGCGTTGTGTGTTACGATCTGGCATAATCCATAAGGTATTCATCGCCGAAAAAAATCCATATCCAGTCCTTGACTGTCCCTTTAAAAAAATTTTCACTGAATTTCCATGTTCTTTTGGATAAATGTGTTTTGCATCGGAAATCTATAAACAATCTTCTTCCCACTTTTTTCTCGCTGAAACCCAGCCAAAAGCTATTTTGTTGAATTTTCCTAATTGCCTCGAGTCCCTCCCCTTTCTTGCACCCAACCCCCTCTGCAGTGATCGGGTCAGTGTTATTTAGCTCTCCATCCACAAACAGCCCTTCAAAAAAGGGGGAAAAGCTTGCTGCCACAGCTCCAACTGGCTGGCTGCCAGGGGGTGCTCTCCACAGCGCGTAAAGGTGAGAGTGGTTGCAGCCCTAGCAGAGAGGGCAGGTGAGTGAGCCTTCTCGGGGGTCTTCTTCGTCCTTCTTCTTCCTCTTCTTTTGTGGTATCCTCCCCTTCCTCACCTTTGGTATGGGAGGGGGGAGACGCGTCACTGTTTGATCAATCGATCAAACACGCCCCTAGGCGTTGGAAGGTGGTGGGGGTGCTGCATTCTTCCCTGCGGATCCTCCTCCTCTTGGCGTCACTCTGGTTGTGCTGGAGGGGCCGGTACTTTTACTCGACAACAACAGATAGAACAGCTTGAAACGAGAACGATATCTTGATCTTAAAACGGAGAAAGATCGACCGGTTTTTCAGAGATACCGTACCCGTCACAAATCCTCAACTCCGTAGTGATACCCTAAATTCTTTAAAATGAAATAGAAGCTGATTTAAAGCCTGGTATTACTTTTTAACCTTTTTTTAACCGCCGCTTAGCAGTTCCGGAAAAACCCCCCCTCGATCAGCTTTTGATTTTCTGACTCCGCTTTCCATTTATGTATGCAAATCGGATTACTCTGGTCCGAAATTTTTCTTTTTCCGCCTCTTGCTGCTATATTTTTGGAAATTTTCCCTCTCGGTCGGCTTGTCCATTGTTTTTGCCGTATGATTTATGTTTTAAAGCCAAGCTAAAATCTAAAACAATATTGTAAAAATCTTATTTTATTTATTTATTAGCCTGCTGCTCATTTTTAAATATCATTAGCCCGAAAATTTTTTTATTTCCGTCTCTTGCCGTTATATTTTTAAAAATATTTCTCTCGTACTCTTTTTCTACAATTATTCTGTATCATTCTTGTTTTGAATTAAAAAAAAAGTTAAAATCGAGAAAAAGTCGTTAGAAATTTGTTCTTTTAATTCTAGTGTAATTTTTATGATCTCGAAATCACTTTTATTATTATTACCTCATTTCCTCGCTAAAAATTACACCTTCTAGCTACGTTTCGATACCCCAAAACGCCACCCTATTCCCCCAAAAGCATATCATTATTCCTTCGATCCCGTCTTTTATGGTCTCATCTTATTTCGACTCATCTCACGCGGGGGTCCACAATGGCCATCCCTATACCCCGAGAAATGCCCATTCTCGGGCCCTTGCTCTCTCTCTCTCTCTCTCTCTCTCTCTATCTCTCTCTCTCTCTCTCTCTCTCTCTCCCTCTCTCTCTCTCTCTCTCTCTCTCTCTCTCTTTCTCACGCTCCATAATTTCCATAAGGCTTCTCGTATATGATGGATTAGCGGCCGTTCCCTCACCACCAACGAACCCGAAATGATTCGTGTTTTCCCTAGCCCCCAGGGCGACGACAACTGTTCTGTCTTCCTCTCAATACCCTCACCCTACCTCCTATAATCCCTCCCATCCATGTGAGGGGTCTCTATACAAGAAAAGAAATAAGAAAAAAGGCAATACTCTGGGGGGTGAGGCTGCTCTTGTTCTGTGTTGAGTGATACGGATATCCGGTTACCACGCGCGCGTCCCCCTCAGCTAGTAACAACCATTTTCGAATCCGCGTCGCTGCGTTCTTTTTTACACAGCCGTTTGGTGGGGGCCTGGGCAAATAGTGGAGTGTTGCAAATATGGGTGTAGTCATGTCTGGATCGAGGGGGAATTGGACTAATAATCGCGTTGTAAAATTAAGCGTGTTTTTCTGGTTTTAACTAATTTTGGTTACTGTTTTTATCGAAGAAGTGCTAATTTTGACATTTTGTACAAATTATGTTTTTGTAGCGCAGAAATTTAAGCTTGACTCTGCTTAGGCTTCGGCTTAAAGCTTCGGGCAGACTTGTTAGGCTTAAGTCAGGATTACACTTGGCCTAGGCTCCGGCTTAGGCTAAAGCTCACTAGCTGGTCTTTTCTTGCATCCTAAACTTTTATTAAATTAAATTTTGCGTTTTTCAAGGTCGGGATTAAGTTTATACTTTGCTTGGACTTTGCATGGGCTTTGCTTCGGCGTAGGCTTGGCTTAGGCTTAGGTTGGGCGTAGGCTTAGGCTTGGACCTCGGCTTAGGCTTTGCTTAGGCTTAGACTTAGGCCTAGGCTTGGGCTTAGGTTTTGCTTAGGCTTAGGCCTAGGCTTTGCTTTGCTTAGTCTTCAGCATTTTCGTCGCTCGATTTGAAAATTTGCAATTCGTGTATTTTTTCAAAATCCTGTTTTTTGCCTTCAACATCCCTTAAATTCTTAACTTCAAAACTCTCTCCACCCCCAAAAAAAACTTGTTTTTCTCCATGAATTCAACAGTAGCTTGCCTTCCCTCGCTCTTCCCGGCAGTGTCCTCGTGCGAAAACCACCCCACCACCCAATATTCCCACGTTCCAAGCAGCGCCTCGGAAAGGACGCGCGCGCCCTTTCCGGATTCAAACTCCTTCCCGACTTTCTTCGCCTCCTCCTCGTTCTTACTTTTGGCGCTCATCCCCCTTTTCGGGGGTTGCTGCTCACCCCCCGTTTTTATGTGTGGCTTTGAATGGGTAATCAGGATCGTCGGCGTGCCTTTTTCGGTGGCCACCAAAATTGATTTTTCTTGTTGACAACTCTGGCCGCATCCCAAATGCGCACTACCTTTTTGCATTTCGATGGTGGGGGTATTGTTAGGGATGGGAAAAAGGCTGTGTTTTTTTATTGATTTTTTGAAGATTCAATTCGTTGTATTCCGTGTTCTCTGATTTCGACAGTTTATTTTTAAGGTATCTATCTATTAATTAGTTTTAGCTCTATACAACGAAAGCCTGAAGGGCTGCCCAGCTTGCAGTTGAAGACCATGTCGTCTTTCTTCTGCATGCCCTTCAGCTGTAATCGGCAAATCGACTCATTTGATAGAAGGCAGTGTAATTTACAGGTACGTATTAGTACGATTTATACCTAATTACACCCAATAATCACTCATATAATACGGTAAAAAAAAATTGCAGACCGTCCCCCATGATGTCGAACGATATGCCAGATGGCTGGAAGAGCTCCTCCTTGACTGCAACCATATCAAAGAGCTCCCAAAGGTATCGAAAATTAAAGGAAATTGATTTTCCGATTTTAGTGTATTTTCCGCTGCACGAGACTGCGCAGACTCTCGCTGAGGGACAACGACATCTACAGGCTGCCCCCAGAGATCTCGCATCTTGTTAGCTTGGTGGAGCTGAATCTTGGAAGAAATGGTACGTTACTTAACTTACCTTGACTTACTTTACCTTAACAATACCTTAAAGTCAAAAACAAATCTAAACCATTTTTTTAGATATCTCCGACATCCCCGAAGAGCTCAAAAACTGCAAGCTGCTCCAAATTGTTGACCTTAGCTCGAATCCGATTACGAGGTATCTAAAAATCACCTATTAAATTTTAACTCCGCCAGGTTACCCGCAACTATCACTCAATTGCCTACATTAACGAAACTTATGCTCAATGATGTTTCTTTGACGGTTCTGCCGGCCGATATCGGGCAGTTGGCCGAGCTCAGGTATGTAAATTATACCCAACTTTGATTTGGATTTGAAATTCAGGGTTTAAAATTATTTTTCAGGGAGCTTGAGGTCCGTGATAACCTTATCCGGACTCTTCCGCCCTCTCTATGCCAATTAACAAAATTACAAGTGCTGGACCTTGGGCAGAACGAGCTGGATTTATTGGTATGTAAATTATCACAAGTTTATGTGCTTTTTAGCCACCAAACATCGGCAATATGCTGGCCTTAAGAGAACTGTATGTTGATAATAATGATTTGGAGCTGCTGCCGGAGGAAATTACGAAGTAAGAAATATTTTGATGGCTTTTTCTCCTCCTATGTAACTTTTCTATACTTTTTATTGTAATTCTCTCTATCTAGATGTCGTCAACTCGATTCCCTGGACGCTTGCGAGAATCGGCTACGACAATTGCCCGATGACATCGGCCATTTGGAACATTTAACCGAATTGAATGTCTCCAACAATTGCATAAGCGACATCCCCCATTCTATCGGGCGCTTGAAACGACTTGTCACACTCAAGGCCGAGAAAAACGCGATCAACCAGTTGACACAAGCTATCGGAAGCTGTGTATCATTGGAAGAAATTCAGGTATCATTATTACCATTACTTTAATATATCTTTAGTTGACCTCAAACAACATCAGCGAGATCCCATCCTCGATTGGAAACTTGACAAGGCTCAAATTTTTGCATATGGATCAAAATCATTTGACGACGATACCTCCTACGGTAGTTCAAAATCAGCTATTGAAATTAAGACAAATTTAGATTGGTGGCTGTGCTGCTCTAACCACCCTAACACTTCGTGAGAATCAGATCTCTGAACTCCCGATGGACATCGGAAAGTGCGAACGGATGTCGGTGCTCGATCTCTGCTCAAATCGGCTTTCCTACCTCCCCTTTACGATTAACGTCCTCTTCAAGCTGCAGGCTTTGTGGTTGTCGGAAAATCAGGTAGGAATTTTTTTAACTATATCTATATTATGCTTTTTCAGTCCCAAGCTATGCTCAAGCTGCAACAAGAACGCGACCCACGGACTGGCGTGAAAGTGTTGACTTGTTATTTGTTGCCCCAACACGGTGGACAAGCGCCAGGTAGGCTTATTAAAACGGTATACATCTATTAAATTCTAGTGTATCCTACTATATATAAAAAAATAGTGTTTGTGTGTGTGTGTGTGTGTGTGTGTGTGTGCATTTGCATGCAACTTCCGTCCGTATGTTCCAGTCGTATCTCGATAGGGGAGGAAGTTAAAGCTATGTATGATACGTCATTAGGTGCGTAATGGTCATGACACGACTGCACGCATATGAGATTTTTAAAAATTAGCAGTTTTCGATATTAAAATTCAGTTTTTGTGAAAATCTCGCCCGGGCTCTTTGTTAGGAATCAATTAGCATGCATCGGAAGTGGGGGAAGCCTATATAATGGGGGAGAGGGCGCGCTTTTCATTTTTCTGCATAGGAATTCAGGTGTTTATGCAAAGTGACGAAGTATGGGGGTCAGACGGGGGCCAGGGTTGAAAAGTCGCGAAGCGGCTTTTCAACCCTGGTGATATTATTAAATTATATATTATATTGTGTGGGTGTCCCAAAAAAAAACCCCCCTACCTAGCGGTCCGCAGTCGATTCCGATTTTTACGATTTAGGTATCTATCGAAAGCTCTCGAAAAGGCGAGAAAACAAGGAGGGTTGAATTTCTTAATTAAGCCTTTTTATTTGCTAATTTTATGTCCAAAAACCATGAAAACTGCTGATTTATGCGAGATCTGCATGCTAATTGCGTAATTCCTGATGAAAAATTCCCGGCTTTTTAGGAAAACCTGACATATCGATAGAATCAGATTAAATCTTAGAAAACGAAACCCGCTTGTTTTCTCGCCTTTCCGAGAGCTTTCGATTGGTATAAAAATCATTCCGATCCGATCCGATTGACGGCCTCTAGAGGGGGGGTTTTTTTTGGGACACCCTGTAGACTATATTAAAACTTTATAACTGAAAATTCAGAATCCGAACGCCCGGCAGCCAAGCAAGCATTCGTTGGAGGACCCAAGGTCCACTTCCCTGATATGAACAACACGGTGGAGGAGGAGAAGGTTAGTCGATTCAAATTTTACAGCTGCCAGGTAGCTGCCTCGGTACTGGGCTGTTAGCGGGGGGGGTTAGCAGCGTCGACAAATTTTTGTTTACCGCCTGTTAATAGCATTTTTATGGTGTTTTCGTACTTTTTTATTCCTACAAAGCCATACAACCATTTTTAAAATTTTGAAAAACCAAAAAATGTTTACTTTTTTAGTCCTTTCCATAAATTTTTTAGCGAAAAGCTAATTTTCGACATTTTTATACTTTCGATGCATTTTTATCTCTAAAAGCCGTAAAATGGTTGATATTTTCGCAAGAAAACTGGAGGATTACTGGAAAAAATTCACTCCTCCTTGCTAAATCCGCTAACAGCCCAGGTCCGCTTCCTCTCAAAAACAAATGAAAACCGCTAAATCGCACCCAAAAAGGAGCCCGTAAATTGTTTCAGACTCCTAGACGGATGCGTACCCGACAAAAACCTTGGTAACACAACAACCTGGCCTTTCCCTCCCCCCAAAGTCACTTGATTTTTTCGTTCGTCCATCCTGTAGGCCCTCGAGAAATAGCATGCAAATCGACGGCACCGGCTTATGGCGGGCCGGACAAGCGCTTCTTGTACGCAGAAACCAAAAAATCTAGAATCTAAAAAGTTTTTCTTGAAGTGCATGCCGTCTTTTCGCGACCAGTTTCCGAGTTATATATAAAAACCCATTTTAATGCTTAAATTTAGAACATGCCCCTCGGCAACTTCGAGAGGCACGGAACCCCGCATCCGAAGCCGCACGCCGCCAAGATGAAGAAGAACACGATTGACGGGCATATTATACACCATGATGATGAGCAGGTAAGATTTAGATACTTTTATGTATCGTAAAATTGAGACTTATATAATATTATCTATATTATCTTTATTAAATTTAGGGTCACCCTTCAAATATTGCTCTCCAACCGAAACGGTCGACCGACAACTCGTTCGTGACGTCGCCGACGCAGTCGAATGGGGCTCCGGGAACCTCGTCTACAGTACTACCACCAAGGTGTGTTACGGATTTAGGTATTAGCTTGCTTATAAAGTTCCTTAACTGGGCCAGTTTAGGCTTAAGCTTAGGCTTAGATTTGGGCTTGGGGTTAGGCTTAGGCTTGCTTAGGCTTAGGCTTAGGCTTGGGCTTAATCTTAGGTTCGGGCTTAGGCTTAGGCTTAGGCTTGAGGCTTTGCTCTCTCTTGCTTACTTTTTTCCTGAACGCTTCCGGTTCATTTCCGTTTGGGATGCTTTTTAAGAGTTTTAGAGCTTCTATACAAAATCATTAATTTTCAGATCGGCCCTCCGATTACCACCAGTCCCCGTCCAACAGTACGTCCCTGAAAACCACACAACCACCCCCGGCGACCACGATTCTGGCACGGCCACCGGAAGTGCCCACTCCTCCCAGCAACAGCTCAACAACTACGTAAGTCCCCTCACCTATCCTCTTCCGTTTTCTGCTTTCGTCACATGAGTTTTAGTGGGCTGGTAGGGTATGTAAGGTACCACACAAAAACACTCAAAATCTGGTGGTCTCACGTAATTACACCTGAAAAAGTAACTTTGTATCAAAAATTGGGTTAAGTCATGTGATTTTACAGTGAAAGGTAGCTTAAAAATGTGAATCACACTTTTTAATAGCTATTATAAAGTGGCTTACACGTGTCTTTTAAATATTGAGTTGGGAATTCCGGGGTCCCATGGCCATGGCCTAGCTCCGGGTCCAATCCGCAAAACAAGTGCTCCGGGCGGGGGTCGAACCCGCATCCTACGGCTTTCGAGTCCGATGCTCTCCCTATTGAGCTACCGAAGCACGCGGAATGCCTCTCTCGGGGCAGCTATCCATGCCGGCCCCTCACATCCAACTATTGCCTAAAAACGTGGGCCATGTAAGCTTTTGGGATCGTGCAGGAGCGTTCGGTTGCCTTCGCCACCGGCACTGAAGAGGAGCACCGTCAAGCCCGCCTGAAGCGCGTCAACACGCCGCACTACGGGAAACAGAAGGCCGGCCAGCGGCCGACAAACCCTACTGAGGTACCCAGCCGGAAATAGCTTGCCAGTGGAGCTTGCTCTAACTATTGCTTCAAATCATCTGCCATTTGCGTGTGTCATTATAATAAACGTCGTGCCTTCCGCTTCCACTAACTGCGTGTGTGTCATCGAGGAGTGAGAAATGAGGGCGAGAGAATGGAGAGTTGTATGGAGTTGAATGAGATTCTTGGTGTTGCTGTCGCTGTCGTTCGGGGTGGGGTGGGGTCTTTAGGGGTTTAAAAGGATTGGCAAGGCATGAATATGGATTGCGCTTGAAGATGAGTACTTTAGTACGGGCTTCTGCCTTATTATTCTTTTAGTATATTAACTCGTTTTTAAAGGGACTGGCAAGGCATGATTATCGAGACAATGGCAAAGGCAGACAATGGATCGGCCATTTTCCTGCTATCGATTTCTTATAGATTTTCTTAGGCATACCGCGACATGCAACGCGATTGCCGGCTTTTGCATCGCGTAAATGAATACGGCGGTCAAGTGGCGCGTAAGCTTCGTCATTCCATGGCGTAATAGATTCCTCCGCTTTTGCGTGGGTTAGCCCGCGTAAGCGTTGCGTGTCGCGGGTTCAGCAAAATTCCTAAAGAATCCAGTTCCTAGAAAAATCCATATGCAACCTTTTCCCGTTGTTTAAATATGGGTTAAAAGGGTGAAATTAGCATTTAGCTCCTCAAAAATTACCCCCATATAACCAGAAATTTTTTTGGTTTATTCGATTCCTCAAATTCGGGATTCGATCCTTTCGAATTCCGGCTCTTCACATCCCGTTTCTCCAATTTTCCCAGCAGTTATATAGCAATTGCAAACACCGGGGGTATCGGGGCTGCAAACGTGTTTCGTTACTCCCTCCTCCTCCTCCTCTACCCGCGGCTACACACGCATGTGAGGCTTCAACAAAACGCCGGCTACAGATGTTGGGGTCACCTCTTGTTTTCCCTCGGCCATGATCAGAGAAGTGCGGCCGACTGGGCTTGTTTGCCTCCTACTACTCCTCCTTCTCCTCCTCCCGGGGATCCCATTCCGTATAGCAGTATTTACCTGCGGAAACAACGTCTTCTTCTTCTCCATCTACCCGCTGGGGCCCACATTGAATGCCCTCGGCTCGTTTTTATGGGGCGCCGCCGTCCCGTTTTGTCTTACCCTCCAGGGCCCAGGTCCGTCTCTTTTGAGTTTGACAGCTGTTGTTCCGTCAATACATCCGTCATCACACCCGGCTTTAGGCGGCTCAGAAGGGCTTTTCCAGGGCCCCGAACTCGCTCTCGGCTTGACTAATTTCAGTTTTGGAACCGGCATTTGTGTATTCCGTAGTGCTGTCGTATACAGGGCATTTTGAAGGAAATACAACGTCTTCGAGCAGTTCGGAAGATTTTTGGATTTTTATGATTTTTGTAGTTATCGAAAGCTCCAGAAAATGTAAGAAAATATGAGCGGATATTTTCCACTTAAATATTTTATTTCTCGAATTTTCGTATCGAAAATAGCTTTATATAATTCATACGTATAAAGGCATTATAGAATTTTAAAATCCAAAATTTTCATTTTGAAAAACTTTTATTAAATTATTAATTTAGGAAATATTGTTAATTCGAAGTCGCCATTTTTCTCCCTGTTTCAAAAGCCTTCGATATAAAAATCATTCCATTCCGACCTTCCCTTGAACTGCTAGAGGATGTTGTTCCCTCGACACCCCTTGTAAAACTATACTTTGGCTGTAATTTGGGGTGCGCACGGTTCTCTGCAAGCCTTAAAGAAAGTGATAGCTCTTAGCCCTCGGTTGCTTGTCCCCCAAAAAATTGTTTGTGTACTCTGTTGTCCATGTCGGCCTTGCAGACAGCCGTTCCGCACCCAGCTTTGCACCCAACCCAAACCGCACCAAAACGTTGGCTTATTTGCAGATGAACCGATCCTCATCCTCACTCCGCGGCGTGCCCGAGACGCAGATACTTTACATCACCGTGAATCGGGACGAATCCGGAAGTCTTGGGCTCTCCATAGCCGGAGGGATGGAATCGACACCTTACAAAGAAGGAGACCAAGGCCTGTTCATCTCCAGAGTCACCCCCGGCGGCCCAGCAGACAAGGCTGGACTCCGTCAAGGTGATAAGCTGCTGAAAGTCAATGAAGCCGACGTCGTGAATGTACGACATGACGTGGCCGTACAGAAGATGCAATCCAACAGGGCACGAATAGAATTGACGGTCCTGCGCACAGATGAAGCCCCGGCGGCCAGCTCGATTCGAGTAAGTGACCCCCACCCCCAATGCACCTCTACCCCCTATTGCTTCTCCCCCTTTCACGCACACACCTATATGTGCTATACAGGCTTGCCAATAAAAAACAGCCCGGATTTGTCGTAAAATATCGGGTCGTAGTGGTAGTTACACAATTCGAAAGCCCTTTAAATGGTGGGCTTGCAACAATCTTTAAACCATGTTTTTACTTAACTAATTACTTTTATACAAAAGTTAAAAACTTTCAGGAACCATAACTTCCGGTCGTTTTGTTAAGAAAGTAGAGGCAAATTAGCTCGTATGCAACTTTACAAAATTTAAGCAAGTAAAGCAACTTTTACAAAATAGTCATTTCCGGTCATTTTGCCTTAGTAACTTAAGACAAATTAGCTCGGAAAATTTTACAAAATTGCTTGTAAAATCGCTCATTTAAATAAAAACATGGTTTTTAATTGTACTACAAACTCACCGTTTCAAGCGCTTTCACTGGTGTACTATCGTTCCGATCCGATACTGTTTCCGTCGAGTTTTAGGGACTGTTTTTGATTGGCACACCCTGTAAGATTTTGGCAAAAACCAGGCACTATCTGTCATTTTCGGCTCTATGTTATACATCCGGGCGGTGCGCTTCTGGGGTGCTTTCGCTGAATAGAAGAGGCTGATTGATGTGCTATAGATATATCGGGGCCGGCTGGTAGACTAACACTTTCGGTTAACACATGATGGGGATGGTGTTGAATGAGCGACTGGGGCTGACGGACTGGTATGGTATGACCGGACGTTAAGCTTCAGGAATCTGCCTCAAATCACCCACCGAAGTAAGGCAAGGTTATACGGTATCTTTTCAGCAATCCCCGAATGTGAGTCAATCGTTGGATACGTCGATCAGATCGGAGAACAATGATAGCTTGTCGCGGGAGACCGTTACGACAACTATCAAGGTGAGTCAAAAACCATATTTTTTAAAATGTCGAAATTATAAAAATATCGAAACTTCTAAGACCGAAATTTATAACCATATTCTAGCGTGATTCTGCCACCGGATCCCCAGGCTTCACCATCGCTGGAGGAACTGGGGTCGGAAAGGACCTCTTCTACATCTCTCAAATCACTCCAGGTGGAGCTGCAGCTAAGGATGGGAAAGTTCAGGTAAAAGTATTTCCGTCGATTTTCTAAAGCAATTTTTAGATCGGCGATCGCGTACTGTCCATCAACGGAACCTCCCTCCGAGGAGCACGTCACGATCAAGCCGTCGCCCTCCTGACTGGCCACGCTGACAGCGAAGTATACCTAGTGGTACAAAGAGAGCGACCATCCCTGACCTCTCCCCTACCACCGGCTGTCACATCGCCCACAAACACCATCGCTCCTCCCACAATCGCGCCAGGCCTCGTTCGTGCTCCCTCAAGAAGCGCTCCCCTGAATCTCCTTGGGGATACGACGTCCTGGGACGGTCACGAGGATGAGGTCGAGCTCACAAAGGACGGCCAATCGCTTGGTCTCTCCGTCGTTGGTGGTGCTGACCATTCATCACACCCATTCGGTATCAAGAGCCCCGGCGTGTTCATCTCCAAGATTGCCGTTAACTCGCCCGCGTCGAAATGTGGGCGGCTACGTGTCGGTGATAGGATCTTGATGGTAAAGGAAATCGAATAAGTCAAAAACAAAGGCTCATTTAGGTCGATCGTACTGATGTCCGTACAGCAAAGCACGCCGATGCTGTAGCTGCACTAAAGCACAGCCAAAACAAGGTGCTGCTCCGGGTTCATCACGATCCACAGCCAGCAGGGTTGAAGGAGGTAAGCAAAAGTCGCAAAAAACCTTGAAATTACAATAAATTTTGCAAAAATGCTTTTTATGAAAAATTAAATTTCTCGGCTAAGGGTCATTTCTATCATCTAATTTTCTATTTCTAGGCTACCGTACTCCGGCGAGAAGGCGGCACTCTGGGCATTTCGATCCACGGAGGGGTGAGAAATACCCCCGCCAATCCGCACGACTCGACCGATGAAGGGATATTCATCGAACGTGTTGAGCCGGGCAGCGTCTCCGAGGCCGCCGGGCTCGTTCAGGGATTACGCATTATCGAGGTATGTCACGAAAACCGCTTAGAAATCTTAAAAAACCCCCAAAAACGAGCCGGAATTCTGCTGCCTTACAGTCTCGCCTTCGTCCCCGAAATTGGGCCAGAGCTGTTTCAGGCCCTAAATAACAACATTTTTGACTTATAGGCCGGTAGTTAGAGTAAATCTTGAGTTACAGCAAAACAAAACTTTATTTTACATTTTTGAAAAGGTTCTCATGAGATAAGACCCCTAAGTTTAAGTGAAAATGAATCGAAAGACCTTCTTTACCATAAGACATTTTTCCGGATTAAAATTAACAAATAATCCTCGATTTCACGATTTTTACAACGCAAAATTACCCAAAATTTTAAGCGGAATTAAGGGTTTAGAAGCGGAAGTCGATGCAATTCTATCTAAATTCGAAAAATATAACCGAAAAACTGTTTACAACTGCGGAAAAAACAGTATTTTCGTTGTAACTTGAAAACTACTGCGCTATAGGGCTATAAGTCAGGATTATTGTTATTTAAGGTACGATACAGGCCTGGTCCAATTTTAGGACCGCTCGGAAGTAAGGTGACGAAATTCGGGAAGGGTATTTTTGGGACATATGAATTTATATGACGTTTCTTCGGCGAAATGCAACAAAAACAAAACAAAAACTATAGGTCAACGGCGAAAGCTTGCTCGGCTGTACCCAAGACGAAGCCGCCGGTTCCCTCCGACGACACCCCGAACTGAAGATGCTCGTCTGCGACGGCTACAATCGCGCCTCAAACCGGGTAGGCCAAGGCTCGATGACCACCCTCATCCATTAATTCTCATCCTCCCCAAATCCCATGATCCCAGTAATTCTCTTTGTATACAAATATACAAATATTCTAGTCGTTGATCTTTCCCCCAAATTCCTACCCCATCCCCTCACCCTTTTTTATATTTTATTCTAGCCCATGTGCCTTATCCCTTGGAAGTCTCACCAAGCGGGTGCTTTTCATTAATCGGTTCTTTGGCATTATCGGGGGAGCCAACTTTTTCTTAGGATCTAATAGTGGAAGAATTTCTAAATTGTTTTCTACTATCCACAAACGTCAAAACTTTACAAAACTAATATCAAAATATCGATTTTTCGACCAAATATGGCCGATTTTTTACCAAAATTTCGACTTTTTAAAGTTTTTAGATAGTTTTCGAGTTGAAATAGAGTTATCTATTACTAAAAACGCTATTAAAACACTTGCTATTAAGTTACTAGACATTTCTAAACATATACAAAAAAAAGTCGGTCCTCCTCCCGATAATGCGAAAGAAGCCCTCAATTATTACTTTTTGATAACTCAAAATCCTCGAACAAATCAAAAATCCCTACCGTACCCTTCCCTAAACAAATCTCAGTCAATTTCTGGGCGCCAACTTCTAGGCAATATTTCATTACCATGTGTGCATCATCTCAGCCGATATGTGATACTTCAATTCCGGCCCTAAAAACCATTTTTGGGCTCCCCAGTTCCTTTTTGTGGGCATTGTGATAATTATTTTTGGGCGCTTCCCCCCTATCTTTCGGTGGTTTTCTATACGTTGCTCCAGCCAAAAGAGCGTACATAAAATTGAGACCTGAAATACCAAGTGGCAGGACACAAAACGAGGGTTAGTGAGATGTGTGCGAGTGCCAGTTAAATCATATTATAGCAGTTCCTGGAGGTGGGTGTGCTAGGCACTAAATCTGTCGTCTGTAGATGGCTGTAGATGTTCACCCCTCTTTCGTTACCACCCCCCGGCCCTCTTCTACCAGCTATCCCCCCCCCCGGAAGTGGAATGCCAATGTTGTAGCCCCTCCCTCCTATAGCACGCCTTTCTGTTTCCGCTAATGGCTTCGACACCACATCCATGCTCACCCACTCCTCCCCGGCCCTTCGTATTGTGTCGCTCGCCGCACTCTGGAGGGATGGACTAACTCCCACCTGGAGCTTTCCTGGATTTTTTCTTAGTTTTTTGTATGCCATTTTCCAGCCGCTAACCGTTTGCCACCTTTTTTCGTTTTGCGTACATCCAAGTACCCATTTTCTCGGCTTCTCCCCTCCCCCTACGTCCCACTACGTTCTGTTCCTCTGATCGACACGCGCTGACAAGGAGACATTTTTTAGTGTCGGCGGGGTTTCAAAAATGACTCAGAATTTTAGCTGATTTGAAATATACCTACGAAATTTACGGAATCGGGATTTTTCGAAAGTTATGAACGGTTTAAGGGAGGAAAACCATTAAAAAATGGCTCATTTTGTGCGTTTCGCGGTCATAGGACGTCAAAAACTTTCGGAAAATGGCAATTCCGCAAATTTTGTAAGAATATTCGAAATCAGCGTAAAATTCTGTACAATATTTAATAAAAACTCCAACTTGAAACCCCGACGACACTAAAAAAAACCCCTCCGTGTGAGATTCGATTCTATAACGCACCTTTGCTTCTTTCGCTCAACCAAAAAAAACTGCCTACCAAGGGTGCTTATCGTCTTCCACCGAACAACTTAATCCTACCCCGCCAAATAATACGTTTTTAGGAATCGCCGGTACCGGATGAGAACTCGATGGAAAGGATCCCTTCCCCGGCGCTGACCTCCCCGATCATTCACCATCCAAACAACATCGTCAGCTACTCCCCAAATCTCTCCGGACTCACCGAAGCACCGCTAGCCACCAGCTCACCCCTGCCTGCTTCTAACATCCCGGTAACCCCGCTTTTAACTATTTTTTTACGTTGGCTAATTTAAAGAAACCCTCCCGCATCCCACCACCGGTTGCCCCAAAACCGACATTGAAGACTTCGCAGGTATACAAAATCTAGAACAATCGAAAACCTTGGCTTAGCTTGACAACATTCGAAGCGCCGCCCAAAAGGAATCATCCCCGGAACGCTTGAACTTCTCATCAAAACTTCAGAAGTTTGAGCGCGAGATCGAGATCAAGAGGCCGGAGCGAACTACGAGTGCTGTTTCTCTACCACCTCCAGGTAGGTAAAAAAGCAATCCGCGCTCAAAATAAAGGATCAAAGAAACGAGAATCAAAGACGAGAAACTATAAAAAAATACTAATTTAGACAAGAAACCCCTACTCTCCGAGTCGGACATGAAAAAGCTGAAGGAAGAAGAATCTAAAAAGATCCTGGATGTTCTGCCTAGCGCTGCTCCATTGGATAGTCCCGATAAAGACATCTTCTTCAATGAACTCATCGACAATTCCTACCTGTAAGTCCTTTAAATTTATATACCATAAAAGTAAAATAACTACCGACTAGCTAGAAAACTTCTAATCCAAATCTTCCTAGGTCTACCAGCTCCAACGGCAAATCAATGATCCCTATCCGGTCAAAGAAAGCGGAAAACCGAGCGATTGCATCTGGGCAGATTGATTCTGATGAGGGATTATCTGAGGTAAGTTCTGCCTTTAAAGCTTAAAAACTAAAAACTATACTAAATTCTATACAAACGCCTTAATTTAGGCTGAAAAAGCGCTACGTGAACAGCAAAAACGCAGCGAATGGCGTGCAGCCCGGCTGAAGAGCATAGATCAAGAACGGGCAGTGGCTGATGCTATGATGCAACGATTGCAACACGGCTCGGTACTAAAAGCCTAAAAAATTAAGCCTAAAAATTACTTGCAGCCGCTTTCTTCTATCAGCGAATCCGGTCAAACTACGCAGAGAATAGTATCTTCCGTCGACAACGGTGAAAGCACCATTAGCATCGTTCAGAAGAGCTTTACAAAGAAAGAGGTGCGCTAAAGTTGATATATAATAACAAATCTAAATAGTGAAGGTGTTTCTATAGTATTCCACGATTCCTAAACGTGAAAACATTAAAAACCTTATTAAAATATTTCAAAAATGTCGATTCTTCGACCAAAAATGACCAATTTTTTCACAAAACTGGAGTTTTTCGAAAGTTTTCTAGTTGAAAATAGTAGTATAATTCTAATTGTACTAAAACACTATTAAAACACTACCCCCGATAATGCGAAAGAACCAAATTCTAGATGGAAGTCGGCAACGGTGACATCGGATACGCCGATGACTAAAGAAGCGTCTAAATCTCCGTGATTCCCAGCCATTCACTTATCATACCGCCTACAGTTACATGTGCATTCCTGCCCCGCCAAATTGTTGTACCTAAATCCCCAAACGTCGATTACCCTACGCCCCGATACTCTTCCAAGTCATGGACTCTACTTTTTGATCATCCATTCCCTATTTGGTTGTTATTTCCTGGTACAAGTAACAAATGCAAAAACAATAAATTATTTTGTGAACAATCACTATTGCGACAAAGGTCACAAATCATTTGCAAAGTATAAAACAGGATAAAAATTTATTAAAATTTGAAAGACACAGATAAAAACTGATAAAAGATAAAAAATTGAGCAAGGATCGTTGAGATATCAAAAAATGAGATCGCATGCAGGGGGAAATTGAACTTATTACCCGTATGAAAGGAAAGGGGGGACACTTATTGATCACAAAATGCATGGGCCAAGAAAAAACTTTACGGGAGCGGGGATCGGGAGAAGAGCTAAAAATACAACAATGCATAGCGGGGGGGGGGTAGAACTAGAAATTGAAAAATAAAACAATTTTTCATGATGAAGCAGAGTTGAAAAACCGCTTCACGGTTTTTCAGTTTTGTCCCCTTCTTGGAATTTCCTACTAGTACTTATTACTCAATTTGCATACTTCTTAAAAATTCCCCCTTCTTCTCTAGCAAGAAAAAAGTTAAAAAAAAACTCCCCCTTCCGGGGTAAGCTAATTGTTTCCTAACAAAGAGGGTAGCCGAAATTTTTACAAAAACCGAATTTTAATAGCTAAAATAGCATTTTTCTGGAAACCTGATGAGTCGGCACACGTGCCCGGTCCATACTACACCTAATGACGTTCCTTCACTTTCAAATGCACACACAGACACACAGACACACAGACACTATTTTTTACATATATCGCAGAATTCGTGGCTCATTGGGTGAAGTACCCAGGCTCGTCGCTTTCGACGTTGACCTAAAGGACAAAATAAAGGAACGCAGTTTCACAAAAAAAATAGCGGCTAGAATTTTCTTTACCCCTTCCCCAGCCGGAAGTTTCCAAAATTTTTCGGCATTTACGCTATGCAAAACGATAGAACATCTAAACAAAATATTAGAAGTTTTAATCACAGCCCAAAATAATCAAATATAAAAAAAGTTATAGCGAAAAACTTTTGGGAACCACGGGCTGGGGGGGGGGGGGGCAAAGTAGTCTCCAAAATTCAAAATTCGCTATTTTCAAAAAAAACATACGTCTTGCCGCCAATCGCGTTGACCTCGATCGGGATTCGGCGGGGGGATACCGAGCTGGGCGGCCCTCATATCCAGATATTCGCGCAGGTATAGGAACGTCTCCTGCACTCGATCGCCGACTGTCCTAAAATCACGAATTTCAACCCAAAGTCCAAAACTCACAAAGTGATGCGAAAAGGCGAGTGCTGAATTAAATCGATCGCTTCACCCACAGCGCTTTCATCTCCCTGAAAAAATAGTTATAGCTATAAAAAGTCCGTTTTACCTGCTGGATGCGTACTAAGACCGCACGCGGCACGATGTTGGCGACGTTGATGTCGCGCAGCACCTCGGGGACTTGCCTAATAATAAAAAAATACTAATAAAATTAAAAAGCCAACCGTGGCGGCCCGAACACATTCCTGAAGGCGACAGACATCGAGAGCGCTTGCTGGAATGCCAAAACACCAACGTGGTGTCGGAAGACATTTCTGAAACGGAAAAAAATGATTGATTGCAAAAATATGACATACTCGTCTCGGAGATTCGGGGGGATACGAGGGTGAGGACCCAGCATTCGCCGAATTGCCTCGATCGAGTATACGACATGTTGCGGAGGCACTGCCACGGCAGGCACAACCGGATTCAGGACTTGCGCTGCCTCGAGCACAACGAGTATCTGAGAGAAAGTTGAAGGTAATGTAAATTTTCTTACTTGAAATGGGAAGGCTTCAAGCTGATCAGGCATCGTGAGGGCCTCGCGAATGATTTGTGCACGGAGCTCGATCTCCGGAATCGTCATCGACGATGACATCGACACTAACGGGCCGATATAATCGGGCACAGCAGGGAGCGGCTGCACGAATTCCTGGAGATCGAGGACCGGCATGTGCGCGTTCGCCTCGTCAGATTCGGAGTCGTCGACCAGATGCCGCGGGTTTTGTTCTTCTAGATCAGAGGGAGGCGCTCGCACATTCTAAATAAAAAAATAGAGACAAATTTCGTGGACCTCACCCGATATTCCTCAACATCGGAAAGGAAGCTAAGCGAGAGCTGGGAATCGGAATCCGAGGCGTGATTGGCACGTAGCGTCTCATCTACCGCCGGAATCTCAAAATAATGGGGGTGAAATCCTAAATAGCGATCCCATACCTCAGACCGATGAAGTGCGATGGCCGGAGGCTTGCTAGCAACGTACGAAGGTGAAAGCTTTTGTTGTTCTTGCTGTTCTCGCCGGAAGTCTTCGATCTTCTCTGTCTGAGAAATCATTGCAATTTAAAAACAAAAAGAAAGCTTACGAATCCATACGAGCATTCAGAATCCGTCGACGAGTAAATTTGGGGGTGTACATAAAAGAAGTTCTGCTCCGAGTGCTGTCCGCTTGTTCCGGCAGCGCTTGTTGATGGTATCGCGACATCATCGAAATGGATGGGTGGATTCTAAAAGAGCGTACAAAAAAATCTATGAAACCGACCGTGGCCCATTCTTCCTTTGGCGTATTGGGCAGAAACGAGAACGGCTGGAAGTTGAGGCCAGCGTATGGCGTGGGGTTGGCATTGGAAGCCGACTGTTGGACACCATTCGATGTTGTTTGGGGCTCGAAGATTGCCGCAATTCTTGGCATTGTCTGGAAAATTCGAAAGTTTTAGTAAATAGGACAAAAGACACCTCCAGGTCCTTCTGATCGAGTTCCTGGGCGAGACGCGCGGCGGCAGCCTCCTGCGCAATCGTGGTGTCCTCAAGTTGGCCGACGAGCAAGCTCAGCTCGCCAACACGATTCGTAGCTTGCCCTAATTCGACCTCCTTCTGGTCAATCATCTAAACAAAAGTAATAAAAAATTTTAAACCCAACCTTCAGAGCTTTTTTGTATTGTTTGGCTAGGCGAGTGAAGGAGTAGCGATCGTTGGTTGAACGTGGCTCGTCGCAAGGCCTAAGATAAATAATTATAAACATCAAATTTCGATGGGCCGTACGTGCTATCGTCAGTTCGTTTCGCGGGCGAACATTTACGAAGTCGACGAGTGAAAGTCTGTCCGGAAGTGGTCTCCTTCTCAACCTCGCCATCGCTTATCACGGGAAGACGCTTTGCCCACAGCCTAAAACCGGAAGTAAATTGATTTAAAGTATTTAGCGAAAACTCATGTAAAATTCTAAAAACGTACCCGACGCCATATGGGGTATTTGTGAAGATGGCGGGCAGAGCATCATAGACTATAGCAAACACGTATACGACAATTGGCAGTATCACAAAAGCCACAAGCGAGAATGCTGGGCGCTGCTCAAGCGTGTCGAAATGACATTCTTCGGGCGTCGTACCATTTTTGAAGCCACACCTAATTTGAAAGATAAAATCAGGAATAAATGTAATTACCGCCAGTAGTTCTCATAGACAGTCTTCTCCCGTTTAGGCCAGTGGTGAATCGAGAGGTAATGTAGGACGGGAGAAAGCATCAGGGCCAAGAGACTAAGCAGAAATAGACCTAAATATAAATTATTAACGCTTCGAGCAAGAGTTACATTTTGTGGGAAGCCGGAAGATGTGGAACTCCAATGAACCGGAAGTGCCGTCAAGCTTCTTCGAATCCCCGGGCTTCATCGTCAATTCGTGAGTCTCCTCGGCCAGATGTCCTCCTTCAAACGCTAAATTTGGCCATACTTGATAATTGGCACTAAACATACCTCGCCCAATGACTTGATAGGTGGGAAAGGCGATGACAATCAACACCAAGATCAAGGCGCCCAATAGAAGCGCAACGAACGACCATGTCGAGTGATTTCCGGGGAAGCAGACCCCCGAAAATTCGTTGCGTTCCACCTAAAAGAGGTATAAGAAACTAGTCAATAAAAAAGTACTCCAGAAATGCGCTTGAAAAGAAATGGCCAAATCAACGAGTAGCAAACTCCAATGATCTGCAGGCACGTCTCGTTTTTGACCAGTCTAAAAAAAAGTTGAAGTTACGGGAAATTCACATACGCATCCATCCAGATTTTTGCATATGATCTCGGGTGATTCTTCACCTGCCCCCCAATGAGGCTTGACAGAAAGCTGACGATGAGGCAAGTTGTGCTGGCAATGAAGCATCCAGAGAGCAAGAATTGGACAGCCGCGCAGAATGAGACCCTAGGAAAAATTACAATCAGTATATTCGCTAAAACCAACCCAAGAATATCGTCGGCCAATGGCGAGATTCTGACATGCTTTTCATGGCAAGTGATGCTGCTGAAGAAGCCTTGATATCCGGAGGAAAACCAAATGAAGGAATACAAGAGGGCCGCGCAGCTGCCGATCCCAAAAATTCTGGCCGGGAAGCTCCGCTTGGCAATGTCGCTGCGGAGGAAGAGGGAAAACTGAAATGAATCAATTAATAGGGTTACATACTGAAAAACCAACCACAAACACGCCCAGAACCAAGCAGAAGAACCCTGACACCAACAACTTCAGCTCGACGTAAACCGGGCTTGTGCTGGCGCGGCATTCCGCGTAGCAATCGTCAATTATGTGGTGTTGGTCAACGGAAGCATCAGGTATGTAGATTAGGCCTTTGGTGCAAGTGGGAGTTTCCAGTTTGATCAATTGGGTGGCTGAAGACTCCTAAAACCAAACAAAGATTATATTTTCCGCGTTACAGAATTTACCTGACAATCATTGCTAAAGAAAGTGCCATTCTCGCACTTGAAGGGCAGGTTGGACTTGAACTGAGGAGCCAATTCGAACAGAGGTTGGCATGCCTCGAGCATCTGGTGGCAATCGGCGAGCGGCAGAACATGGACGAGCGATACGTTGGCAAGAGGGCTTTCACCTAGAATAAAGTATAGGCAATGCATTATAAAACCCACCAATTACGTCTAAAGTGTGGCACGGCCGGTAGGAGTGCGCACAGATCATCGGGAGCAGGCGAGTCGAGCACTTCGGGAAGCTTTGGAGCAGTGGATGGGCGTAGAGCGGGGGTGGCATCGAGTGTAAGAGCACATTGGTCGAGACACGAGCACCGTAGCAAGTCAGACCTTAAATAAAATTTAAAATTGAATAATAATTCACACCGTTGATCCACAGGCATTTTGCAGGTGACTTGGTGGAGCAGTGTGGGTTGCAGAGGCGTGGAATGTTTTGGCGCGACGGGCAGGCGTCGTGGATCTGAGGATTAAGAATAGGAATCATGAACCGCTTAACTTACGTTGGGAAAGTTTGAATTTTGCGAGGAGAATGCGCCGAGATCGCAGAAAGCGAATTGAGCGAACCATAGTAAGAGGATGATGGCGGGCACCATTTCATACCTGAAAGTAAGCATTATCACGCCCAAATCAATTTTTCAAGAGAAGAAAACATTCCTAAAATTTCATGCAAAAAAGAAAATCGCTGCAAAAAGCGTTTGAAAAGAAAAGTGACCATGGAAATCGTGGAGTACGAAAATTACTATGGCAACCAGACATGATGCGTTCGCCGCAACGGAAAATTCCCTGTTGTACCACTGCAAATCCTCCAACAAAATAAAACTCAGCTTTTTTGGGCTAATTGCCTAAATTTTCGCATATTTTTCCTGAAAGCATTTATTTTGGAACGCTATTTCTATTCTCTAATATGTTCGCTTCCATTCGCCCTGTAAACTGGCAATTTAGGAGGCCCGAAAGATCAGCACTATAAAGTCGGCGGGCCAAGGAAGTTTTCTTCGAATATGGGAGTAAAATCAAAGTGAGTTTTGTTTTCAGTCGTCCTTGCTAATATTCTGGACATCTGTTACCCGCGGCACTATTGATTTTCACTGTGCTGGAGGGAAACGAAAAACTTGTCCATTAGTGTGCATATAGAAACTTTTGCTTTTAGGTATGTGATCGTCCAGCTGGCCTCATTGATTTCCGGATCGACCAGAGTTTGGGTAACTTTAGTTTTACATATAACCAATCCAATTTAGGTCAGGGAACGGGCCGCTGAAAAGTTTACCGGAATGTTCTTCGATCCCGCAAGTATGTCCTGGTTGTAGTTATTAACTGTTTCTTTTTTTAGTTGGACGAAGCTGTTTATTCGAGGAGAGCCGAAGGATAAAGGGCAAAGGCGAACTGCCCAAACATGTCAAGGCAAAGTATAACTGCGGCTAGATTTGTACTTACTGTTTTTGGATAGGAAATAAAGATCAATTCTTCTGCATCGTCGTTGATTATTATTGGTTGCCCCCGAATACCTTCTACTTAGCAGGATTTGTATTTGTTTATACAATTTTAGGCGGCATTCGGCGCTTAGGGGAGCCTTTATTGCTTCAAGATGGATAAGGCTCCACCAACGCAAGTGACGGCTGGCCCCGATGGCTTCACCGTGGCGGCTATCATAACTGCTTTGGTCGTCATTGGCCTGACCTTTGTGATTTTCTCTTATTTGAAGTCTCGAGGTATGCAGTAGCTCGTTGCTATATGACTTGAACCTTTTTCAGCTAACAAGTCTGCTTCGACGCTGTTCTGTGGCCTTTCCAACGCGGGGAAGACAGCTTTATTTGGCAAAATGGTCAATCCGAGTATGGTTTCCGGTTCGATGTAACTTTTCATTTAGTGGTCACGTTTTCTACGTACGTATCGATGTTTCCGAATACTGCTGAAATTGACGTGAGGGCTTTATTGTGTGCGATAATTAACGACATTTAGACGAAGCGTGGGAAGCGCAAACTTGTGGATTATCCGGGGCTTGAGCGTTTCAGAAATGGGATGCTATTTGATTATTTCGACTCGGTGAGTTTTTTTTTTGCGGGATTGGGCGATGGAAGATCCTTTTCCGTGGTTCAAAAAAGTTTATTTATTTTCAGGGCAAGTCGCCTGTTGCGAAAATAGCCTTCGTCTTGGATAGCGAGGTGATCTTTCGGACTGTCAAAGAAAACGCGGAGATGTTGTACGACATCATGCTGCGTTGCAACTCTTCGGTGCGTTTGTGGTTTTTAGAGTCGTAGGGAAACAACATGTGTATATGCTGATTTTATGATTTTTTAGAACAAGTTGCTGATCTGCTGCCACAAGAGCGACGTGTCGCAGGCTGAACCCAAGAAGGTAGCATTTTGCAGGACGCTTGGTATTCGTTTCATTTAGAAAGTGGCGGACAAGCTGGCTGAAGAGTTTGTGCTGATCAACAAATCGCGTCATTCGGCTCTATCGTCAACGGAGGGTGCTGGTGCCGGCAAGAAAACGCTGTTCGCCAAGGACGGCACCTTTTCCTGGGAATCTTTCCCGTTCAAGGTAAATTCTTTGTATCGTCGTTCTTGTTCCCGCGTTAAATATGCCGAGGTCAACCGCGGTCAATTTTTGGGCTATATTTCGGATTTCAGATTGATTGGCTGGAAACGTCGATCTACGATGACTCGTTCCGTGGCGTCCGGGATTGGATCACTACGGCTTGATTTTGGGCTTTTCTGACACATATTCTCGGTCATTCCGGTATTTTTCCTTCACAACGGTATTTGTTACTATCATCATATCTGGGAATCTTTTCACCCCATAGCCATCAAACGTGGCCACTAATCCCTGGACTTACGATTTCGTCAGTTTGTGTATTTTTCATTTCCCATGTTGCGCGGTGCATTTCTGGTTGTCATAAAATATACTCATCGTTTTTCTTTATTCCAGCAAAAAAAAAATACAAAAATACAAGCATTGTAAAAAGTGACAACTGGAGCCATGACTTGGGAATTTTGGGACCTGTAATATTGAGTTACCCCTGGGATGCATATAAAAATAAATGCGGTTAGAGTTCTTTCTTCTCGTCTGGTTTGGTGACAGCTGGCTCGACTTTCTTTTTCTCAGGACGGAAGGCGAGGGGCGTGAGGAAGATCAGCAGAACAGCAATGATATGCGGAATGAAGTATACGCGGCTAAAAAGGATGATTAGTTTGCAGAATACTGTGAACGGCAAGCTGTGTAAATAAAAACTGCTGAAAAAACTTACGAGTAAATGAAGAACGAGGGATAGAAATGCATAGTGACGAATGAATAAGTAGCATAGGCGAGGGCGACCTTCGTGGCGAGGAATGTGATCAAATCGTAAATCATCTTCTTGGATGGACTTTGAAGGAAACGGTATCGTAGACAACGGCGGAACTGAAATAAAAGGAGTTAATTGAAATTAAGCTAAAACGTACGGTTCGTGAAGCAAAAGTGAAGAGGGCCGTCGTTCCGAAGGCCACGTAATAACCAGGGAATAGTCCGTGCCACCAGGCAGATAGAGCATATGTCGCAAGAGTTCGGTATCTGAAACAAAAGTAATATTAAACCTATTAGAGATTTCTTACTTCCTAGGTGCTCGGTCGAATGCTGATCGCCTGAGCCAAGCAACGGTCGGGATGTTCCAGTTGTCCAGGGTGTCTTTCAAGCTTTGCGCCATCTAAATAGGAGATTATCATGCCAAACATTCTGAAACGTTACCTCCACTTTTTGGATATCAACACTGCTCATCATATTCCATGTCGCCTTGCCATTCTCACCATATCCACTGAAGCCGAAGCCGGAAAGATTGCAAATAGCGTCCGCTGAAAGCAGTTTTATAATAACGCAAAAATAACTCGATTACCCATCGTCCACGCGAAATAATATTGCACACGGCTCATGAAAATGCAGATCCACCATATTGCCAGCCATTGGTACAGCGGTTTTGCAAGATCACTAAAGAAAATATAAACTGGAGAATCTAGCTAGATACTTACCGATCTTCCATAAGTCGTTCCGGGTACAGCTCTGCCGAAAATAATGTGATTGCCGCTAGCAGAACAGCGGCCAGAAATAGCTTCTTCATTCCAATTCCAATCGAGGAAGGGATCTAAACAAAAGAAGTAGCCAAATTTTAACTAGAGGGTTACCTTGCCATGCTTGTCAGCCGAAATATGCGTGCCCTCGACGAAAGCCTTGTAATCAACGTAGAGGCACATTGGTCCGGTGAGAACAGCTTGGAAATGGAAGCAGTAGGAAATGTACATAAGAAGAGGTGGGACTTCTCTAAAAAGGCGATACGTTAGGCTATGATTTCCAGAGGTTAGGGACACAGGATAAAATAAACTCACTTCAGCGCTTCTCGTTTTTGATGCGGAAGAAGGTCTTCTTCCTTTTTACAATTTCCGTCGTGCAGCGAAAAGGCCAACATCATCACCTAAAAGAGAAGGGGTTTACTGTTTTCTCCAAAAATTTACCTTTTGCACCATAATCATCATCGGGCCCGTCACATCAATGTAATATTCTTTCAAAATCCTCCATCGGTAAAAATGGATAAACGTCAAGTAGGCAGTGGCGAAGAGAAATACCAATCTAAAAAAGAAAATTTAGTCAAGAAGTATGTTCTTACTTGTGCACATATTGACTAGGTGCCAGCCTCATTATTGCGTAATTAATTAGGATATTGGCGACGACGTGCTTTATAGCCCTAAATCGGAGGATTAATAAAAAACCTTGGGCCGAAAGTTACCATCCAAAACACAGGAAACAAAATGATAGGCCGATGACGGACGGGAAGACGACGCGAAGTTGTTGGGATACTTTTCCGAGCTGCATCTGCGAGTTGTAGATGTAGCTGATTGGCACGGCGGCGAATAGGCACATCACCAGGTTTATCTAAATCAGAAATTTAGCCGGGCAGTGGTATAAAAGTCAAAGATTTTCACCTTTTTCGAGATTCTCCGTTCAAAAAAAGCAATTTCTTTTTAAATCATTGAATATAAACCATTACCTTGTCCGTCTCGACGCCGACGGCCCTCGAAAGTGGCTCAAACACCGTTGACCCATCGTAGAACGTATGCACCCCCGGCATCCTGCAAAAAATCGAAATGAATCCAGCGCCCAGCACACGTGCCGATTGGACAACAAAAAATTTCGCAATCCACGGATCGCCCCCCAAGAGACCACAGAGAAGAAAACAATACGCCCTGCAAAGAACCGATCAGAATCCATGAGGGCAAGTGCCAGACGGTCTGCCTAGACATGCCGGCAAATGGCCAGCAGCAGCCTTACTCGATGCAAATGCACATACACACAAACAACAAGTGCTTCGCGGGGGATGGGGACCCGAGGAAAACATGGGAAAGCAATTTCGTGGGGGTCAGCTAGGGGCAGGGGACGAGACGGCAGAGAAATAAAGGCAAACACCAGCCCTTTTCTACAATAAAAGAGAAGGTGAGACTGGGGGCAAGAGATGGGGGGCTGGTGAGTCGGCACCGGTGGTCCTTTGCTTTTCCCGATCACGCCACATGGCTTTTGCAGAGAAAAAATGAGGGTTGGAAAAAGTTGCAGGGCGGGTTTTTGCTAATTTTAGCATCAAAAATTCTGTTTTAGTACGTAAAATAGTGTAAGAATCTTGGAAATAGCATGAAGAAAGTAAACAAGGTTGAAATTATAAGGGAAACGTTGGTTTTCAAGATTACTAACAAGATCAGATCAGTTTCAAGAATGTGAATTATCAAAAGCGTGCCCTATTATCGGCACCAAAACGGCAAAAACAGAAAAATGCACAGCGAGTCCAGAGGGCTCGTAAAAAATGGAATATGTCCCGGCGGGCTATGGGGCGAGTTCTAGTTATCCTTTTTTGAAGATAAGGGGGCAGAGGGCGAAATGCTGGCGCGCTCTCAGCGCAATTGGCGGGGATGAAGGCCATCCATCTGGCCATTCCGGGTGCACGATGAATGGGCGTCGATTTGAATGGAGTAATTTCCTAGTTATTTCAATACACGGGGTTTTTAACCTTACTTGGGGCGCGCACGAGAGGGAGACAGGGAATGGGCGAGGCCACGCCCCCTTTTCGCCCCCAAAATGTATTAGAAAATCCCTTCTAATGGCTATAACTTTTTTACTAGAAAAAATGACAAATTCTCCGCCTGGTAATTTGTAGAGAAGACCCTCGGGAACATTTTGGTAAAAGAATCAGCGATCGCGAGGAAAAACAAGGATTTGAAACGCTTTGAAGCGATTATCAAGACGATGTTCTCGTTAGGGCCTCATTTTCCTAATTTTCTGCCTGAGATTCGCCACAGATTTGTTGTCGGCGCTTTTCTGAGTATTTTGCAAAAAAAAGCAAAACCATGTGATGATTTTATGCGAGGAGAGGAATCGAACCATGACCCTCCGCCTGACGCCGCCTTGGCCAGGCCCCCCCGCACCCCCGTGCGCGGAAAAAAACCCCGTGAATAAGTTAACTTAGAAAAAGCACTAAATTTACTTTACAAGCCATTTTGCGGATTTCACTTTAGTTTGCGAGCACTAGAAAAAAAATCAAGGGTACTTATCAAGTTGGGGGGGGGGGGCACTTTGGGTACCGGTTAGGAGACACTTTTTTAATCGGTTTTTCGACTCTTTCTGGGGTAGTTTTTTACGCTGAGTGCGAATAGAGTCGCAACAGCATGCGAAACGGTTGGGTTTATGCAGAAAAAAAACAGTGTAAAAAATTATTAATAAAGGTGTACTTATGCACAATTTGAGGCTTGCTGCATTGTCAGGCAAGGCGGGCCGTCGCTTCGGATGGGCTGCCGCTCCACTCTTTCGAAATCGGGGCGCCTGGCCGCTTCGCGCGCCTCGGGCGCCCCGATTTCGAAACCCTGTACGAGCTCGCACCCATCCGAAGCGACTAGGCCCCGGGTGGCACGAAGCCTTATTTTTAGGCTCAAATTGGGTGTAAGCATCTCTAAATCTTAAAAACGTTTAGATAATTGTGTTTTACTACTCTGATTTTGTTATATTCGTAACCAGCACAAAAAACTAGCCTAGAAAGACTCAAAAAGTCGAAAACCAAAGTGGCCCCCCCCCCCAACTTGATAAGTGCCAAATCAAGAAATAAACGAAGACGCGTGCAGCTTCAAAGGCGAAAAACTTATCCGACGTTCGACAACCAAAGAAACGCAAGACAAAAAGTTATCGCGCCGCTGTCTATTTAAATAAAAACCAAAATTAAAATAGCCAATTATCGTCTAAAACTATCTTTTTTATTAGCAAAAATTAACTGAGAAATTAAAAATAATAAATAAAATCGCGCAATTCAGTAAAACTCGAAAGCCTTCCCCGAATTACGCTGCGCTCCTCTGCACAGCCACGCCCGGTTTTGTACGTACTCCAGATTACCCTCGCTAGTCAAAAAACCCTTCTAATGTCGCAGCCTCTTTAAAACAATGAAATAAAATAACCAGAGTTACACCTAATACCATCTACTACCAAATCCGTCGTAAGTACTGGGGCACTTCGTCATATGACACTGTCCAGCTTTAAAAATCAATCGAAAACTGAAGTGGCGAGTGGATACTTTGCGTTTCGCGGGAGGAAAGGGCACTTTTCGGTCGTTGACACATCAAAACAACCTCGGCCCGATGGAGGGGGCTTTCCATATGACTCGATCTGGCTGGTGTGAGGGGAATGAAAACTTTGGGTCGGAATGAAGTGGAATGGCTTCAGGGCGAATCGGGAGTCAATAATCAGACCAGGTTTTAATATATTTTTATGAAATTTTGATAGTTTTAACGAATCAATCGAAGCTCTCGACAAGGCGATCAGAGGTGTTATCTTCACTTTTGAAAATCCTGTTAATTTTTGTCAGTTTCTAGCCTAGTAAAGTGGGCTTTTTCAAAATAATACAATCAACCCGGGATCAATACTTTACAAATAGCTATATTTAACTCTGATATCAAAATTCGGAGATAGATGGCTTTCGAAAAGCTCAACTCGGCGATTTGTACGCCTTCAAAAAAAACTCCTTCCAACGGAAAGGTTCCGAAAGTCTCGTCAGCTTCGAATAAAATGTAGTTTCTTTTACGTTATTATTATAACCTTTATTTTATTTTATTATAACCTTTTTACCTCGGTAATGATAAAACGTACACTACATTCTACTCCTATTCCAATTTGCACCCAAAATGTGCCCGGAAGCACTTTCTCTAATCCGTAGCCATCCAAAATGCACTGACTGAAGAGCAGTCACCCAGGGACCGATCGAACAATTCCGGTACCCGTTATCCTTTCGGCACCTCAAATAGTAGAGTGACAGCTAGAGCGAGCTGCTGCTCCCGGTTCGGAGGGGCAGGTATCGGACCCGCTTGGTGGAGGTATTGTAGGTAGCCCTTCAAACCGGGGGATCTTTACAAAGCGACAAGATTTGATACGGTTGTATGGCGAGAACGGGGCATGTATATACCGGTAGCACCAGACAGCAGGATGTCACTTTTTGATCGCTGGAGCTCAAACTTTGGGTCTGTAGCTTTGGTGATTGTGATTTTGGACGTTGGAAACGCAGGTTTCGGTATCGGATTCTTAAGGCTACGTTTCTTTACTGCTGACATTTACGTCTGCCTCTCAGTTTTTGGTTTTTTCTCTGCCTAAATAAGTGTATCCGTTATTTCGCGTCGCGATCTCTAAACTTGCGTTTTAAAGGGACTGGTAAGGTAAGTATAGCTATGGATTTTAACGGTTATGCACTTCTATTTTTTGCCAAGCAAGCGATACGCAACGTACCCCCGATTTTTATGGTGTAATCAATTATGCTAGTTAAATGGTGTCTAAACCTGTCGCGCAGCCGGTCAAGCTCGAAAAATACCGGGCAAACATCTGGTTTTAAGAATTTAATAAGATTATATACTTTAGAGCAACATATATTTTACTAGATTTTGCCGCGATCGCGATACGCGACTTCCTTTCCGTTGGATTTTTCCTTTAATTTCGGTCTTCTAAGAGTTTTTATTTAGTTAAGTAGTTTCTTCTATTTATTAAAATTCCGTGGCTTTCCATTCCTACATATTTCCCTTTTTTAGCTTTATCGTTGCGCTAAAACTCACCCAAAACTACTGCATTTGTTTTTTCTGCCGCCAGCGCCTTGGGCAAGGGATTTTGGGTGGGCAGAAACGTCGATCTGCTACTAAACCCGCAGGATTTCCCTGTCTGCTTTGCGCCCCATGTGGTTTCTCGGAACGATCCCTTCTGTACCTCGTCGATCTTTTGATCCAACAGGGGTGTAGACCGGGCCGGGTGGGATCAAAAAAAGTTCGCACGCCTCGCCTGCTAACCGGTCATTTCAATGATTTGCATGTCTGGGGCGTCGATTGCCTTGACATGGTGGTTACGGTATTCTGGGCGTTCTTACGGTATCCTCTGTTGTTGTTTAAAGGTACCTGCAAGTCGTGCCCCGAATTTGTTCGCTATTTCGCCCCTATGCATTTTGCCGCGTAGGCGACACGCAACGCGCGTCACTTGGTAGGCTTTTGTGGTCTTCTTCGATTTCAAATTGGACCAGCAGACGCGTTGCGTGTCGCGGCTGTTTCAAAGCCCGTATTGCGGTTAAAAGCTAGAATTATAAGATTTAAAGGGGCTGGTAAGGAAGACAGGGATCATACTCGATTGGGAAGCAGAAAAGCGTCGTGCCCGTTGCGGGTCGCGGGTGCGGCAGACCAGTCGGATACCAGATACAATAAATCCGAATTCCATGCCTTGCGCGTCCCTTTAGGTGTAGCTGGAACTTTAATATACGCTTAATATAAGTCATTTTTCGTAAGTAGATTAAAGTAACGTGTTGCCTCTAAAAACTACAATTATGTATTTTAGTTCGGAATTTTCAAAGAATTTTGATAACTAGGGTTCCGAAGATGACGCTTTTGGTTCGTTTAATAAAGCTATAAGCAAAAGAAAGCGCTGAATTAGCTTTTATGGACCTTTTGAAGGTGCTATAGCTTTTTTTTGCTGTAATTTTCATCGCGCTATTCCGCACTTATCAAGACAAAGCGCTGCCTTCGGTTTTCTAGATTTTTTTTGATGGTACTGTGGCTTTCGTATACTGTAATTTTCAGCGCGCTATTCAGCACTTTTTAGTGACCACCGGAAATGACCACGCCATCATCAGCTTTTTCCACCCTCAACCTTCAAGCCGAATCAACCCCACAAAATTTGACGCGTGCCCAAAAGCCACGATCAAAAAGTTTCTAGCCGAAGAGAGAGACAGAGAGAAATACAGACAGACACACTGACGCCTCGGGGGGCACGATGCCGATAGAAAATGATGGGGGCATCGAGTCCGCTCGGTTGCACCACACCGTCCCCCCTCCCATTCCTACCACCCCCTTTTGGGGCTTTTGCGCTGATCTTTCGGCTCGGCTGCCATCCTCCACCCCCGCTACAATTTAGCCTCTTTTTGAGGGGCAGCAGCAGCTCCCCGGTGGGGCTGACCAGTTCCACAATACGCCCCAACACGCCCGCCGTGACCAGTGTCCTTTTTTCGAAACAACTACCTCCACCCGCAGGCGATTCCGACTGTCAACGATTCAGACATCCGGGGCCACTGCGCGCCTTTTGTTTTTGGGCGAACGCTTGGATCTTTAATTTCATAAATTAAGAGTGAGCGACTTATTACAGTAGGAATTTCGATGGTTGTTGCGGTTACGGTAGCTACACATTCCTTGTTCTAAAGGTACTTAGAAGTCAAAGATGAGTAACCATGCTGACTTTTTTGTTTTATTACCGTATTTTCATAGCGTTATTTAGCATAGGAGTGAAATTCTGGTGTTTCCAGAGAAGACAAAATAAGCAAAAAAGCCTAATTCTAGGGCCTTATGGTTGAATGCGCACCTTCAGCTGCTACGGTATTCGAAGCCTGTATATTTTATTTCTTACTGTACCATCTATTTGACATTTATAGCATACTTTGATAGCTTTATTTAATAAAAGTAGTGACCTCGCAGTGGCTTAGAAATTTTTCAAAAGCCAGAATCAACCAAAAAAGTGGAAGTTCATGCATTTTGTTCCAAACTGTATCGACACTATCGCGTTTTTTAGCTGTTAAAGGGACCTATAAGGCAGGCCACACGGTCGCTGGAGAATCTTCTAGAAGCTTCTAGAAGTTTCCCAGCCTTTTAATAGAACTATTTGATACGGTTTTTTGCGTTTTACAGCTTTTAAAGGCACGTGGAGTACTGGATTTCTTAGCTTTTTACGGCGCTAGCAAGTCTAAGGAACCAGCGGTATTTAATGGATTGCTATGATTAAACTACAAAATATAGAATTTTCGTTCTAGACCTTAAACGGTGCGGAATTCAAACCGGAGTTTACCACTTGTCACAACGGATTTGCCAAAAGCTCGTTGCCCTGCCTTTCGAGCCCCTTTAAATGTACAAAATTTTCTCCAGTAACTTTTGAACTTTTGTACAGGCCCTCATTTTTTCTTGATCTCCGGCCGGAACGCCATGCGTGACGTGACGCCGTCCAACTTTTTGGTCCGATCAAGTTTTCCGCCAATGCAAATACGCATCCCACAAAACGCCTGTTGGATCCTTTTTGAGCGTCCTTTTCGATCCAGGCCATCGATACCCTATTTGCTGGTTTCAATTTTATAGCCCCCGGCCCCCGGCCCGAGGCGGTTGTACTAGGTTTTCGGCGCCCCTCGAGTGTACTCTGTTGACCCTTCTTGAAAGCTTTTCATCCCGAATTTTCCCGGTTCCTTGAAAAGGGCTGATGTTTGTGGTGCCGTTTCGTGGGGGAACCCTGAAGCCCCCCGAATTTTCGATGCTTTTAGGCGCACACCTGCCACCAGCCCCCCGCGTCTCGCATGCGCCGATGCAGCCATGAAATTCCCATTCCGTAATTTTTAGAGAATTTTTAATATGTACGACTAGAGAGAGAGAGAGAGAGAGAGAGAGAGAGAGAGAGAGGGAGAGAGAGAAAGAGAAAGACATAGCGTAATATTTATTCTTTTTTTAAGTATTGCTCCTCATGCCGTTGACGAATTGTGAAAAAGGCGGCGAGCGGAAATTGTATGACGTTGACAAGCAGGAGATTTCAAAAATTTGGCAAGCCGGAAGTGTGCGAGCGTTGTTAAAGGTATGGCAAGCAATTTGTGGATGTTGTTGCATTATCGGGGGGTTGTTATATAAAGGGAAACCGATTTTTCCCTCTGTTTGAACCTAAAAAAACCTAGTGACGCAATGGTATGTATTTTATTAGCATTTTTGGTAAAATTTAACTATATTTCAGTGCGAAAACTACCAAAAATTAAAAAGATGGAAAAACGATGACAGAAAAATCGTTATTGTTATATTTTTAAAATGGAAGTTTGTACAGCTTTTTCGCCTATAAACTGTAAAAATAGTTCGGAAACATTTCCCTTATTTATATTAGAAAAATTGTATGTTAACGAAGAAAGCTGATCCCCCCAATAACGCAAAAGCTCCAATATGTGATATTATTAATGTTTTTATAGGCAAAAGGTCTACGCGTCACCCGAGATATGCCAAAACTAGAGCGAATTATATTTGAAGGATGTGCGAAAGATGCAAAGGTATGTAATTGAATTCTCACTCCCAGCTATACAACCTTATGGCTTTATAAATTTAATATCTGCAGTAACCTATAATATTTAATGAATTTTAGGCAGTCGGGGCATTAGCTGACTGTGTCGTCAGAGCTATGAATGAACGTGATCGTCGCGTCGTTCAACAACAAACTACGGTAGACCCCGAACAACAATGTATAACCCGGATTTTAGCCTATCGCCCCTGCAAAGGTCACTTTCGGCACAGTACCCATCATCCCAAAGCAATACCCAACAACCTCGCGCCGAGTTGGCCCTAAGAAAAAGCTCACCTACCAAGAATGGAAGAAAAAGATGATTCGACCGCAAAGAAGAACTTTATACAGAAGAAGAAAGGAAAAGCGGAGGTGGAAAAGGAAGCAGAGAGCTGCCGAATCGCAGCTTCTACAATTTTTGGAGACTACCAAGGAAGTCGAGTATGTTTTTCAAATTTTTCGTTAATAAAAAAATTAGACCTCAATTCCGGACACGGACGAAACGAGCTGTTAACGATACCGAACTTCGGGCTCGATTCGACGTCCATATGAAGCGAATTTTGAAGAAACTCCCTGGGCTTTCTTCAAAATATTTTCAAGCTATGATAGGTAAGACCGAAAATATGCGTATGTATTTTAAATTTTAGAAAACCCAAATGGGGAATTTACGTCGAAAAACCTGCAAAATTTGAAGCGGATACACGACCATTTTCGGAAGGCTGACATTTGTGATGGATACTTTAAAACGGTTGTTAGTGAGAACCAAAAGTAAGTAAAATACATAAATATAAATAAGCAAACTATATAAATAAATACAAAATAAAAAATATGACACTTTTCAGAGTATTTGATTCAAACCGAATGGGTGTAAAGTGTAAGACACCGACTCCACAGAAGAATGAAGAAGTTCTAAATGGGGTCCTGAATATGGTCAATGCTTTTATGGTATGGAACTACGCTGTATTATTATGAACCTTCTTTCAGGGCACACCTCAAAACGACGAGAAGTTGTCGGTGTTCTCTCCCAAAGTCTTGTCGATATTTCCGGATAATAAGGCTCCAAATAAGAAGCAGCTTTTCTCACCGACGCTGCTGAGTTTTCACAACGACGGGTTTTTCTCGATGAATGAGATATTATCGGTAAGTTTTAAGGGATACTTGTTAATTATTAAAAACTTAAGGCAACTACTGACTCTGCAAAACCACATCAGATAATTTTGGACGCAGTTTTGGAGGCTAGTGGAGCTGGGGATATGTTGTCGGAAGTGCTAGGAAATATGACTTCTGAAATAAAGTGAGTTTAATCTTTTTAAAGCATTTTTATGTACGAAAAATGTGTGACATCAATTAAATTTTAGACATATGGACGAGGTTCGTTTTCCGCTTGTAAGAGAAATGTCCCGATTGGACCTTGGCCATATTCGAGCCCAAAGAAGCCTCGACGACCTCCAAAGACATGAGCTTGACACCCACGGCTACACTTTCTTCTCTAAAGAACAACTCGACCATATCCACGCCTCAAAATCATCCCGTAATTCGTATTTTCACGACAATTATCAATTTTTTTAGTCCTTAAAACCCCAAAATTCAACATCGAGACCTACAACCGAATGTCTCGAGACGAAAAGGAGCGCCTGTTTGAGCAAGAGATCCGAGAAATGGCAAATTTGCATAAAGGTAATTCTTGTGCTCTGAATTAATGGGCTAATTTCTAGATAATCATCGTCGAAAAAGGAGAAGAAGAGCAGCAGTGGCAAGTGGGGAAGCGATAGAAGAGGGAGAACATCCAGGTTGGGCCTCAACTTAAACTTTAAATTCAGACTTTCAGGAAATGGTACGGCACATGAGCATGTAGAACACGAGGAGCATGAGCATGAACATCATGGGGGTGTCGAGTGGATTACGTTGGCGCCAACGGCTTTTTCGAACTTTATCAATCACGGCGCATCGATGGAAGTCGTTACGCTGTCGCCGCGATTTTGGATTGCCGAGATTTTAGCTCCGGAAGCCTTGATTGTAACGTTTATATTTTTTTATTTTACTACTAGATTTATCTTTTATAAAGACAGATTTTTATATTCGATTTAGATTTCCACCCTATCACCTCGCGCCTTCATCGGTACCGTACTCTCTCCAAACGCTCTAATTGCCAGAACGCTAAGTCCGACAGCTTTTCGGGCTGAGGTAAGTAACCTTTTAGCGGTCTTAAAAAAACCTATATTAATTAGGTATTGGCTCCGAGAGCATTGACAGCTTGGGTACTATCACCAGAAGCCTTCGTCGTGGAAGTTCTATCACCTCGTGTTTTGGAGCCTCGCGTAATGAGTCCTGAAGCTTTTGTCATCGATATTTTGAGCCCCGGAATATTGGCACCACATTATATGTAAGCTACGTTCGGAATTAAATAAATATAACTAACAAAAATAGCTAAAAATCGAATTTAGGAGTGACGAGGTGATTGGAGTGATGGTGTTATCTCCGAATATTTTGTCTCCAAGGATAGAAAGTAAAGAGAAGATGCTTGTCGAGGTTTGGAGCTATTTTAATATTTAAAAAACGAAATATATACCTTAATAAAAATATAATTAACATATTAAGATCCTTTCCCCACATATTCTTGGCGGACCACATAGTAAAGAAGAAAAAGAACATGGCGACGTTGTGGAAGACAAGGCTGGAGAACACCATGACAAAGAGGTAAGTATAATACATTTTTTACAGATTTCATGATTTAGTTATCAATGACTTTTATGAATTTTATAAACTTTTAGGATCCTTTCCACGAGCTCGAAATCCACGGCGACCGGGGCGAACTGTCGCACCCTCTTGAACACCGCGGCACCCACGCCCCCGAAATGTTCGGCGTCCCCCAATTCCAACCAAATTTTTTCAACGTTGCTGTGCAAAAACATCCTCAAAATGGATAGTACATGATTATACTACGTTCTATTAATATTCTCCTATTCTTGAGAGTAATTTATAGTATAACAATTATTGTCCCTCCCCGTTTTTCATATTTTTTTATTTTTTTTCGACGAATTTCGACGATTTTCGAATTGATTAGTTAGCGCCACCCATCCCATCCCACATGACAAAAATTCCCCCACTAGGTGCCTATTGTTTGCGCAGCCCTCGGCGATCGCTCAAGCAATTTTTCTCTCATTAATAATTTTTGTGTTCCGCATGACTCCATACTACGGGGATTTCTGAAAACTTTCATGACCTTGATCTGGAATCCGGGCTTTCAATTTAATAAATTGTTTTGATGGATTATGTGGCGTGATTGGATGGATATAAAAGAGAAAAATTTATAGAAATGTCAATTTTAGCGTGCAAAAAAAAGCTTTTGCCAAATGAAAATCAGCCGCTTCAACTAGCCGGTTCCTTTAAAGGAATATGTATAATTATATGCCGTAATTGGATGTGTTTTCATATTAAGAAGCCAAAAAAACCAATCCAAATTTTTTCACGCCAACATTCATTCAAAATTGATGTCCGACCATCCCTCCCCCCACTAATCCGCACCGCCACCTACCCTAACCCCCTTCCCTGCCAATCCTAAAAATCGATGTGAGCATGAATTCCAAAAAGTGTTTATTTAGGAGATCGTCGCCATATAACTCATAGCAAAAAATGCGAGTAAATATAACCATATCGAGTCCATAAAAAAGGGGAAGTTTTCGCAAGGGGGCTGGTGGTTGTTGGTAGGGGACTTTCAGAGGAAAAAGGGGAGGGAATGGAAGAGAAGAGTTATCGCTGTTGGCCAGGCCCCAAGTTGTTGTTCGCCAAGAGTCAGCAAAAAAACTAGAGGGGGAAGAGGGGAACGAGCAGAGGATATAGTCGGAAAAGTATTCAAAAAGCCGAAAAAGACATCGAGTTCAGCTCGCGTTCCCCCAGGCCTGATCCAAAATATGGATATGTGAGGGGGGTTTTATTGCTTATAGTCGCCTGGGGGAACGGGAGGCTACCCAACACGAGGAAGAAGTACAACAGGATACTTGGTCGGAATTGAGGAATAGCCGGGGGGTTTCCGCTTCAAAAGTCTGCTTTTTCGCTCAGTCTCCACCTGGCGCCCCAGAGGTCCGCTTTGGTTTTTTTTTTGAACAAAAAACTAAACAATACAAAACATAACCGCTCGTTTTCAATGCCTCCCCCAAATTTATGCGGCAGAAATTACACAACAAAAATGTGAAAATTGAGAAGAAAAATTAAAAGACCATATTTATAACTGTTGGGCCTTGTAGACGGTCATTTCTTTCTCGTAGCGTTTTCGGTCTTCCGACGCCAACTTTTCCCATTTCTAAAAATGGGTGCGTTGGGGGCGTCAATCGGCGTGTAACGTACCGATTTGTCGGTGAGTTTTCCCCATTCGGCACCGGCGAGCTTGCCGATTTGGCCGACGGACGCGCCGGGGTTCTCGTTCTTCAGCCGGGTGCGGTTCTCGTTCAACCAGTGGAAGAAGGCGGACTGGCCGCGCTTTGGCATGTTGGGGTCCTGCAACGAAAGGTATATTATTTGTAGAATTATGCTTTTATCTATATTAATAATAAAGATGGTTTTATAGTATTTAATATATATCATAGCTGTTTTTGGAGATAAAAACTATAATAAGAGGAAATAATTCAGCAAAAAAATTATCAAAATACAGTAATATTCACTACCGTATCGTTAATAATACCGATTTTATATTATTTTCTAGAAATCTAAACAATAAAAAAGTTAATAATGCAGTATACTTCATAAAAATACCGTATTATTTACTGTTTTTTTGCGACTCTAGTACGATAGATTTTTAGACTGTTTTTCAAGGTCAAAACTACAACCGGGTAAAAATACAGTTTTTATATCTTAACTTTTGTTTTTATCTAATTTTTATAAAAAATTTTCATATCTTAACTTAAGGAAAATCTAGACGTTAGAAATGCAAGACGTCTTTGAACTATTGTAACGTCAATTTTCAAAAAACGAAATTTTCAAAAATTGAAACTTTATTAATTTTTGTAAATTTACTGTACCTTTGCGCCACCCACCTTCTTCACGCGCTTAATGCTCGTCTCGCCGTCATCCTTGCGTGGGCGGCCCATCTGGAAAAAGGGAAAAATTAAAATCAAAGTATATTAAAAATAGAAAGCCAAAAAAATTGAGACAAAAAAAAAATTGAGGGCAAAACACCAAGTCAAAACCAAGCTAGGCATCCCAAATACTGGGATGGTAGGGCCATATGAGGTGCAGATAAGGGGGGATGGGAATCAATGAATGAATTCGGGGGTGGTGGGGGGTTGTGTTGGTGTGGTGTGGACGGAGTAGTGTGGAGGGGTAGAGAACGGGGTATGGCAAGGGGTAGAGAGAAGGGGTTACCGGGGCTGCTGGCTGGGGCTATGGCCTCTGCCTCTGCCTGCTGTGGGCTGTGGCTACTCTGCCCCGTCCTCTACCCTCCTCTCGCGTCCCCTTTTCAAATCAATCTGCCGCCATCTCTGGCCCGGTACTCTCCATCTCTACCTCCTCTCTAAAATCCGCACTCTCTCCCTCCCCCCGCGTCGTCCAGTATCCCGCCAAAAACAACCCAGGCCAATGCCCTCCCCTCTGCTCTACCCCCACCCAATACAAGAGGGGGGTTTTACTCTGTTGAGGGGCAAAGCAGCTGAGAGAAGAGTGTTGCTGTCCCCCCTCAACTCTTCCAAACCCAACCCTGGGCCAAGAACTAGAGACGCAGGGCGAGAAAGGAGGATTGAAAAGGCATCCTTTCAAATCACGTCCCCCACATCTAATCTCCGTCCCGCCATCTCACAATGCCTTTCACATTTTGTGTTGGGATGCGGCACTGTCGCATTAAAGGGGGGGGTGCATCAGGAGGTCGATAAATTATATTGATAGTATGAGAGGTTCGCGAATTTTGCGGGGTCAGGTGATTGATGGGTCAGGGGACGGTTTTTGTAGGGATTTTCGGGTGGTGAGGAGGTGCAAGGCGGTGTCAAGTGTAGTCTAGCGTAGTCTAGATTACTTAAAGGTACTGACTAGTCAGGGTTGATTTTGTAGGTTAAGATTTCAAGGAAATTTTGCCGAGTACGCGACGCGACACGCAACGCAGGTAGCGTTTGGGTATCGTTAAGGAATTTTGATACATTACGCAATGAAAAAGTGCCGAATTTCGTGCGCGATTGCGTTGCGTGTCTTAAGGGCTTGCTTTGCGTATCGCGGAAGCGGCATAGTCTAGAGGAAATTCATGCCTTCCCAGTCCCTTTAATACGCTGGAACCTAAACTACCATGCGATACTACCGTAGAAAACTCTAAAACTACTTTATGATACTTTTAGCCCTCCTAGCCGTCATCTACAGTAAGATTCTAACCAAAATCTGAGTAGTAGAAACTACAAACTACAAAACCATACAACCATATCGAAGAAAGGGGATTTTATTCTGCATCTCCCAGCCCCGCATCCCCCAGCTTAGTAGGATATAACAAAGAAGAAAAGAAGAAGTAGCGCCCTGCAGAAAATATATAAAGGAGAAAGGAGAGCCGGAGAGTAGATGGTAGTGGTTTTGGAAGGAGAAAGGGGGCAGGGCCCAAACCCCTCCCAACGGGACACCGACCCCCATTTATACACACGCCCCTAGGCTGTCCTAATGGGCATATCCAAGGATGAGGAGGGGGAAGGAGGGAAGGATCTAGTATGAAACACACCATAGCCACCCATCAGAGGCCATTGGCCCCTAGCCAACCCACCGGGCACCCAAGCCAAGCACGCACACCATGGATGGGATCGATTGGAGGGGGGGAGGGTTGCATGTGGAATAATAATCGGAGATGAGGCTCGTTAGGGCGGAGTGGAGGGTAGAGGGTAAAGAGCACTAGGTTTAGGGAAAGGCATAGAAAGTGTAGTATTGGGCTTAGGCTTAGACATAGATTTGCGACGTAAAATGTGAGGATACCTATAAACGAACCTATAAAATGTGAAATGTGAGGATACATGCAAAAACAAATTTAATGAACTTTTGAAAACAATTTTGATACCACTAAATGCATTTAAACTTCCTATAGATCCATTTAGCTTAATGCATTCAATCCAAATCGGCTAGTCTGTGTATAGGAGCGCTACGTTGTCAGACCCCAGTACGCCAGGCTCCTCTGTACTCGCTCTGGCTACGGTATCTGTGCTGTGGCAGTATTTGGGCTTAGTCTTAGGCTTAGGCTTATCCTTCGCTTTGGCTTAGGCCTAGGTTAGGCTTAGGCTTAGCCTTAGGTTTAGGGTTAGGCTTAGGCTTAAGCTTCGGCTTAGGTTTGGTTTAGGCGTAGGTTTAGGCTTAGGCTTAGGTGGCGCAGTAATTTTAGTCCTGCTAAGAAAGCTTACAATGCCTTTCAAGTCATCTTTAGAATTTTTACAAAGGTATCTGAAACCAGCAAAAACAACATTATAATTAGCATAATAAGGATACTGCAACTTCTGCCATTTTGCCGAAAACCCCGATTTTAGCATCACGACTAAAAATTCAAACCCTTGATGTTAGTAACCGACGCGTCGGCAGTAAAACCCCCGGCTCAACACCCACAGAAACCGATCGCCGATTAGCATATCATGTGAAAGCAAATATATACGCCCCCTCCCCCGGCCGATCCATCCCACCACAGCCTCGACAACACGTTTCCCGACACATTGATCGTTTTTTGCGAATGCATGGGGTGAGAGGGGGGATGACCGGTGGCAGAACGGATCACGACACCGCCAAACTTATAGTATCGGGCTGGAAAGTAATAACTAATTTTTGGCTGTCCCTAACAACCCTCAGAAAGGTTCAATTTAGATAAATTAGAGGACCTTATTCAAATTTTAATTATGAAAAAGTCTTTAAAACGGAGGTGATACGGGGTGCTCCCGACAAAAAAGATTACGCTGGAAATTCGTCATTAGTGGTAAACCTGAGTCGAAATTCGAAACATGGATGCGAAAAGATATCTAGAATATCCACTAAAATTTTCGGTACTCTAGATACGGTAGTTTTTGAGTTATTGCAAAAAAAATCGATGTTTCGACGCTCATTCTTACTTTATTTTGTTGATATTTTTTGAACTTTGCAATGATTTGCATCGACTTCTGGACAACAATCTTAAATTCCCTTAACAAAGAGGCCGTTTTCAATTTATTGAGGTGATGCAAATTTTCTTACATTTCATGATTACTTCCAAGCCAATTTCGACAAATAAAAACTTTAATCGATTGGAAGTCAGAATTTGAGAGGTAAAAAATGGAAAATTTTTATTTGACGATACCTAATCAGGTTAAGTTTCTCAAAATTCGTATTAAAGACCCAAAATAAAATGTATTTTTGCAATAACTCAAAAACTACCATAGCTAGATGGCTCAAGGTTTCTATGCAAATTTTAAATGTCCTTGCATACCTTTAGACGTTTCACCTAAATTGGGCCCTAAATGGTCGCCATTCCAGCGTTTCTTTTTTATTGAAACATCCAGTATATTGCCATGGCAAGGGGATAATATCGACGTTGAAGCTCGACCACCTCAACCACCACCACCACCCGGCACATAACCCAGCGGGCAGCCCTCCCTATAGCATTGGTCCCCATATAAGTGCCCCAACCACAGACCAACACTAGGCTTCTCTATATAGAATTTCGAATGGCCGGATAGACACTCCTCCTGATAGACACTCCTCTTGCCACAGCCTCCTCCTCTTCCCCTCCCCATCCCTTCTATTCCATATCCGGTGTGGATTAGTGGTGAGGGGGGATGCCCCCTCCCCTGATGCCCTCTATCCAACGGATTTGAAGCCTGAGGTACTTCTAATAACACATTACCATGGAGTGGATGGGGAGATGGAAATATGGAAATTGCGAAGGGGAAATTGAAGGCAATATCGAAACCAAGAGCTAGAAAATCTATTAAGAGAACCAATCTGTAAACCGGGAGAATAAGGATTTATTTTAAATAGTAGAATTTTAATTATTAAAGCGTAATATGTAAATTGAGAAAACTCAAAATCAAAATCAAATCAAAATCAAAAATTAAAAGAAATATGTAAATTGAGAAAACCGGACCAAAAATTAGGAGGCTAGGGTAGGCTAGGGTTTTTGGGCGTCCTCCCATCGCCCCATACCCGTGGCCCGTTTAGCTCAGGGGCAGAGCGTCTGTCTCGTAAACAGAAGGTCGACGGTTCAATTCCGTCAGTGGGCAGTACTTTTTGCTTTTTGGAGAATGGATGCTAAATAGGTTGTAAATGATTGCATTTGTTTTGTTTTTGTTTAATTTTGATTTTTAAGGAGCTTACAAGCTATTTCTGTTGTATTTGTGCTTTTTAATCCAGTTTTTTGCATTTTTGCAAAAAGCGCCTTTTCAAAAGTTAGCCTTAAATTTGAATTCTCAACTTTTAAATATGGCGAGAGATGATTGAAATTAGGGGGTGATTTGCATCTGGAAAATGTTTCAGAAAAATGGTAGAAAATGCATAGTAATAAAATTTTGAAAGCAGGAAAAATACAACTTTCTTTTCATAACTGGAAAATATTTTTTTTAAATAAATGTAAATATGAGGTAGAAAACAAGATTTAACAACGTATATTCCTTAATTATTTAAATCCACAAACGATTTAAAATGCCTTCGAAACAATTTAATTTTAATCGGCGCGTATCTGAATTTTCGGCAATCGCACATTCGATAAATTTGAATTTTTATCGTAAGTTTTGCAGAACCACAAACTACAACTAGATACGGTAAACAGTTACTGGTAAAGAAAAAAGTTTAAATAGTTGAAAATGATTTTAATTCGAAGTTTTTCAAACAAAAAAGATTGGGTTCGTTTTCTGTCCGTCCCCTTAAAAACTCACAAATTCAAGCATGATTCATCAAACCAAATTGGCGAAATTTTAATGAAACACAAAGAAAAGCGAATTTTCAAAAACCGCTCCAAAATTCCCGGGGTCCCAATTACCAGGGAGCTGCCTTCACAAAAATCCTCAACCACGTGGGAGTGGAATAATTAAGGGCCCTCCTCGCCCTTCTGATGCCCGTCGAGAGGGGCCTTCTGGTTTTCACACATCACTTGCCGGACTAGCCACACAAATTCAGCCCTCCCCTCTACACAGCCTTGTCAGTATTGGATGTCGTCGGTTAATGAGAATTTGGCGGCTAGTGGCGGTGGTCGTGTTAGAGGGCCAGAGGACTTGACAGCTATATTCTGGGCCCCGGGGTTTACGACGATGAATTTCGAGACGGTGCTGATACGGCCGGGCTCAACGATGTCGGAGAAGTCGAGAAGGGGACCGAAGGTGGGTTAACCTGTTAATAAACCGATCTAAAATCTTAAAAAAAATTCTGGCTAATTCCCTACTGCTTGAAAACCGCAGGACGTTTGCTAAAAATACTTCAATACAAAATATCTACGTAATAATCAGCCTATAACAGTAATAAATCTTTTTCTAACTCTTAAGGCATATAACCAATTTTAATTTTATTTATAAACTTAATAAATGAAAAAATAAATATATGTCTCGTTAATGCTTGAAAAGCTCGCCGTTCATTACAAGTAATACAATTCTAATTATTAGATAATAATGACTAATATAATAGTAATGGGGTTTTTTGGCGAATTTTTAGGTCCATAATCGATTTTAGCTTTGTTCATTACCCTAAATCATAGAATAAAACGAAGAGATTGACTCATTACTGCTCAAAAACAGTAAATTCGCTAAAACACGATCTCAAAATTCAAAATACCTACGTAATAACGAGCAATAAAAGTAGAAAAGGTCATTTTTGAGAATCAAATTGAAAAATCAGAGAAAAATCAAATTGTATTGTGTTTATAACCCTACTAATTATAATGCAGCAAGATAATATTTTATTACTGCTTGAAAACCGCGTCCCTCACTTAAGACACCGTTCTGAAACCCCTTGGTAAACGTGCGCAAAAGGATTAGTGTTAACTTTTTTCTCTAGTTTCTAAGGCTATTTATAACGCTAAAAAACGCTCCACTTTTACGCAAATATTTCGAACACAGCTGAGCGGCCCACCGAGAAGGCGGCGGATGTAGTTGAGCAGAGCAAGAAAGGGCCGCTTGAATTTCAAATGAGCCCCTCCCGGCCAATAAAGAAGCGCTCCCATTCCATTCCACCTTCGTACGCCTGATCAACAACGCCCTAGGCATCCATATTTTTAGTTTGAATTTATAGAATTTTTTAGTGAAATACGCTTTTGAAACTATGCTATTTCTTTGTTTTGCAACCTCACACTGAAGCGCAAAAGTTTAAATTTGATGATTTTATCAAAACGGGATTACTTTCAAAATGCCGAAAATTATAATGTCGAAAACGATGATCTCGAAATTCCATAATGTCGACATTTCAGAATGCCTACATTTCAGAATGCCGATAATTCAGAATGCCGACATTTCAGAATATCGACATTTCAGAATGCCGACATTTTAGAATCCAAAATCACCCCCCATTCTACCCATTTCAGTTTGCGATGAAACTTTTCCGAAAAGTTGACGGTTTCCGCCACAACGACGAACAATACCTATGCTGTTTCCATGAATTACATTGCAAGGTAAATTCAGCGTATGCAAATTAGTTTCCCCTATTTTTTTCTACAGAGCGGCTGCTTCGTCGTCAACGTCCTCAACAGTTTCCTATTCTGCATCCTCGCCGTCCAAACCATCTTCTCCAGCGAGAAACAGCACCTAGACTTCTATGCCTTGTTAATACAGGGTACCGTAATCGCCTGCACTTTCTATGCCCTCCCACGTGATAAGCCACTACTTCTAATACCTGCTATTATTTTTTGGGTATGGTTTTCTTGCCTTAAAATATTACTTATTTTTAGATTGTGATCAGCATTCTGTTTTCAATATTAATCGCGCTTTCGCTGGCCTATGGACTCCATCCCACCAGTTTTCCGGAACAGGCCAAATTGCATGCAACGGAAAAACTTGGGAGTAAGGATTTAATAGAAACTAGATAACTACATAAGGCAGATTGTCAATAATGTCGATCTTAAAATGGTTTAGCACCTCTAGAAAAATGGAAAATCGTTATTCTGTAAAATCGGTATTATGCAAATCGTTATTTTAAAATCGGCTTTATGTAAATTTGCATTATGATTTTAGCCTAGTAAAAAAATGGCCCAATTTTTAGTGGTACGAGGTGTGGCTTTCGTTGGAATGTTCATGCTCACTGTCCTCGCTGCGGTTTGCGTATGGTTTATCATAATCCACATCAGGACTTATAAATATGTGAAGAAAATTAGAGAGTAAGTTTTTAATTTATAGTTAATTATATTGAATTGAATACTGTCTATAATTTTTAATTTAGATACGAAGCAAAATTCGCAAAAAGAAAAATCGATATCGAAGGTAATTAGCGGGTCAATAATCTGAAGGATCGTCCTTGGGAAATCCGAGGAATGCTGGATGATAGATTCCGGTATTTACGTTTGGTTCTAAAGCCGTAATAATTAATTAATAAAAATTACCAATATTCACATCAGCATGCAAATACGATACCGCAAATGCACAGCCAGGGAAGTCAAAAATTGTCGTCAGATTGAAAACAACTACCGAGATAAAAGCGGCATATTCTAATAAAGCGTCTTCTGGAGGTACTGCAAAAATAGAAAATAAGAGAATATATAATTTATACTATAATATATAATTCAAAGTACTTACCCAAAGTATGACAAATTTTTCGCTCCGTATATTCCGTGTATCTTGATATAACTCTGGGAGCACTGACACACAATGAAATCATACAGAATAGTCGTATTCCAAGTTTTGTTGTTTTCTAAAATTAAGATTTAAATTTGGTTTATATTATTTACACCAACGATTTTCACTTTTCGATCCATTAAATCGACCGCTATATGGGCCAGCATATAAATAATCGAGAAAAATGCCAGCACCACCATATTGCAGGGCATCAAAAAAGCGACTAAATGTTATAAATTTATTACTATTAATTCGCCACTAATAAATTTTATTTACATATTTTTAATATTGATATAAATTCCTGTATTGTTTGTACTTACTAGTTTCGTCGCTATCCTGATGAAATGTCGTAACCATACATGCAAATGTGGTTTCCACACATAACAGGGCCGGAATAACAAATGCAAATTTGCGGATAAATACGTGATATTGTGGATTTAGAACGTCAAATTTGCATGCCCGAAACCAAGCATAATAAAACCGTACGCACAGATTGCCTAAAAATATTTAATTTACATTTTTAATGATCTAAATCACCCAGAACTAGTAGACGAAGCGAAACCTGTGTCATCGCCTTCATCTCGATTGTTCGTAATATTGAGGGCAATAAAAATTGCCCGACTGGTCTTTCGGCCTAAATGGTATATTGATGGTTAAGCTACGATTCTTACAATACACCACGACGCCCAGGTACTCCCAAACATCACCCTCACATACCCGGCTCGGTGTTTTTCCCGATTTTTCACGTGAAAACGCCGGACAAACGCTCGTCTAATCCCTTAAAACCGTTATACCACTATTAATCTTGCCTTCGGAATCGATGAAAAAATCAGCATGTTCTTTGATTTTTTGGTCAATGTATTCCTAAAAAATTTAAGTAATATAGGGAGGCCGAACAAAACGACCCTTTCTGCATTTGGCCGCGTTAAACCGGATCGGTCCCAAAATTTTATCAAAGATGATCAGACCTTATGTAATAACAATCCAAAATTACAGCCTTATGGCTACAGTAGTTTTCGAGCTTTTTTAAAAATAAACTTTGTTTTACGTTTTGCGAAGGGTTCCAGTGGGCGACCTAGCAAATTGTAAATGAAAATAATGCGGAAAACCTTCTTGGCCGCTATAATTTTTCTTACCAACAAAACAAGATAAATTCTGATTTAAACGATTTTACAACCGAAAATTGCCAACAGTTGTTGAGAATTACGGAAAAAACAGTATTTTCGTTATAAACTCGAGAACTACTGTAGCTCTGGAGCTGTAAATCAGGGTTGTTGTTATTTAGGGTCTGATACACCTCTCGCCCAATTTTGAAACTGATCCGATGTAATACGGCAAAATGACGTTGGGGTCGTTTTTTGGAAACCCGGTATAGATCATCAAAAACCCACATCTCTAGTTGCATTTGGGTAATTATCCTCCGGAATTGGCACCTTTTCAAAGGAACATATTAAAGCTAATACACAGATTAATACAGAAGCCACGCCCACTAAAATAAGATAAAGAATTTCGAGGTTCTATAGTACTGTAGCTGCCGAATCTCAGAAACGTCGAGCTCAAGTACGCCATTTTCCATTCATGCTCAGGCTCCAAATATCGGAATTGGGTCATCATTCGTTTAGGCCTCATTTAATTCAATGCACAAAATTAAAAATACAGAATTGGGAATAAAATAAAGATCAATAGAAAAAGCAGCGACCAAGCCCGTTAGCAATGCCTCCTTCCCGGATTCCACGCAGCGAGTAAACTGGTTCCGATTAGGCGACAGCTTCGCGCGCCCAATCCCTTGTTTCTTAGGCTTCCCCTCCTTTGTTTATGCATCTCCGCAACGTTACCCTCGTTCCACCCACTTTAAACAATAAATTTATTCAATTAAAAACAAGTTCCGAATACCGGGGCAGCTAATGAAAAAGAAAATAAAACAGTACCTTATTAATTCGAAATATTAGTTTTTTTGAAAGGCATATCTATCGTTTTTTTGAGGCTGTTGGCTAATTACTAAGAAAGAATCACAGATTGGGGGGATTGAAATTTGGCGAGTAACTAATTAAAGAAAGGAAGCTACAGAAAGAACACAGAAAGAACAATCACACTTCATGTAGTGGATGACCCAGGTTTGCCCGAAAAGTGGATGGGAGCGCGGTGAAGACGTGGAAGACACGAGGGATGGGGGAGGCGATAAATTAATTTTTAAGGAGAATAGCACAGGAAATGACGCATATTTCTCAATCATCAGTTTGCTTGAACGGCGGCTTGTTCGGGTTCTGCAGGCGCCGCGCTGAAGGGATCTACGGATTCTTCGGAATCTGAAAAAATGCGGGTATTAGGTAGAGGACAAGGATACTAGCTAATACACCGTTTTTAAAGGAGCTCACAAGCCAAAACCGAATCAATTTGTGAAAAAAAACACAATAAGAATACTGCTTTAAAGTTCCGAAAGTCTGATTTCGTTGCGAAATAGGCCACATTTGAGAAAAAAAGAATCTTTTGGACAAAATCGTCTTTTTCGGGCTTGCGTGAATTATATGTGGTAATGCTATGAAACACAGCTGTAAGGCGTAGTTTCCGATGCCAATTTGCGAAGTTGAACATGCCGAGACGATGATAATAACTTAAGGAATCCAGAAATGGCTTGAGAATTTTCTAATTCACGCATTTTCACGTTCAAAAAGGTGTTGCAACCGCGCGGCGGTTGCGTGGCGGCCTATCTGGCTAGTTGCGAGAAACCAGCGCTTTCTAGTCCCTTTAAAGAGCCCCGAAGTCGAAAAGATGGAAAGCACAAACCTGGCATCTGGGGGATGAAGTTGAAGCTTGTTGGGATGGGCATCATTACTGGGGCAGTGGGGGCGGCCATTGGTGCGCCCTGAGCCGCTGATGAAGCGGAAGTGACTCCATTGAAGTAACGCGAAGCACCACCAGCACGGGCAGCACGAAGACCGGAGGAAGGACCTGTTTGGAAGGAAATTGTTATTTTAGGTATAAGTATGTGGCTTAGGTATAGGTATAGGTAAGGTTTAGGCCCACGTTTCTATAACTCCCACTTACCTTGAGGTGACTGCGGTCCAGCTGTAGGTGTAGCCGCACCAGCCGGAGCTAACGGTGCCATTGTGGGCATAGTTGGCATCCCCATAGCCGGTGGCGGAGGCGGAGCCTCTTCCTCCTCGACCCCTTCACCGACCCATCGCCCCAACTTGTCGTCGTAGTAGATCTAAAACAAAATAATAAATTTTGGTAAGCACTAAAGTTTAAACCCACCGTCTTTTTCGAGTCATCCGGCAGATGCACCTCGTTCTTGCTGCCGATCTTGTGCAGCTGGGTGGCGACCGACGACTTGATAGCGCCAAACCAGCCCCCGGAACCGCTCTTGCCGCCCATTCCCGGGTTTTGGCGGGCCGGGGAGTTTTCTTTAGAGCCTTGAGGTTGTGGTTGCTGCTGGTGTTGTTGTTGTTGGCGCTGTGGGGCGGGGGTGGAGTGTGGAATGGACGGTTGCTGTTGGAAGTCCTGAAGGTATTGTTGATGTTGTTGCTGCTGATGTTGTTGCTGATGTTGTTGATTTTGTTGATGTTGCTGCTGCTGCGGATGTTGCATCACAGGTTGTGGTGGTGGCTGCTGAGCAGGCGGCGCCCATTTGTACTCCGGAATCTCGGGTACAGTAGCCAAAGGGCTGGGCGGAGCGCTGTTTTGAGGGGATGCAGATTGCTGATGCTGCTGCTGATGATGTTGCTGCTGATGAGAAGGCTGAGGAGGAGCATAATGATGAGCAGGAGCCCTCGAAGCGGAGGCCTGGCTGGAGATTGACGCCCGACGATCAGTTGTGTGCATGCTGATCGGGTCTTGCTGGCTATGCCAATCGTTAGCTTCAGAAGTGATGGAGTTGACACGGGATCGTGGTGGTGAAGCTGCGGGTGGTGCTGGCGGTTGGTAGGCCGCTTGCTGGGGTGCCGGCGGTTGATGAGGCTGATGTGCTGGGGGTTGTGGAGGAGTTTGGGCTGCCGCTGGGACTGGTGGTGGGACGTAGGTCATGGGAGGTTGAGTTTCCTAAAATTATGTGAATAGATATACATGACGACATTTTTTGTGAAAAGGCTATACTCTATTCTCCCACTTCCTATCGCGTGACCTGACCACCGTAATCTCCCTATTTCGAAAAGCGGCATAATTACGCGTCGTAATCGCCATCTCTCTTGGGATTTTTACTACTGATGCTTTTGGGTTCGCTGCCAATAATTCTATTTCTGATACTCACCTGCTTCTGAACAGTCGGTGGCGGGATATTCTGCGGAGGAACAGGCCCCTGGGGTTGGATAGCGTTCTGCTCGATCATGTCTTGTAGCTCGTTGATCCACACGGCCGCATTTGTCGGATCTTCATTCGACATCAAGCACTGGTATGCCACATCGCACAAATCGACCAACACATCGATCGGGAAGTAATTACGGATGTGCCAGATTTGCTGGGCGATATTTGTGGCGTAGCTAAAGGGAAAGGTATGATTTTTTCACGAGATTCTTACTTGTAAGCCTGTTTCGGGAAACCCATTGAAGCCAAGAGTTTCGCGTATTTGACGCGCGTCTTTTGGAATTCGATGGAGTGGATGAGATGGCTTTCGCCGCCCGCCAAGGAGATGCCGTAAGCGAAGATTTCCGTGGCATGGAGATTGGTGAGGGAGAAGCCATAGCTTAAACGTTGTTTATCCTACCGTATATAATTTTGGTGTGTATCTTTGTGTGTGTGTGTGGATGTCAGTTTCGAGGCCCGATTTGAGGGCCTTCCCGGGTCCAAAATGCCCTAATTCTCCGTCATTCGGGGGAATCGACCCTCCTCTTTCCGATGGCGCTTTCAGAATCCCGATAAAATACAAGTTTACAAAGTTAAAGCCGGTTTAATTCATTTTTGGGGTACCGGAGAGCTAATTTGCATAATGCGAAAAAATACAAATTTCCTCATTCTTGCCAGTTGCACTCGCGCGTGTGGTCGGGAGTTGGGAGGGTCCGCAGGACCCGAGCTGTCAGAAAGTCAAACTTTTCATGCAAAGGCCGCATTCCAGCGCCCAAGGCCCGCGAAGCGGGTTTTGGGCGCTGGTATAAAACTAATTGCACATTTACATACCTGCATTCCGTCGAATTATACTTGTCATGCGGCAGACTGGCATTGACAAGGGAGATGTGTTCCCGGCTAGCACTTCCGTTAGCATTGGGTGGAACGAAGACATTGCTTTGCTTCAGGATTGCAACGGCTGAAGGTATCAATTTTCCTTGATCCTGATTTTATGCTCCTACCCAGGAAACAGAAATCGGCCGCGGCATCGTATTCCTTTTGCGCCAAGAATTTTCCCAATTCATAGACCGTCGACATGGCACATTCGGTTTGAAGGTTGGCCAAAACGATGGCAGCATGTGCACGCCAGCTGCCACCATCATCTGTTGCCGGATTTACCTGGAATCTACGTTTTAAGGGGGCTCTAAACTCAGAAATTCCCTGTTCTAGCCAATCAGAAACTACACTTTTTGGTTCAAAAACCAATAAGATACGACTTAAAAGTACTAGGAAACGGAATTCCTTGCAAAAAAAACGGCAAAATCGAGGTTTTGAGCGGGTAGGGATTACATGTCGTAATGCAATGTAGGGCACCTGACTTCTCGATCTCGCTGATTTTGGGTCACTTTTTATAATAAAAACAACTGACATGATTAAAATTTACTGAAAATTTTCTAAAACGCGTCAAAATTTGGGAATTAACGCATTTTCACGATAAAAAAACCTAAAGGACAGGCTGTGCGGTCGCGTCGCGGCTCGTCGGCCAGATTTCCCAGCCCCTTTAAACAAAGTTTGATAATACCCACCAAAACAGGAGCCTTATGATTGGCAGCGACCGTCAGCAGTGTGGTGATAGGATGATTATGTAGTCGACTCGTCATATAGAGCATCTCCACTTCCTCGATTCTCTGCGGTGCAACCCTTCTGGCCAAAAGCAGGGCCTCAGTGTACATTTCATTTCGTAGAGCGGTGTCTATGGCCTCCTAAAATATATTATTAATAAAAATCAATAGTAGAATTACGATTATTAATCTTATCAATTCCATTAACTTACATCAATATGACCTTGGAGTATAAACTCGTCAAAAAGTTTTCGTTGACTTCCATCGACAGGTTGATACGTGGGTGTTGACGATGTTTCACGACTTCTCGCTGGAGCAGCTTTTAGTAGTAGACGTGCAATGTCAGGGCCGGTTACGCGCTAAAATACAGTATTTAATTATGCCGATATAATAGCAATTTGAATCTTGCCAGTATTTACCCCATGTTGCTGAACCAACGTCTCCAACAACTTCCACAACAATCGACAATCAATCACATCATTGTCGAAAGCATTCTCCTGCGCCACCTCCGTCATTTCGAGCTGCTGAAGCTGACGCTGGATGTATAGCGTCACCTAATTTGCATAAATTAATAGGGTACATTTTTTTTACGATATGTGAAGGTGTGCTCGTTGTCAATGGGCCGCGGAACATTTGCACGATGTGCTGCAGCCGTTTGGCCTTTTCGTCTTGGCCACAACTGATGGATCTTTGGATGTTGGTGAACTATAAATTAAGATTAAGTTTATTTAGTCTTAAAATTACCATAATCTCAGCCCCGAGTCTTTTTGGGTCGATGACAAGAACTTGTCCGTGAGGTCCCATCATAGAGAAAGAGCAGCGATCGGAGTATTTTGTTGGTCCGCGCTAAATATACAACATATTGTAATTTAAGTCCAAAATTATATATAATTAAAAATGAAAAATATATATAATCCAAATAAAAAACTATAATTAAATATACCGTTTGTAAATCGACACTTTCCGCATCTCCACTTTCACCGTAACCACTTCCACGCTCGCTCTGACTGAAAAATTAGATGATAAATTTTGTTTCATAAATTTAGCCCAAAAAGACACATATAATACAACATAGGGGAACCCGAAAAGCTTTTGAATCGACCCAAGAAGAAGAACAGACATTCAAAACTGGTGATCGACTCTACAACCTCAAGTGACCATGCACTCAACTAGAACAAAACGAGATCTCGCATCAAAAACAACTATTTCATCGAGTGCATCGTCACAAAAATCAGTTCGAGACTATATTCCCGAAATGCGTGTGGGTTGACCCGGACATTTGTCACTCACTCATCATCATCCAAACAATGACGATTGGGTAAGAAGGTGCTGAAGGATGGGGATGGTTAGGTTTTGCGTTTTTAGAGCTAATAACGGGACCACGTGAGGTCAAGGTGGTGGTTTTAAATGCGAATTAGCGCACCTTACACAGAAATTTTAGCTGATTCCGAATCTGTTTTCATTTTTTTCACAAACAGCTCAATTTAAAAAAATCATGCTTCTTTAAACGAATTTTTAGCTTTTTTGTTTTTCTGTTTGGTTTTTTTCGATTTTTAATAGCCTACCTGATCGAAAATTTTATTTTTATGGCCTGTTTTCCACCAGTTCCCATACAAAAATCCGAGTCTATACAGTGCATTGCAAATTTTTTCCCGTTTTTGGCAATTTTTAGCTAGGAATCTCATTGCATACACGACAATTTTCTGAATCCCGTGGTAATATAAATTTTTTAAGCTAGCTTGAAAATATAAAAAAAGGCTCTTGAAGAAGCCTGAAATAATTTAGACAAAAATGGCCTTAATAGCCCGTTAACTTTTCTAACCGAGCTATTTGGCAAAAATCACACGTAGATTCGGAATCAGCAAAAAATTCTGGACAAGATGGACTTTGCCTCAATTCCAAAACGTCATCTTGACCTTACGCGGCGCCCTCCTAAAGTGTACATAATTAATTACCGTTCCTCCTCATCATGACTGTCACGCTCATCGCTAAACAGCTGCTTCTGCGCGCTGGTGTATCGATCTTTGTTCAGCTGACTGTAGCGCGTTTGCATTTCGGCGCAAATCTGAAAAAGGCCGGCGAATGTAAGTATGATTTCAAGCTTTCCTTACCCTGTACAACGCCTCGTCATTCGGCACTCCACTAGCCGTCAACGCATAGTAATCCCGGTTGAACTTCTTCCGGAAGTCCTCCACATCAAAGTACTGTCGCTGCCAGAGGGCTGTGTAGAAAACGAATGCCACTTTCTCCATGGCGTTGAGGGCATCGTATTGGGGTGGTGGTGGGAATTGACGGACGGTTGTGATGAATTTTCCCTGAGCTCTATTGTAAGCATCGTTTTGTATCGTTTACCAATGGAACTCGAAGCGAGCCGATGTAGTAGATTTCGGCCTTGCTGAAGTGGCGTTGGGCTTGTTGGACGGGGACGTTGTATTGGGCCATTTCAGCGTCTGGAAATTGGTTTTGAGCTTTGTTGATCGCTCTCTCTCTCTCTCTCTCTCTCTCTCTCTCGCCTACCTGAATCAGCTCCATCAGCGCTTTCGCTGCTCATCCCCGGACTGTTAAACGCGTCGTAATGCTCGATTCCAAGCCCAGAACGTTCCATCCTGAAATAAAAGTGTATTAGAAACGCTTCCTCCGTTTTTAAGCAACTAAATCTAACTTATTAAACATTGATTTTGCAGGTAATTAGCATCTCTTAGCGCAGATTAGCAGATTATGGCCTTTTTGCGTAAACTTAGGTACTGCTAGCTTACAATTTTCTCACATAAGCTCTTGAGCGGTAAGATTTACTGAAAAGCTACTATAGCCTAAAGCTCCCGGGCTACGAACCTGGCCAATGCACGGGGATCGTAGCTGCTCTGTGGCCGTCGGACGTGTTGCTCCGTCATTCCCATATCACCGTACCCAGCCACACTTCTTCTTCCGCCGTTGCTTTGGTATGCATGTGGTTGCCTGAATTCAATTTATATATATATGTTAAAGTTTATAAAACCAACCTTGGATACCGATCTTGCCGAATCTGAGGCCGATATCCTTGTGAAGCTCGATGAAGACGGCTTCGTCTCGAGTTCTCCACAAAATTGTCTCCATAAGCGGAATGAGGGCTGTCCATTGAGTATTCAAGCGGACCATCTGGATTGGTCAGGAAGGAGTTTCCTAGGGAAACCAGGTCTTAAAAACAGTTAACGAAATCCTTACCATCACCAGATTTCTGCGGTATAACATCGTAGTGAGCGCTGGCCGGCCTGGAGTGGTTGTTGGTCCGGCTGGTCACCGAGCGGCGTCCCTCCCTAATTTGCATATTTTTAATAAATTTGTAAATACTCACTCAAAGAGAGGATTCGGCCGGCCGATGACTTGCCCATTGGGCCCTCGGAGGATGCTTTGGCGGCTGACGATTTGCGGGATTCTAAAAAGCAATTTTCATTTTTTGTTAAAGCAGCTAAGGTACCTCTTTTTGTACTCCATATATTGATTTGAGATTTGGGCTCGAGTAAGGATACTGGAAGCGCCGCTGTCGTTCGCTTCTTGTTCTCGGTAGTCGTCAACGGAATAGCGGCCTGTAAGGTATAAGGTACGTACAGGCCGACATGTTTCGTATCTCGACTCCCTGTTCATTTTAAAGATGTGTAAAGTATACCAAAATGTTAGTCTTGGTCTGGCGAGTATTTTAGTATAGTTTACAGGCCGATAGGATAAAGGGTAGCTGAGATAAGTTAAGTTCAAACGGCTGGTGGGATGCCATCAGCTTTCAAGGTAATTATTTATATTAATTTGTGTTATCTTGTGTTTACTATATTAAACCTATTAACCTACCGCTCGTATTCAAAGTCCTCGACACCGGCTTCCCGCCAGCATTCCAGCTGAACAACGGATTCGCAGCCGAATACTCGGCCTCAGTTTCCGGCGTGAAGTTTTGAACCTTCACGAACCCGTCGCTGGTCCTGAAATAACGATTTAAAATCACATTTAATTCACTAAATTAAGCTTAGAATTTGGTCAGTCAGAAAGTCACTATTTTTGACGAGCACCGCCCGATCGAAAAGCGCGCGCCGGGATTTGTTTGCTCTGCGGCTAGCAGTAGTAGCGCTCTGACAAATAAATATGCGAGAGAGCGCTGGAAAATGAGAGAAATCAAGAGCGAGAGAGAGAGAGATGTTTAAAAACTATAAATTGATAAAGATGTATTTGACTAACCGATCGCTATTCTGCGTATCCGACAACTGGGTGTTGAGCTCCTTCTTCACTGGAGTATCGGTCGGAGAAGGTACGGTAATGTCAAGCCCTTGATCAACATCATTTGGGGTAGATTCAGCAATGGGACGTCCTGGTCCAGAGTTGCGACGTGTCGTTGGGGTGGTATCTTGAACCGAAGATCTCCTCGGGAATAGCTCATCCGCATCCTCGTGGGTGCTGTCGATTTCTTGTTGTAGCACCCGCTGCATCATTTGTTCGTCGAGGACCTCGGGTTTTGGCTCGACTTCCTGGAATTAAGAATATATTAACAATGGGTGTGGTTCTTTCGCATTATCGGGGGGAGCAGCCTTTTCCTAAAAATCCAGAAATGCCTTTTAACGCAATAGTAAATGTTTAATAGTGTCTTAGCAAAATGTAGCTATATTTTAGGTAAAAAAATAAAAACATTAAAAATTTTAGTTCAATTTTTGTCGAAAAATCGATACGTTTGGTTTTTAATCAAAATTTGTAAAGTTTTACGTTGAAAATATTAAAAAAAAATTTAGGAACCACGCCGTTAATAGATAATAGTTCTCTAAAAACGTTGCTCCCTCGATAATGCACAAGATCCATGATTAAGAGTTTAGAATTAAAATATGTATTAAAAAAGGAGTATCTAGCGCTAATCGGTGGGGACGCACCCCCGATCCACCTCCTCGACCACTAATTGGAACCTATCGATTACCCCGGATCAGCACCCACCTCAATTTCCGGCCATTTATTCTCCACTTCCGGCACCTCAGGCTTTTCCTCAATTGGCGGCGGCAATACCGGTTCCTCCATTTGCAAGTAGTTATTAGAATGCACGGGCTCGGCCTCCGGAACCTGCTGCTCAAATCCAAAATCGAGGGCAGTATCTGGTTTCACGTCTTCAAGAGGAGGCTGATCCCAATGGGATGCCGTTTCGGGTTCAGGCTTTGAGGTTTGTTGTTGTTGGCTTTCATGTTGATAGTAATCCGAAAATTCATGTTGAGGTGGCTGTTGTTGTTGTTGATAATACGGGTCAGTATATCGATGTTGGTATTGTTGAGGGGGTTCGACAGATGATTGATGCGAAGGAGGGAACACGGGTTCGGCAGAAGATTGGTGTGGCAGTGGCTGGGGTTCGACGGAGGATTGATGAGATGGGAATCGTTGTTCCGGGGTTTCATGTTGGAATTGGGGTTGAACTTCCGGTTGGACTTGTTGTTGTTGCTGCTCAATGACTGGAGCTGATGGTTTTGGTGGGAGGATGGGGGCGTGTTCAATGACTGGTTGAGCAGGTTGGGGTTGGGAGTAGTGATGCTAAATTGAAATGGTGAGTTTTAACGTGGTTTTAGATACCTCAGGCTGGTGAGTTGCTGCAGGTTGAAATTGTTGATATTGATTCTAAAATAAAGCTTAATCATAGAATTATGAAACTCAGGCCATCGCTATTTAAAAAAATCCTTACGGAATTTTGCTGATGTGGTTGTTGCGGCTGATGGTTGTAAGTTACCCCATTATTTTGTTGATTCCAATTATTGGCAGCTAGTGCATTTGCATTTTGCTAAATTTCCATCATTATTAAGGTATTTAAATTCATAAAATTTGGCGATTTCACCCACATGTTGCTGCTGACCCCATTGGTCCTGCTGAACCGGCTGGGACCAGCTAGCATAATTTTGCTGCGTTGACGGACCTCCTAGAAAACTTTTCACATTTTTAAGCCATTTTTTACCCAAATTAATTTGATCCCAAGGCGAAGGCGCGGCTTCTTCTTGATTTCCAAGCTGCGTCTGCCAGTAGAAAGACATCCTTAGAAGATTTTTAGCATACTGAAATGGTTTTTGGGTTTGTTAGGGCACGGAAAACTAGGTCAAAGAACAGGAATGTATTTTAAGGGCGCGTTCCGATTGATCTCGTACATGACACCTATATCTAGGTCTCTTTGGTGGGGGGAATTGTCGAGTGGAGGAGCGCTGGCATACGCAACGCGCCGGCCGGTGCGTTTTAGCGGTCAGCGGTTGGTCAAGACTGAAAGGGTTGCCAGTTGAGAGCCAAAACATCCAAAGTTTGGGTGTATTGTCGAGTGAGTGAGTAAATAGTGTCATTAAAAACTGCTTAACCAAAACGATGGTAATCTAAAAGAATTTACCAACGTGTTCGTTAAGATCCTTTAAAAACTACGGAAATCTGACGTATATTTGCTTGTTAATGATTTTTAAAGCTCGATTTTTATACATAGGACTCAGTAATTTTGAGAACAAATCAGCATGAAAGTATTTAACCTTTCAAAAAGGTCTATAAAATCGCATCCCGTCAAAATAAGAGTCAAACATCAGCCGATATTTTTATAAAGGCTCTAAACGATTTTAATTTAGATTTAAAATACCCCAAAAACAAACTAGTATAGCTAAAATCCTACTATATATAAAAAAAATAGTGTTTGTGTGTGTGTGTATATTTGCATGCACTTCCGTTTGGATGTTCCGCGCCTACAGCCTCAGGGAAGCATTTTTTCGGTAGGGAAAAAACGTCATAGGGTAAAGAAGGGGGCGGAATCGACTGCACACACATAAAAGTTTTGAAAAATTGCTATTTTCGATATTAAAATTAGGTTTTTGTAAAGTTTTCGGCCAACCTCTTTGTTAGGGAGCAATTAGCATACGCCGGAAGTGGAAATGGCTTATAAAAAGGAAGAGAGGGCGCGCTTTTCATTTTTGGTGAGCGGTTTTCGGCAAGAATTATGCAAAGTCAATACTTCATCGATCCTAGACGGGGCCAGGGTTGAAAAGCCGCGAAGCGGTTTTTCAACCCTGGTAATCTTAATAAAAATGCTCTTATTGAGACGAACAAATTTCAAGTAAATTAATGTTTATCATATTACACAGAATTGAAAATTAGTCCTATTTCCAAGCGATTTGGTGTTCCGGAGCAGCTCTACGCCTACTCAAAGGGTCATCCAAATGTGATGCGGGGTCAGCGTTGAGCCCTGCGGGTTCTTTGTAGCATCCCATACATTTATAGAAATGCCGATGCAAATTTTAACAATTTATATAGGTTGTTTTGTGCGCCTTTGCCCCTATTCTGGTTATATAAATCCTCTCCTTATTTTCGTGAAAATTCAAAAATCAACGAAAAGTGGTCTAAAGAAAAATTGTAAGTCTTTTAAAAGTTATTTTAAACTTTTGAGCTTGTTTTTACGATCTTTTTTTGAACTTTTGGGGGCTCGAAAATCCGAGGCTAGTCGGCACTTTGCAGAGGGGAAGGGCCGATTCCCGGTCGAGATGCGGGGACCACCCTGAAGATCGCTTCGGTGGTCCGACCACCCGGAAAGAATTTCCAAATGTTTTGAGGGGGAAATCCTGTCATATATATGTAATACTCGAACCTAAATTCAAATAGATTTATTCACCCGGATGAGCGGCACATAATAATGAAAATAAACATAAAGATAATTACAGGTTTAAATTCATAAAGATCGTTTTTCAATATATAGATCGTATTAGCATAGAGAACGACTTTGTATTTTTTCATTAACTATATAAATGTTAATATTTTAAATTCATAATTATTATTATTACATTTATAGTTATTAATTTTTAATGAAACAAATGTTTCTCATTACAATAATCCACAAATTGATTAATCTGACTACAACTAACATTTGGATAATACATCCGAATCAACACGCAATTCCTCGAGGCAAAGTCGGCAATATCGGAAATTCCCCAAGAAGAACCCATCTAAAAACAACACCACTTTTCGATACCTATACTAAATACCTTTCTAGTCTCCGCACACATTGCCACTAAATTTGCCTTCGAATATTCGACATTCGATTCTTTATCAACAATCGCCTGAAAAGAAAATTAGAATTTTAGGGCTAAATCTGAATTACCGGCATTTCGATATAATTCTCTTGCGGTGCTACGGCTGGGACATAATATTGTTGGATCTAAAAATTGTTAAAAATCGGTAAATTTATTCAAACCTGAGTTTGATAAGGTTGTATGACCCTTTTCTTGATTCTGGCCTTCTTTTTTAGGTACGGTATCGTTGTTGTCGATTCGGATACCACAGGTATCTAGATTTTAATGGGTTTTGTGATTTAAATGATACCTCGGTGGTGATTTGAGTGGTTTTAGGTTGACTTGTTGGTGCAGTTGACGCCTGCGTATTACTGGGCGTTTCTGAGGTGCTACTTTCTGCATTTAATTGCAAAATCTTTGAATGCTGTGCCTTTTTTCGTCTTAATTTTCTTCTTCTTTTCTTTAGTTTTCGTTTTGTCGGTTTGGCTGTTGTTGTAGAATTATTAAAAGCTTCTTCAGTAATCGCCCAAGAAACGGTTTCTTCATTTTTCTGTACAGATAGATTTTCTTCAACTTTTATAGTAGTGGTTTCCAAAACAAGGTCCTGAGACTTCATCTTTTTCACTTCTGAATCCTTCGATTTCTCTTCCATATACGGTTTCTTCTCTTCAAATTCCCTAACCACATACAACCTCCCATTCTTGGGTATGCGCTCTTCAGACGAAGCTACAAAACGAGACAGCCCGCGTCTCAAAAACGCATTTACTTCCGTGGGAACGTATTTGGCTGAGATGGTGGAGGTTCTGACTTTCTCAGTCCGAAAATATTCCTCGGAAAGGAAGGTGTTGTCGGGTACCGGTTGGGAAATGGATTCGACGAGCTCCAGCTGGGGCTTTGGGCTATAGGGAGGAGGGAATGCTTCTCGGCTCGTTGGTGCCGGCCATTCGGCTGGTTCAATCCGGTCTGTAGAGCCTGAAAGAAGCGATAGAATGAAAATATTTGGAAAGGTATACAGGGTATTCCAAAAAAGCAGCCTCCGTAATTTGGTCGCCTTGCGTCCGTACGGTCCAAAAATAGGACCAGAGGTGTATTAGACTTTAAATCACAACAATCCCGACTTACAGCCCCGGAGCTACGGTAGTTCTTGAGTTATAGTAAAAAATTTCACTTAATTTCTGGGGGGTCGATTCCAACGAAACCCCCATTAAAAACGGATACTAGAGTTTATTTTTATCGTATCTCGAAAATTACTGTAGCTTGAGGGCAATAAGTCAGGTTTCGTGGTATTTAAGATCTGATACGCCTCTGGCCAAAATTCAGGAACAATAAAATGTAAAGCGCCCAAATGCAGGAACGTTGCTTTTTTGGGACACGTTTTAGATACCTGAGGAAACGTAATACTCCCGTGCTGTTCTGGGAGCGCCTATCCGAACTTGACGCAAACACTAAAGGTATCGTTTCCAACAAAAAAAAACGCTTGGCAAACCTGAATAGGGTTAAGCACAGCCGATAGGGCAAATAAATAATAGATCATTAGAAAATACTAGCACATTTTCGAATGGTAGAGATTAGATTCCAGATTTTTTTAGAGATAAAATCGGTCCGGATTCAGGGTTTGGAAGGATAGTCGTTTGTTCTTTCAACCAGGCAGTTTCAGGCACCCCCGGGCGAAATCAGTGAAGCTGGAACATGAAGGGGGGAGGGGTTAAGCCCTGGGAGCCGGTGGGCAGGAAAAGAAAAGCAGCAAAAGGGGGGATCGGACAAGTCTCGCGGTCCGTCCCGATATACGATCTAGCCTAATTCGGCCCACACCAAGAAAGAGAACGGCGAGGAGCAAGAGGCGAGGAGCAAAGTGCAGCTAGCCACAGATGTTGAACGGTCTCTACAATGGGGCATTCTCCCTGTTCAAGCTCAGCGCTCCGTTTTGATCACACGCAAAAAGTGGATGGGCGGGTGGTTTTAGTGGCTGTGAATGGTTTGGGTTATGGGGGAAGACGGGGGATCTTTAGCAGCGTGTGGAGCCTGTGTTTTGTCGTAGCTTTTCGGGTAGCCGTCACGGTATCTATAGCTTCACTTAAAATTACTTACTCTAGCATACTTACTCTATTTACTATAATTTCTACACCATTAGAAGCTAATTAAAATATGAACTAAGGCCTATTCACATTTTAAGTAGTAACGTTACGCGATGTAAAGTAATGACAAGTGGTTTAATAGCGTCTTTAGTAAAATATCGGCCAGTCTTCATCGAAAGATCGATATTTTTGTATTTTTTATCAAAATTTCTAAAGTGTTAATGTTAAGGAATAGTTAAGATTTTTCTATTTATACTAGATAAAAATTGTGCCGTAAAAAAAAACTGGTCCCCCGATAACAGGAAAGAACCGAAAATAACCTAGCAATTGTCATATTTCCCAGCTTACGGTGTCAAAATTGTTAATGTTCGAAATCTCCTCTTTGAGAGCTTCCCTTTCATACCAAAATCATAAAACCTGACACTCCTCTGGACTTTCATGCTATTTTTTTTGTGGTTTTTCCATTTATTGTATACTCAAACTGATCAGATTTTCCATTTATTTCCACCAAGAAATACAGCAGTTTTTAAACGACCACAACAGGGCATGAAGTTTATTTACAGTGTGCGAGGGCATACAAACAACGACCGGCTTCAAGTCGTGCTGCCGGGAGCGCGAGATGGGCAAATAGGAGCATGAGGGGCGGCTGGGTCGGTTTTAGATGGCTTGGTAGAGGTCGGCCCGGTCGTCGGATGGCTGCGATGCGAGTGCGGCGGGAGGTCGAGGAGCACGAAGAACATTCACAATCAGGGCAGCTGGAATAATTTGGGGTTATACACTGTGGGAAACGTCAAGAGGTGTTGTTTGTAGTTCTACCGTAATCAGGGTCTTATCGATTCCGGCTAATTCCAAAGGACAGGTCTACTTATCAGGTGGGGTCTGTTGGGTCAGCTGACCTCAAGAAAATTTGATGTTTTGAGGGGGTATTAAAATATATAGTGCTTGTTGTAGCTTATGAAAACTGGACGAAAAATTAGATAAAAACCGTATTTTCTAGCTTTTAAGTCGCCTAAAAAATAGCAAAATAACTCGACAAACTACGAAAGAGTTTGAGTTAACGGAAGCATTTGAAATAGCATTAAAAGCTAGTGTAATTGAAAATTGGACTTAAAAACCCACCTCCAACAACAAACACAGCCATCGCGGCCAGGAATGCCAGAAAAGTCGAGTGGATAATGCTATCGTCGACAAATTCGTCAGCGAGAACCTAATATAAAAATTAAGAAGCCGTTTTTATACTTTAATACCTTTTCTAAAAACCTCGAAAAATTTTATAACCGCCAAAAATCCTCTAAAACACCTACCATTTCTTCCGGTAGCCAACAGCCAAGGAGACAAAGCTGAAAACTGGCGCGGAGTTATCTATCGGACCCTCTGGGCGGGCCGGAAAAACAACGCTTCGAATGTCAACACCACCATCCCTGCCCCCCAACAAATAATGGTTTAATCAGGGGTCCGCGAGACAGTTCTAGTATGTAGTGTTTCAAACAACTCCCGGATAAGCTCTCTGGATTGGGTCATTTGCGTACAGGAATCAATGTTTATTCGTCGGTTTTTTGCTCTAAAAATTCGTGGACGAGCTTGGTTTTCAGCCGAGTGACTGTTTGATCAAATTCGGTCATTTTGTGCACCCAATAGTCGACTACTTCTTCCTGAAATTAATTTTGTAGTGATGTAAGGAGTGTTCCAAAAAACGACCGTCGCGACATTTTGCCGTATTACATCCGATCGGTCCCAAAATTTGACCGGATTCGCATTAGACTATATATGGGTCGGGGCCCGGGGGCGCCGCCAAATGCCCCTCTCGCGGAGCCTTTTGCGGGCGCCTTGGTTGGGGCCTGCGGGCGCCGTGGGTGGGGCTTTTTTCCGGTATTCAGCGATGTAAATTGCAAAAAGTCGTCTGAATAGCGTTTCTTCGCAATTTACATCGCTGCATACCGGAAAAAAGCCCCATCCACGGCGCCCCCAGGCCCCACCCAAGGCGCCCGCAAAAGGCTCCTCGAGAGGGGCATTTGGCGGCGCCCCCAGGCCCCGACCCATATATACATTAGACCCTAAATAACGACAATCCGATTTTATAGCCTCATAGCTACAATAGTTTTCGACTTATAGCAAAACTGAACTTTATTTTGCCATCCGAAGGTTCCCGGGGGAAATATTGAGTGAAAATGATGCGGAACGCCTGCTTTACGTCGAGAATTAGGAATTAGGCTGTAAATCAGGATTTTTGTGATTTAGAGTCTGATACAACTCCGGTCCAATTTTCGAAGCAATTGGGCGTGATACGGCGAAACGCCGAAGAGTCGTTTTTTCGACACCTTGTAAAAGCCAAAAACCTCATATCCATTTTCCATATGTGGCCATTTATCCTCTTTTTCGATCACCAGCACCCTGAAGAAATTTTTCCTTTCCGGATCTAGCGGAGCCCAACCTAAATTTTTCTATATTTTTACTGCCTCAAAGCCCCTACTTTTCGTCGGTGGAACCTGATGTGTAAAATTCACAAACAACTCCGAATAAAATCCATCTATAATCTGCTCATCCCTCGTAAACTTCCGGCAATGCACCCCCATCACATAGCATAAATCGGAAGTGTGATGGCTCCACTTTCGCATACTGTTTCGGGTTTGTTTCAAAATCAGCGTGAACTCACTCGTAGCGATACAAATACACCGGGGCCCCTTTCTTGGCCTGCACTTGCCCGTAGTTAAATGTTGACGTGTAGATGCATTGGCTTTCGTAGCTGTGGTTAGACGCTTTAAAATTAATGAAATTACGCTCTTCTTGAAAAAATTACCTAAATATCCATGTATTCTATCATGCCAAAATTTGATTCCAACCTCGTAGGAATTATTCGTCTGAAAGAGTATGTTAAGAAGCTAACAAGGTGGCGTTTTTAGTGTCGTCAGGGTTTCAAGTTGCGTATAGTTGATTTTGGTTTCGATTAAAGTTTTTTCAAGCTACCTATCAAGTCTGTCTTGTACATAATTTTACGCTGGTTTCGACCCTCTTTAGAAAACTTGCCGAATCGCGATTCTTCGAAAGTTATTAACTATTTAGGTGAAAACAAACGTGGCAAACGTCTGATTTTGCGCGTTTTTCGGTCTTGAGTCGTATATAACTTTCCGGAAATTGCGATTCCGGATATTTGGTCAGCATCTTCGTGATCAGCGTAGAATTCTGCACAAAATAAGCTTGCTTCCAACTTTAAACCTTGACCCCACTAAAAAACACCCCCTTGTAAGCGGAAGTCAAAAAGTAACAAACCTGAAGCATATCGCCATAAGTGTGATATGGTTCCGGCGGGTCTTGCGGATCAAATTCTTGTCTTGTACTGCCAAGGAGAAGTGGGACTCGCTAAAACAGCATTTGGAAGGCAAATATAAGCTTTACTGGTGAATTCAGAAGTAATTCATAGAGACTACCGGAAGAAACAATTGGTGAAGTCCGAGGAAACCCGTTAAGTTTCTGATATTAAAATTAGTTGCAAAAATTAGAGGTTTTTACCATCATACCATCATCATCCATACCGCGCTGGATTAGCAACAACTCTTGCCAAGTCTTTGTCCGGAGACAGTCAACGATTTTTTGAGTAGCTTCTGCGGATTCAAAGCTTTGAGCGCCAGGTGGAGTACACTTAAATAACTAAAAACTATCAAGGTCAATGCGATACCCCGGCGCGTCTAGCGAATTCAAAAGATGTCCAATGCATCATGTCAAGGTTATGGTAATCCATGCTTGGGCTCATTGCCATGGCCTGAAAAATATAGAAATCAGGAAATTTCGGAGATGCCTGATAGAGAGAGAACCAGAGAGCGAGGGGAGAGAGAGAGAGAGAGAGAGAGAGAGAGAGAGAGAGAGAGAGAGCGCGGAAGAGAGACAGGGAGAGAGAAAAATAATGAGAAACTTACTTGAGCAAGAATCCGATTTCCTCGATTTAATTCATCTGAAAAAGCAATCGCTATCGACAGATCAGCTCCCATCGAGTGCCCAAGCGAAGTAACTTTTCTGGGATCGCCACCAAAAGAGCGTACTTCCGTTTGCAAAAACTCAAGCCCAAGCACAACCTCTGAAATGCTGTGCTCATGCTCTTCAAAGTTATTGGCCTACCGTATACCCCTAAATTATGAGGAGTCACCTCCTCGAATTGAGAAGCGAACAACCCCCAAGTGGCCAATCGAAAAGCAGCAATTACCATTACGGTATCTAAGGTATTCAAAGTCATAAAAATTCGTTTATGCGAATTACCCTTGGCCGCGTAACGCTCTATCATATGCTCATCGGGGAACATAATAGCGGAATCGTATAAAAAGGCTCCGCCGTGAATATAATAAAGAACCGGGCAATTTGGGTTTTCCTGAATAAAAAAATGAATTGATGGAACAATGAATATAATTCTCATTAAAAACCTACCCGGCATCGCTTAGACGTAAATATATTTAAATACAAGCAATCTTCATCAATGTACGTTTGAGGGGAGGTTGTTTGCGAGGAGTTACTAAGGCAACCATAACTAAAATAAGACCGATTTAATTTAAATTTTGTGCATTTATAAAATAAAATTTTATATACTAAAGTTCTATACCGATATTTCGTGCCATCTAACACTCCTTCCCAACGATCAGCTGGCTGTGGTTTTGCATACCGTAATTTTCCTATAGGCGGCTTCGCAAATGGCACGCCCTAATTTTATTTATAATTCATTATGTAAAAATTATTAAAACATACCTTAAATATCTCAATAACCTTCCCACTCTTCGATTGAGTAGTATACCCCCGAATTGACCCATAGTTTGTTAAAGCAACTTGACAATTCACTATGGAAAAAAATCACGAAAAATGCAACAACTTTCATTATGCAACACATAGTAATTAGTAATAGTGGGTTTGTAGTATTTTCTTCCGGGGGGAGTTAGAGATACGAAGTGTCTTTGGGGGAACCCTTCCTGGGGTCCCCTTATCGAATGTAGTATGTGTTAGACTGGGGAGCTGACCCGGGCAGTGGAAAGAAATCACAGATTTTCGCGCAGTTCGCCTTGGATTAACTTTTTTTAAACATTAGATTTAGGTAATGCTGCTGACGGGATTATTGATATTCGGGGCTGTTGGGTTTGGTGACTGCATTTTTCCGCAAGTTCAAACGAGTTATGGGACGTTAGAAGGTTATTCACAAAAAACGGCGAATGGAAAGGATGCGTATATATTTAAGGTAAGTTCTTTTAGCAAGTATGTTTTTGAAGGTTAAAAATACCCCAAATACATACAATTTCATGTAAAAATAATCTAAATCCATAGCTTTATTATTCACTTCAATTAAATTGCACTAATTTGCAAGAGTTGATTTTTTGTATAATGCCTTTGTAAACGAATATAGTATTGTTTATTAACTTTATTAAGTCATTAATAACACCAATTATCAATTTTACGCTTAACATTTTATAAAGCATAATTTTTGGACGCCTATAATCTGCAAAAAAGGTATAAAAGCAACTATATCTTTTTCAAAAATGGTATTAGGGTTCTAACCATCATTATTTAAGTAATTGGCTTTGTACATGACTTTTATAATTTATTTAGTTCTATATAATAGTTTGATGCGTATCTAAGAACCTAAGTAATAAATTTTTTTTAAACTTTTTAGAGCGTCCCCTTCGCCGCCCCACCAATCGGCCCACTCCGCTGGAAAAAGCCGCAACCGCCAACAAGCTGGGACGGCATCCGCCTCGCGCATAATTATAGGCATTTCCGGCACCTTTCAATCATTCATGAGTGGTTTTCAGCGCCGCTTGCATGTCGAATTCGTCGACAACGTCTTCCCCCCAGAAATGGGTCGACGAGGATTGTTTATATCAGAACATTTTCGTCCCGGCTGCGTGTACGGTAAGAAAAATTTACATATAAATTTTTTAATGCTCTAAATTGGGCGACAAAGAGTCGAAAACTTGATTTTGAAGCCGTTTTGCTCCGTTTCTTCGTGAAAACATGATAATTTCGTAATTCCGGACGTTTTAAAACTTAGAAATTCGAAGTATGGTTTTAGAAAACAAATCCATGCCCTGTAGTCTTTTACGTCCATGGTGGAGGTATCAATTACGACTCGGCCGTGATGTTCAACGATACCTTTTTGATTAATAATTTTGGTGGGAACGGTAGTTTGTAATACTTTTCTCTAAACTCTATTTAGATGTAATCCTTGTAATCAGTGCCTTTCGACTTGGATATACTGCTTTATTAACTTTCGATGATGACTCTGTAGTCCCGAGAAATTTGGCTATATATGGTAATTTTCTAGTAAATTTGATTTGCCGTTGTTTTCAGACATCATCGAGTCCCTTGAATTTGTGCAAAGAGAGGCCGCAAACTTTGGAGGAGACCCGAAACGAGTGACACTCCTTGGCCATTCTATGGGCGGTGCACTCTCCTTTTTCCTCTCCATGTCAAAGACAATCAACCCTGACAAGTATAGAAATTATTAAAAACCGCAACTGGATTATTTATTCTTTAGAAAGCTTTTCCAAAGGGCAATCGCCATGTCCGGACCGTTGAATTATGAAGAACCGCGGCACTTGCAGGATATTACTAGACAATTTGTTTATCGCGCCGGGGTAAAACTACATTTTTTGTGTGTATTTTTGTAAGACTCTTTAGTGCTGGAAAGACGAACAGCTTCCGGGCGCGGGCAAGGCCGTGGAGGAAGCAATTGAGTGTCTGCGAAAAAAGGACCAAATGCAGCTACTGGCTATCCAAAGAGCCATGGAGGATGAGGAACAGACAAATAGTTTGCAGTGAGAAATACGTTTACCTAAAAATTCAAGCTATTCAGAGGTATTATGCTAGTCCCGCCACTTTTTCCAAATACAGGAATTGACGATTTTTTGACAAATGTTCCGGTTTGAATTTTTTCCAGATATTTTAGTATTTTATAACTCAGAAAATTGACGTTGTAATGGGATCCACCCTAAAAGAAATGGACAAATTTGGCTCTGACATGAGCCCCGGAGAAAAGCTACACTTCCGCAACCCCGTCGAAGTGAATAAGAAGTATTATGGAGATCGCCTCAGGGGAGAACTGGGTCCGCTTTCTCGTGCTCATTAATTCTTACATCCTAGAATTTAATCACACCACTGACACCCAGATTTTGTACGTCACCAACTACCACTGCGCAAATGCTATCCAAAAAGTTGGCGGAAAGGTGGTATACTAAAAATTTTATAGCTTTATTTTAGGTGTATCTATATTCATTCGACTATCCAAAACACCCATATCATACCGATGATCTTTTCTATATCATGGGAATCCATCGCTTTGAAATGGATGAAAATGAGGAAGTGATTTCGGAAATTTACCCTCTATATTTCTTGGATTTTGCAAGGACTGGGGTACCAGATAAAGGTATAAAACGTACTTTAAGCATCTAAAGCTCTTTTTTAGACTGGATTCCCTACGATCCACGATGGCAGAACTATCTCTCGATTAACGTTAGTCTGGCTGATGGTGTATACCCAAGAAATATGCCTGGATATCAGCACAACGTTATCGATTATTGGACGAAATATATGAAAGCTTACGACGGGCTTGTTAGCTTTAAGAAGCACTATGAGAAACCGGAGGTAAAGCCTAAAACTTTGGATTTCTGATCTACCCTATATGTCAACATACCAAAATTACATTTCGTAAAAATACATACAAATCAAGTAAATAAATTAGACCGAAATTTGACTAATTTTTTATGCGTTTAAATGGCTATATAAGGTTCTAAATACTAAAAATTTTCAATGAATAAAATTAGCTGTAGCGAATTTTGGCATTTCAAATTTTGGCGTAATGAAATTTGTATAGAACGTTTTTCGGTATTCTCGGTTTTCGTGTAATGAATTTTCGATACAACGTTACCAATTACAAAAACCCCCTCCATCTCCCGACCCCGAAACTAGAAACCGATCGGTATGCTGTTTTTCTCGGCGAGCACCGGCCACAAATTTTTCCCCCATCTCCCGGCCGTTCCCGTAAAATTTGTATCTTTTTGGCAGAAACGCGCGGGGCCGGGGGAATTTGAGCAGCTGCGAGATGGGGCAGGTGCTGTGTGGTGGAGACCCATTCCCCATCCCCCACTTGCAATATAGGTTTCACATCGGAAGCTTTCGGTTTCCGGTCCGGTCGCGATGAGGGGGTTGGCACCCGGGCACAGAATCAAGAGCTCCACATCTGAAACCCGAATCTTTTAGGGGAATAGCCTGGTGGTGCCTTCACAAGAAGTCACGTCCGAGTCAGCGAGCTCACTTGGTGTCACGCTTTCGACGTTATTTTTGATTGGGCTCGCCTTGGGAATTGTTGGGCTGATGGTGAAGAATCGGGACTTGCGGATGCAACCGGAGGATATGGGCATTTTGAGTTATAAATAGAGAATAAACGATGATTTGTAATTTATGCACATAATAACAATCGAATTCCATACATCTTTTTGAAAATCACATCCGCCAGAATTGATTTTTCTAATCAGCATTTGGAAAGTTCATTCTTCCGATAGGCATTTTATATTTATTTTGTAAAACTACATAATATAGCTATAGTTTGTAAGACTTTTTTTGAAAATCAGAATGTCGAAAAATATGCATCTTGTTGCCCAAGAAAGGACCGCAAGGGGTATGAGATAGCAATTAAAATTATTCGTAATCTTGGTTTTCGAAAAAGTGCTTTGAAAATGTTGCGTTTCGGAACATGGCTGTTCGAAAAAATTACTTTTCGACAAAAACTTGTTTGAAAAAATAATTTTCTGAAATAGGGTTTTCGAAAAACAATCAACAGTCTTTAGAGATACCTTGAAAACACACTTAATTACCTAACTCTCGGAAAACAGAAACTTTACTCTACTGGAACCCTTCTTAAAAAAACAATTTGCTGCGCTGGAACCGATTACAGGGCGCTGTTCGAACTAAATGAAAAAATGTTTCTGAAGGAGTTTGTGGTTTAAACTATGGGCGGCTTTTTGAGCTTCTCCTACTCATCTCTAAAACCGACCTGAATGCTGTGCCAAAAGACGCTATTCCTACCTCTTTTCAACTTGGTCAAAGCCTCCCCCCAGCCGTTCCTATGCAAAAGCCCAAATTCCGGGACTTCTTCTTCCTCTTCTCCTCCTATTCTATTCCCCATCCGTTCGCCACACCCCCCCGAACTCAATTTGTTCTCCCGAAGCCCCCCTACTTCGTCATCTCCATCCCCCTCAATGTGTCCAAAAATAAGCCCCAACACTTATTTTGTAGAACTCCACTTTCCCCCGCACACACAACTTCTCCACGCCTAGTTTCACCTGGAGCGATTTGTCCGGTCGGGGGTGGGGGGGGGCACTTTTGGGAACAATGCTTCTCGGCTGCTCAATTTGGGCCCTTCTAGCATTTGGGGCCAACAACGGGTATCGTGGCAACCTCCGTTTTACATGGTGATATCCAAAAACGGAGCTAAGGGCCCACATTTTCGTGGCCGGCTGGAAGATGGATTGTTGCCGTGCGTTAGAATGCATTAGTGCTTCGACTGGTCTGGTGAAATATGGACCTGAAGTGGCGGGTTGTTTTTGGCTTTTAGGCGTTGTAGAGGGGGAAACGGGAAAGTTTCGACAACCAAAAGTCCTGGCTTACCAAAATTCCGGTGATTCCAGACTCCGGCAGACCAAAATACTGAAAATTAGCTTCCGGATTTGCGTCGCGCCGGAATTTTGATTGTCGGCATTTCAGTGTCGGAATTTTGGTTGGATTTCGTTCCTAACACTCATTTGAGCCTTGAATGAAGCGATCTAAGCTCATTCACGCCCACATCACCGGCGTGGTAAAACGATTTGGTGCGCAAAACTTGTTAATAGCTACGTTACTTCTGACGCTGGGCATTGTTTATAGCTCTCTGCGGATGCAAATTGTTCCTAGCTTGGCCAAGATTTTATAAAAAAAAAGTAATTTTAATATGAAAAATGGATGGTTTAGGAAAACCTCAATAATGTGCAGTCCTCTCGCGGCCACTAGGTATCTAATGGGATCAAAAATCCTTTAAATCCCCTTACTCCGGACATACTGACGCAATTTTCACGCAAAGTCGTACAGAACATACAAACGCTATTTTATATAAGCTGAGATAGGTATGGAAACTTTGAATGTGTTCACCTCCCAACTTCCCATCCCTTCAATTCCACCTCCAAACCCCTAACTCCACCCCAAATTACCCTTGCCCCTAATTGGAGTCGTGGGCACAATTCAATTCAAGAATTGTTGCTTGGCTGAGTGAGGGGGGCTGTGGTGTGCAGTTTGGGGTAGGGCACCCGAGGCCAATTAGTTAGGTTAAAGGGAGGCGGCCAGGAGGCTGCATAGAAAGGGGTGGGGCCCTAGGGGGGCCCAGCCCTGCCTTTTGGAAGGGGGGAAGGGCCCGCCAGGGGCGAGTTCCCAGCAGCCGGCCATGGCTTCGCCCATGGAAGGAAGGTCCCTAGGGATTGCGCATCCCGCACCCTGGCTTCACAACGGACCGGCCACAACCCTAACAAGCCGATGCTCGACCCACTGGACGGATTCTCACATGGGCTGGAAGCGGTTTCGGGGTTCCAACTTTGGAGATTCTAGCTTTTGCAATACACAATATAACTTCTGGTTTTTGCTATTTCTTGAGCACTTGTATAACTTTAACTTTCTCAGTTTTACAATTCCACAGTTAGTCCTGTTATAACCAAAAATTAAACCTGACTACATTAAACCATTCTCAGAGCTTTGTGAATGGAATTGTCCATTTGTGAATTCTTCTTAGTTCAAGGGTTCCTTCTTCTGGATTTGTCACTTTTAATAAAAGTGACTTTGATTAGGTTTTGAAATTTCACCGTTTCGAACCATAACGTTATAACCGAATTTATGCCAGTTTCCGCATCTTTTTGACGGCTTCTCGGTTAGAGGGTTCTAAGTTTGCAAATTCCAGCTTTTTCAACGCATCTTCCATGTTGTCCGGCTCTGAAAACGGCACGCGTTTGTTCTTATAACCGAAACAAGAAAGCTTCCAACTAAAATTTGCAAATTTCCCCATATTCATCGCCCGCCTCGGTTGAGGAGGGCTAAGTTTCGAAATTCTAGCTTTTCCAAAGCGTCTTACACTTTTTCAAACTCCCAAAACCATAACCCGGGTTCCTTACCGCTCGCTTTCCGCAAGTGCATCACTTCTGGTCGTCTCAAGGGTCCGCCACCCCAAAAATTTCCCAACCTGTTGCTCCCCAATATTTTCTACCACTACCCACTTTATCTGGTCCCCAAAACAACAACCTACTTATTTCCGTTATTATAATCACATTGTTGTCCATCCCCCTCCCCGACCCAACGCCGCATCAAAAATTCGCCCCTTTGGCGAAGTCTCCTAATTTTTAATGCGCCCCCTTTTCTTTGGTGGGGTAGCGTATTCCAGCCAGGCTAGGGGGGGACACGTACATGTTTCCCATACTCTCCGCCAGCTAGCCCGGAGGAACCAGGAAATCCCTACTGCATTTTGAATGACATTGAACGAGAGGGGGGGGGGGCATTCGGACAAGTTTCACCATTTTTTATGTGCTTTTGGTCTTAAATATTGTATCTTCTCCCTTCCTTGTTGAAACCATCTCCTGTATGTTGCTGTTTGTTAATTAGCTTATTTCAGAAAATGCTGGAGACATGAACGCTTTCATCCAGACGCTTCTCTGGATATTTGGGTGGATTTTGGCGACTAGAGGAAGCCAGCCAGTCGCTTATCCATCATTTACCCCCTGCACCTTCCCAACTCCTCTCCATAATCCAGTATTGGTGGGTCGTTTTCATTTCTAAAGTTAGATCCCGCTTCTAAACGTATCCGCCCCTTCAAACTATGCTGTTTTTGCGAACACTCCCCTAGAAAAAGCCATGCGCCCAAAGGCGAGCTTTCTGGTGGCGCAGGTACCGCTGAATACCCGCCGACCCGGTCGGCAAACTCAATTATTCCCCCTTGCCGTGAGTTATCGCCGCACTCACCGCCCTTGAAAAGCTCGCCACAGTCAACCGGGGAAAAATGGAATTTTGCGGGCCGCCAAGAACGAATTTCGGGGTCTGGAATGAAAAGGGAGATCTAGGGAGACGCGGAAGTGCGAGGAAAATTTCTAAAAATGATATTTTGGCCTGGGATACCTTGAAGCAAAAGAAAAAAACGCACCAACTTTCCAGCATCGCCATTTCTGCACTCGGGCCCCATCCCTTCCCTTTGTCTGTGATTTACACGAAACCTTGACTGGTCTACAATTAAAAGGAGCAGAAGAAGCAGCTCATAGGTACCTCGTTAAACTACTTTTAAACAATATACCTTTAGATATCGCGAAAGCCTCTACGTGCGGAACAACTCGGCGTTGGCCGTCATTGTAGGCAAGTTATTGGGTGTCCCATGTGGGGCGGGGCGGGGGGGTCGGGTTGGATATGCGAAATTGAAGTCGGCTCCCATTCCATGCATAACAACAAGATCCATTCAGGAGAGAAAGAGAAACTGCATAACTAGCCTAAGAGGGTAAATAGGCGCTTGTAATACCTCGCCTAACTATTCCTACTTGGCGCAGAATTTTGTGCTGATTAAAGCGTGGTCTTCCGAATCTGCGAAACGACCACAAGAAAAAAGTTATCAAGGTTTAAATCGCGAAAAACCGCCAAATTGGCGATATTTGGAATTTTTTTTGGCATTTTAAAGCTTCGTAGCTTTTCAAATACGGTCGTTGCGCAGATTCTGAAAACTAGCTTTGAATCAGTTCAGTGAAAAATTCTGCACCAAATTAAGCACGATTCTTCCCTAGAAAGCCTTCAATTTGAATTTCCTGAGCCTCAAACCAATTTTGAGCCTTCCCCGTCCCACCTTCCATTTCATTAGAAGAAATGTTTGACTCCGAAAAATACGCGCTACATCCCGTGGCGGCCCCTGCGTGAGAAGGGCAGATGTGCCAACATAGACAATATAGAGGACATCCCCCCACTTTTCAGCCAGAAACATCGAGCAGCCATGGCGAGCCTCCGATGTATACGAGAAAGAGGAGATGGCTTGTTTGCATACGAGTCAATGTCTCACCCAGGATATGATCAACGGGTTCATCGTCAACTCAAAAGCTTTCCTGAAAGTAAATATAACTGAAATTTCAAGACTTGGGGGTTTAGATCTGGGTCTGGAAGCTGTATCAACGGTGGTTTCCCAATACCTCGGAGACATGCCAGAGCGGTGACACACCAAATGTGATGATTCTGATTTTGATCGACGGGATCGCGAATGACGCGCGAAAAATACCATACGTTAAAGTATATTCAGGTAGGTGTTCAAAACCATACGTTTAAATAAGATTCTTTTAGAAAATAAAGCACTCTCAAATTATTTGAAGAATGTTGAAATTGAAATATTCAACTCGTTGGTGCAAAGTATGTTTATTGAAGGGGAGCATTATATACTATGATGCTTATTTATAGACTGGGAAATGCCACGAGTATTGGAACATTTAATAGACGACCTCGGATATTACATGAGAGAATTTAACCTACACGGCGGTGAGCATAAGGACCACTCGGTCCCCGAATGGGCTCGCCAACTCTTCATCCTCTGCGCTGCCCTTGTGGTATTTTCTTAACTTATTACTATAACAATCCCAATCCCAGGTTTTTGCCCTCATCATCGAATGGTACGTCGTCCGCCGTAAGCTCGCCATCAAGAAAAGTGCCTCTGGGATCAAAATTACCGTCGGGAAAAGCAAAACGCACATGATGTTTTGAATCTCTAACAGCCTCTCTCTCTCCACCTCCCCCAATTCATATTATTGCCACATATTTAATGAAAAAACGCTCAATCCCCCTGGCCGTCCCGCATTTTTTTTCACGTTAGCGATGGCTTCCCCGAATTCCAATCGGCCCCACCATTCTTTTTGCCAAAATTTGCCCAGCCGCCCATGATACATTGAAGCGCCGGGGCCATACAGTTTTCAGCGGATCGAGACGACGGAGAGCACCTCCCCACGAACGGGTATTTATCCAAATTGTGATTGTCAAAAGGTTGTGCCAGCCATTGTATAGAATTTTTATTACAATAAAACTTATATTATAGAATTATTTGTTTGCATTTCTCCTGGAAACTCAGGTAGACACGGCACGGCAATGAGCAGTATTCAGACGGCGGTAGGAGATGTAAATGGCAACGAAAGTCATTGAGGAAATTCAAGGTTTGATCACAAGGTCGTATATATAAATAGGGATCTTAATCAGGCACATAAACTGAACAGTAATAAATATGTATATCTTAGCCAGCAGACATCGGATTTTTGGTTGTTTTAGCGTTTTGAACTTAAAAAGCAACAGTATAAATATCATATTTGAAAGGGTAGCCCAATTCCTAATAAGTATATTTCTGCGTAATACCCGGAAGTAAGGCCATTCTGGATGGTCAGGGTCGCGAAAAGAATAAAGCTCGGCGGTGGGTCATGACAAGAGGAGAATGAGGTGGAGGGGCTAGCGACAATTTCCTGAATGGAATGAGGGTACGGTAGAGGGGAGAAAGAAGAGAGCGATGTTAGCTACTGTTGAATAAACCCTGAGCCCTGCGGTCAATTTCATTAGAAATCGCATTCCGCATCCGCTCGTAGCGAATTGCTGTATTGATCGCCTAGGTTGAGACAACATTAAAATCAAGTGATTTTCAATTCATACCTCTTGCTTGTGAAGCTTCAACATCAACTCGCTGCTGTTTTGCAAGTCGATTTCGGAGAATAGGCTCCACTAAAAAGAACTAAAGATTACTTTTCAAAACTTACATCAAGTAAATGGTCAAGCGAAGTGTCCGCTTCAGCGTACATCTTCAACCATTCGGGTGTTTCTAGAAAAAAAAAATAATTACCATAAGTTCGGGACAAACCTCTATGCAAAATATTTAGATTTTCGACAGCACTCGCGACCCTCCTCGGCCTCTGCCCAGGCATCGGCGGGTATTGGCTAGGCTCTGGAGGCAAATCTTGGGTTTGGAGCCCAGGATGTTCCCATTGGAAGACTTCTTCTATTTCACTAAATGCAATTTATTATTTAACGGTAGTAGTACTTACTTGTAGTACAACACGCCCTTCTCGGGATCAAAAAGCTTCTTCCATCCGGCTGGAAGACTCTCCTTGGCCAATGGATGTAACCAGTGCGTCCGGCGCATATTGTGATCCACGTAGTATCTAAAGCGTATTGCATTAAAATTAATATATAATACATACCTCCACCCATCTTCAGTAATGTCTACCGACCAGTTTGGTGGCAGCGGCAGCTCATCCTCGGGTGTACTACCCGAAACCAAACTCTCATCACCTGAAATGCAAAAGTAAAAATTGAAAACTTAGGTTTAGCTTCACTTACCTAGTATAGAACTTCCTAGGGGTCTTAAAGGCAGTGTAGTTAGCGAAGAGGAAATTCGAGAAGTATCCGGTCCGTAGCCCACATCACCAATACTATGAGACGCTGTTAGACGGGATCGGTCGATAGTTCTCAAACCAACAATATTCTTCATGTATTTCCGAAACTACCTGATTTCAGTGAAACTGCGTGATGAAAGTGGCTGGGCAGATAGCTTCTGACGTGTTGGAGGAAAACTTGGAACTTAAGACATTTTTTAAAGCTAAATTCGGTTCTTACTTGGAGCAACCAGTGATGAGCGTGAAGAGCCGCCGGATTGAGAGTTTATACCGTCTTTATTCGCTGAAAACAAGATTTTCGTAAAGGTAATGGCCAAAGGAATGGTTTAAAAGGTTTCATAAATCACTTACGATTGGAAGGTGGCGGGCTGACACGCGGTACATAGTTCCCGGGTGTCCCTTCTAGAAAAGTGGGTGTTTTGTGCAGCTTCTTTCTCGAGGGCATTCACTTCTCATAGTCGTCTTCACACGTTAATGATCATGTCCTTCGGAAACCTAGAAGTGAAGGTATGGTCAAGGCACCAAACACGAAACGGAAAATTCAATAAAAACCGATAAAAAAACCTATTAAAAATATACAGAAAAAAGATAGGCAAAAAGAATCATATTTTCAATAAGTGGTCAGTAAAAAGCTCGATGCAGAAGATAATTAACAGTTCTAGACATGTTCTCAAATAACGAATGAACGGCGTGTCGCAGAAATTCTCATGTTGATGTTTTAAAACGTGTCATCTCGATGCCGAGGCAATCTTCACATTGAGAATGCCAACAAATTTTGGAAGGAAGTGAAATGCCGAAATTCCGGAAGTAATATAAAAAGTTTATGGCTAAAAATACGTTACACCACAGATCTATAGCTGAAAGAAAAAAAAGAACGTCTTGGTAAAAAATAAATAAAACGAAAACCCTTTAAATATGCCTAGATTAAACGCTTAGTTCATTAAACACAAAAGCCTAGTACGCGCGCCGAAACCGCTCGTTTGCAAGTTGTTTTGTGTTCTGCTTGCCGAGCGCAAAAGGGTCATCGGGGGCTGTTGGAGAAGGACGAACATCCGTGAAAGGGATCATAGCTGAGAGAGGAGAACAGAGAAAGGATCTTTGGAGAGGCCGCCGCGGATGGTGTAATGTCGTGGAATGCAAGGAATGCTGTGACCCCATCGCCACGATAAACCCCCAAAGGCATACCGTACGCAGGGGCGCGTCCCGGGACCCTCACCGCTATACCATATTTGTCAAAAAACGTCATAAATGGTGGTCCTTTACCAAGTGAAAAGTTGTGGAAAGGTACCAGCGAATTTGAAGGAACCGTGAATAGATTATCAGAGTAAAAATCACAAGAAGTAGATTGACAAGTCACAAATGTCACCATACAACAACTCGAAAGTTACAGTATCCTACAGATAGTAGGTGGTAGTTCCGGTAGTAATTAAACCCCGAAGTTTGTGTGTTTAAAAACGCTAAAAGTCCAAAAATAACCGGAATGTGGTAAGGACCAATATTATTGCCGCTATATGGCTCATACTATGCATTTGGCTCCCAGGCCATGTACCACCCCGCCCCCATTAATGCGTAAAGGACAATTGACCCCAGACCCATGTGTCAAAAAGGCGCGCAGATCGATAACAGCCTATCGATTTGTAATCGGAGCCCCATGTGAATAAGATTTTTGGGCTGAAAAGGACACTACGTTGTAAGGGGAAGGACGTCAGATAAATTGTCTTTTTTTCAGGTAATCACAATAAACCTCGCTGCCTATATTTATATACAATGATACCTTCCTTGCCTGGACTTTTTCCTGCACAGCAACAATGTTTTATTAATCTGAACCTTACAAACACATCTTCGTGCACTTTACATCTTCAACCTCCGGTGGCCCAATGACCGATTCCGAGACCGGCGGACGGAAATGAAATGTTGTTCAACCAGGTCGTCTGGTTTAATTTCCGAAAAAGGCAGATAGAGGATACGTGGAGAGGGCGGCTTGTTGGTTCAGCAGCAACCGAAAAAGGCGAAGGCAAGCCGAGGGCCCTCAGCCATTTCACGGACAGTCCCAACCGGTGAACAGCACACCTCCAAACGATCCAACCCAGCCTACTGTATCGTCGAACGGCTTACTGTCACCCTCCGCTCATCACCGGGCGGCAGTGCCTATCGCTATATGTCTATGGCTGCTTTCCAAATTTTGGTCGGAGTATTGCCGTTTAATTAGCACTTCTATGACTTGATTTTGGAATAATTTGAAATATGACCGACGCGAAGGCTGCAAAAATACAAGCGCTAAAAACAAGAAGCTTTCGGTAAAATGGTTAGTGAAAAGAGTAGGCGAGTACCGAAATTCTGGCTTCCAGTTATCGAAAAAATATATAGTTCGAATCAATGCATAATTTTGCGCTAGCTAGGCCAGATTTCGTTCTCTTCCTACGGTAGAGTTATGGCACTGACCGTTTTAACGCAGAGTCCATTAGCTTCATAACCTCTTTGAACCTCCATTTCGCTTCGTTTTCCCTTGGAATAAACCGTTATTTCTCCGATTTCTTCAAACCGGTCTCTAATAACGTTTAGCGGGCTCACTTGCGGTAAAACACGACCCATGAAGTGGTCGTGGATATTCTTCGCAATTTCTGCGATCTCTCTCAGTCACCAGACTGGAGCCTTCTCATTCGATGATCTCACTTCCTATATTACAAATTTATTCGAGGATGAGCCAGTAGGGGTACGTAACACACGTTACCAAGCTTTCCCTAGCTTCACCTTACACCGTTCCTTTAGGATCACTCGGAAGAAGGCGTTTTGCCGGAGCCGGATTTTACGGGAACCACCCCATATGGGTTTGACGCGGTTGTAAATCGCAAGAAGGTTTGTTGGCATAACAAACCAGGTCGATCCTAACTTATCTGCCAAATTTAGAGGGCCACATGCAACGACTGCCCAGATGCCACTCCTTACGGTTCCTGCATTGAAGACCCAGAATTATGTGATGGAACAGTTTTCACATATGTCCCACCGACAATCACTTACGGTACAAGCGGTGGATGCAAGGTTAGCTGGCCAAGCCGCATAATCAACAACTTATTTTAATAGACTGTCACGCTAAGTTGTGAAGGCTACCAGGTTGTCTATATTACGGGCATGTATCCTGACAACTCCCCCGTCACGGTCAGTTCATCGGCTATTTTGCCAAAATCCGCATCCTATCATGCAGGTAGCCGAGACCGATGGTGCCGATGATACAACGTTATTGGTCGCCAGCACCACGCTAGATTGTAACGCTGACGGTTCAGCATGGGGTGCTGGAGGGCAGGACATTCAAAGCCAATTTGACTGCAAAGGTACAAGGGATAAATTTCGTGCCCGCGTAGACACGTAAACAATCCTGCCCCAAGCTCGCGCAACCATCCATAAATAACTGTTCTAGTTGGCATCCCGGTCACCACCACCACATCGACAACAACAACGACAACGACCACTACCACTACCACCACCACGACTACCACCACAACGACGACGACTACAACTACCACGACGACGACGACGACGACGACGACGACGACGACTACCACAACCACCACCACCACGACAACTACCACGACGACGACGACGACCACGACCACCACGACGACGACGACAACGACGACCACGACGACGACTACAACTACAACCACAACGACGACCACCACGACAACTACCACGACGACGACAACGACTACAACCACCACAACGACCACAACGACTACGACGACCACGACGACGACTACCACTACCACCACCACGACGACAACGACGACGACCACAACTACAACCACAACGACGACCACGACGACGACGACGACGACTACAACCACCACAACGACCACGACCACGACGACAACGACGACGACCACAACTACAACCACAACGACGACCACCACGACGACCACTACAACTACAACCACCACCACCACGACGACGACGACGACGACAACTACCACCACAACGACGACGACGACGACGACAACAACAACCACTACCACCACAACCACGACGACGACGACAACCACCACAACGACGACGACAACAACCACTACAACGACGACGACGACCACGACAACCACCACAACGACGACGACAACCACCACAACGACGACGACGACAACTACAACTACCACCACAACCACGACCACCACGACAACTACCACCACGACGACGACCACAACGACTACAACTACCACCACCACTACGACGACGACGACGACGACTACCACGACGACGACGACGACGACTACCACAACCACAACGACGACGACGACGACGACGACGACGACGACTACAACTACCACCACAACCACCACCACCACCACCACGACAACCACAACCACAACGACGACGACGACGACCACTACGACCACCACCACGACTACCACAACTACCACCACGACGACGACAACAACCACTACAACGACGACGACGACTACAACCACAACGACGACCACCACGACAACTACCACGACGACAACGACGACTACAACCACGACGACGACGACGACGACTACCACAACTACTACCACGACGACGACGACGACTACAACCACGACGACGACGACGACAACCACCACAACGACGACGACCACTACCACCACGACGACAACTACCACTACAACGACGACGACGACCACTACCACCACCACCACGACTACCACAACTACCACCACGACGACGACAACAACCACTACAACGACGACGACGACGACAACCACCACAACGACGACGACCACTACCACCACGACGACAACTACCACTACAACGACGACGACGACCACTACGACCACCACCACGACTACCACAACTACCACCACGACGACGACAACAACCACTACAACGACGACGACGACAACCACCACAACGACGACGACCACTACCACCACGACGACAACTACCACTACCACCACTACGACGACGACGACAACCACCACAACGACGACGACCACTACCACCACGACGACAACTACCACTACAACCACGACGACGACGACGACAACCACCACAACGACGACGACCACTACCACCACGACCACCACGACAACGACGACCACCACAACGACGACGACAACAACCACTACAACGACGACGACGACAACCACCACAACGACGACGACCACTACCACCACCACGACAACTACCACTACAACGACGACGACGACCACTACCACCACCACCACCACCACGACAACGACGACCACCACAACGACGACGACAACAACCACTACAACGACGACGACGACAACCACCACAACGACGACGACCACTACCACCACGACGACAACTACCACTACAACGACGACGACCACGACGACGACTACAACTACAACCACAACGACTACCACCACGACGACCACTACAACTACAACCACGACGACGACGACGACGACGACCACTACCACCACCACGACGACAACGACGACGACGACCACAACGACGACGTCTACAACTACCACCACAACCACCACCACCACCACCACGACGACAACCACAACGACGACGACGACGACGACGACGACTACTACAACCACTACCACGACGACAACAACCACTACAACGACGACGACCACGACGACGACTACAACTACAACCACAACGACTACCACCACGACGACGACGACAACAACCACTACAACGACGACGACCACAACGACGACGACAACAACCACTACAACGACGACGACCACGACGACGACTACAACTACAACCACAACGACCACAACTACCACCACGACGACGACAACCACAACGACGACGACGACGACGACGACCACAACAACCACCACAACGACCACAACTACCACCACGACCACCACCACGACGACAACCACAACGACGACGACGACGACGACTACCACCACGACGACGACTACCACGACGACGACGACGACTACCACGACGACGACCACCACGACGACCACTACAACTACAACCACCACAATGACGACGACAACCACCACCACGACGACGACGACCACCACGACAACTACCACCACCACGACAACCACCACGACGACGACGACGACTACAACCACCACAACGACCACGACGACGACGACGACTACCACCACCACCACAACCACCACCACTACGACGACGACGACGACGACCACGACCACCACGACGACGACGACAACGACGACCACGACGACGACTACCACCACGACGACGACTACCACCACCACGACGACGACTACCACGACGACGACCACCACGACGACCACTACAACTACAACCACCACAACGACGACAACAACCACCACCACGACGACGACGACTACAACCACCACAACGACCACGACGACGACGACGACTACCACCACCACCACAACCACCACCACTACGACGACGACGACGACGACCACAACGACGACCACAACTACAACCACCACCACGACTACCACCACGACGACGACTACAACTACAACCACAACGACCACAACTACCACAACGACGACGACGACCACAACGACTACAACTACCACAACTACCACCACCACCACAACCACCACTACGACGACTACAACTACCACCACAACCACCACCACCACAACCACCACCACGACCACAACTACCACCACCACCACAACCACCACTACGACGACGACGACGACGACTACAACCACCACCACGACCACAACTACCACCACCACCACAACTACCTCGACGACGACTACAACTACCACCACAACCACCACCACCACAACCACCACTACGACGACGACGACGACGACTACCACAACCACAACCACGACCACAACGACAACGACGACGACAACAACCACTACAACGACGACGACCACGACGACGACTACAACTACAACCACAACGACTACCACCACGACGACCACTACAACTACAACCACGACGACGACGACGACGACGACGACGACGACGACGACGACGACGACGACGACCACTACCACCACCACGACGACAACGACGACGACGACCACAACTACAACCACAACGACCACAACTACCACAACGACGACGACGACCACAACGACGACGACTACAACTACCACCACTACAACGACGACTACCACAACTACAACCACCACAACGACGACGACCACGACGACTACAACCACCACCACTACAACGACGACGACGACCACCACCACGACGACCACCACCACGACGACGACCACCACTACCACAACCACCACCACGACCACAACTACCACCACCACAACCACCACTACGACGACGACGACGACGACTACAACCACCACCACGACCACAACTACCACCACCACCACAACTACCACGACGACGACTACAACTACCACCACAACCACCACCACCACAACCACCACTACGACGACGACGACGACGACTACCACAACTACAACCACCACAACGACGACGACAACCACCACCACGACGACGACCACGACGACTACAACCACCACCACTACAACGACGACGACGACCACCACCACGACGACGACGACGACGACAACCACCACCACGACGACGACCACCACGACGACAACTACCACTACAACGACGACGACGACGACGACGACCACAACGACGACGACAACAACCACTACAACGACGACGACGACCACTACAACGACGACGACGACGACGACAACCACCACAACGACGACGACAACCACCACTACAACGACGACTACCACAACTACAACCACCACAACGACGACGACAACCACCACCACGACGACGACCACGACGACTACAACCACCACCACTACAACGACGACGACGACCACCACCACGACGACGACGACGACGACAACCACCACCACGACGACGACCACGACGACTACAACCACCACCACTACAACGACGACGACGACCACCACCACGACGACGACCACTACAACTACAACCACCACCACCACGACGACCACCACGACAACTACCACTACAACGACGACGACGACGACGACAACCACCACAACGACGACGACCACTACCACCACGACGACAACTACCACTACAACCACGACGACGACCACTACCACCACCACGACGACAACGACGACGACGACGACGACGACCACAACTACCACAACGACGACGACGACGACCACAACAACCACCACAACGACCACAACTACCACCACGACGACGACAACCACAACGACGACGACGACGACGACGACCACAACAACCACCACAACGACCACAACTACCACCACGACCACCACCACGACGACAACCACAACGACGACGACGACGACGACTACCACCACGACGACGACTACCACGACGACGACGACGACTACCACGACGACGACCACCACGACGACCACTACAACTACAACCACCACAACGACGACGACAACCACCACCACGACGACGACGACCACCACCACGACAACTACCACCACGACGACGACGACGACTACCACCACCACCACAACCACCACCACTACGACGACGACGACGACGACCACGACCACCACGACGACGACGACAACGACGACCACGACGACGACTACCACCACGACGACGACTACCACCACCACGACGACGACTACCACGACGACGACCACCACGACGACCACTACAACTACAACCACCACCACGACGACGACGACTACAACCACCACAACGACCACGACGACGACGACGACTACCACCACCACCACAACCACCACCACTACGACGACGACGACGACGACCACAACGACGACCACAACTACAACCACCACCACGACTACCACCACGACGACGACTACAACTACAACCACAACGACCACAACTACCACAACGACGACGACGACCACAACGACTACAACTACCACAACTACCACCACCACCACAACCACCACTACGACGACTACAACTACCACCACAACCACCACCACCACAACCACCACCACGACCACAACTACCACCACCACCACAACCACCACTACGACGACGACGACGACGACTACAACCACCACCACGACCACAACTACCACCACCACCACAACTACCTCGACGACGACTACAACTACCACCACAACCACCACCACCACAACCACCACTACGACGACGACGACGACGACTACCACAACCACAACCACGACCACAACGACAACGACGACGACAACAACCACTACAACGACGACGACCACGACGACGACTACAACTACAACCACAACGACTACCACCACGACGACCACTACAACTACAACCACGACGACGACGACGACGACGACGACGACGACGACGACGACGACGACGACGACGACGACGACGACCACAACGACGACGACAACAACCACTACAACGACGACGACGACCACTACAACGACGACGACGACGACGACAACCACCACAACGACGACGACAACCACCACTACAACGACGACTACCACAACTACAACCACCACAACGACGACGACAACCACCACCACGACGACGACCACGACGACTACAACCACCACCACTACAACGACGACGACGACCACCACCACGACGACGACGACGACGACAACCACCACCACGACGACGACCACCACGACGACAACTACCACTACAACGACGACGACGACGACGACGACCACAACGACGACGACAACAACCACTACAACGACGACGACGACCACTACAACGACGACGACGACGACGACAACCACCACAACGACGACGACAACCACCACTACAACGACGACTACCACAACTACAACCACCACAACGACGACGACAACCACCACCACGACGACGACCACGACGACTACAACCACCACCACTACAACGACGACGACGACCACCACCACGACGACGACGACGACGACAACCACCACCACGACGACGACCACGACGACTACAACCACCACCACTACAACGACGACGACGACCACCACCACGACGACGACCACTAACACAACCACCACCACCACGACGACCACCACGACAACTACCACTACAACGACGACGACGACGACGACAACCACCACCACGACGACGACTACAACTACAACCACAACGACGACCACCACGACGACTACGACGACGACCACTACAACTACAACCACCACCACCACGACGACCACCACGACAACTACCACTACAACGACGACGACGACGACGACAACCACCACCACAACGACGACGACAACAACCACTACAACGACGACGACCACTACCACCACAACCACGACCACCACGACAACTACGACCACGACGACGACAACCACCACTACAACGACGACGACCACTACCACCACAACCACGACCACCACGACAACTACCACCACGACGACGACAACCACCACTACAACGACGACGACCACTACCACCACAACCACGACCGCCACGACAACTACCACCACGACGACGACAACAACCACCACAACGACGACAACGGTATGTTGAATCGGGCCATCTCTTCTTCCAAACACACTTCAGAGAAGACTAATTCAATCCATTTCAGACAACCACCACCACCACTACTACAACGACGACCACGACGACGACAACCACAACAACGACGACAACAACGACGACTACAACTACCACCACAACCACCACCACCACCACCACGACAACCACAACCACAACGACGACGACGACGACTACCACAACCACAACGACGACGACCACTACCACCACAACCACGACCACCACGACAACTACCACCACGACGACGACAACCACCACACAAACGACGACCACACACCACAGACCACCAGACAACTACCACCACGACGACGACAACCACCACTACACGACGACACCACTACACCACAACCCGACCACGACAACACCACACACACAACCACAACCACAACGACGACGACCACTACCACCACAACCACGACCACCACGACAACTACCACCACGACGACGACAACCACCACTACAACGACGACGACCACTACCACCACAACCACGACCACCACGACAACTACCACCACGACGACGACAACGGTATGTTGAATCGGGCCATCTCTTCTTCCAAACACACTTCAGAGAAGACTAATTCAATCCATTTCAGACAACCACCACCACCACTACTACAACGACGACCACGACGACGACAACCACAACAACGACGACAACGACGACGACTACAACTACCACCACAACCACCACCACCACCACCACCACGACAACCACAACCACAAACGACGACACCACAACCACAACGACACGACACGACGACTACAACACCACCACACCACCACCACCACCACCACCACGACCCAACCACAACGACGACGACGACGACACCACAACCACAACGACGACGACACGACACGACACAACTACACCACAACCACCACCACCACCACCACCACCACGACAACCACAACCACAACGACGACGACGACGACGACGACTACAACTACCACCACAACCACAACCACCACCACCACCACCACGACAACCACAACCACAACGACGACGACGACGACTACCACAACCACAACGACGACGACGACGACGACGACTACAACTACCACCACAACCACCACCACCACCACCACCACCACGACAACCACAACCACAACGACGACGACGACGACTACCACAACCACAACGACGACGACGACGACGACGACTACAACTACCACCACAACCACAACCACCACCACCACCACGACAACCACAACCACAACCACGACGACGACAACCACCACTACAACGACGACGACAACTACCACCACAACCACGACCACCACGACAACTACCACCACGACGACGACGACGACTACCACAACCACTACGACGACGACGACGACCACAACAACAACAACAACGGTAAGTTGAGAACCTCATGTATAGGACGCCCTGCAAAAGGCTTTTAACCTGCAAATAATGCGGTTTTTGTGGTCATTTCAGGCGCGTCAGATAGAAGAGGGCATTTTTTTATAGGGGACAGGAAATACGGGCGCGTAAAGAGCTTTAAATCAATACGCTAAAGCCGTTACGAGTTAAACATTGATTACCGAATGCAGGGCAAAAAAAGCGCCCGGAAATTTTGACGGAAAGGAAAACATAAGAAAGGTTAGCGGGTACAAATAAGAGAAAGAAACAGAAATAGAAAATGAAATTCGCCGGCAATCCTAGGAGCCACAAAAGGCGGGTGAAAGAGACGATAGTTTCTGTCTTTTTTTATCTGTCCTAAAAGGTGGGGCTTGGCACCGCCATCACGAAGCCATTTCCCAAAACTGTTTGTTTGCTGTAGGACAGCGATTGTAATTTTCCGCGCAACAGCAAAATTACCGACAGCCGAATTGCCGACAGGCTATGCAAAAGAGAGTATTTGGGGCCAATTGAAATTTTATGTAGGCATTCAAATCGGGGAGAAGATCCGGCGGAGTCAAAGCACAATCAACCATAATAAATCAGGGTAGCCCGAAGGCCAGATGGTTACAGTCGCCAAGCGACTGGAACCATCAGGTTAACATATAAGACGGTAGCCTGCTGGCTCGTCCCCGGAAGCTTCCTATACCTTCTCCGCTTCCCCCTCACCGTCTGTCTCTTGGTCTAGTGGTCTAAAGCGCGAGCGCCGAGCAAACGTTCCGGGTTCGGTTTTGCCACACGGTCAGCCCCTACCCCAATTTGGCATGTTGAACAGCCATGCTACCTAAATATACCAAGCTTAGACTTAGACTTAAATTCACGAATCTGTCGACAATTCAGCTGTCGGCAAATTGGCTTGTCGGCAATTTGGCTGTCGGCAATTCGAATGTCGGCAATAGGGCTGGAACCCTAATTTTCCACCGGCCTTCGACAGGCTCGGTAGTGCAACAAACATCTCGGACAGAACCGTCAATTTCCTATAATCGTGCTCATCTTTACGATCTCCGATCAGAAAACTAAAAAAATCTGTTTTTGGGCGAAAACCGTAAAGCTCAAGCAAGCGATGTGACTTACGCAAGGCGGTGGAGACCGCGCCTTTCGAAAAAATTATTCAACCATACCTTTCAGACTACCACCACCACGACGACCACCACTACCACGACAACATCCACGACAACGGTGAGTTGCATCGCGCCAATTGATCTGCCAGATACATTTCAGAGGACTAATTCAATCCATTCCAGACAACCACCACCACCACTACCACGACGACGACGACGACGACGACGACTACCACGACGACAACGACGACGACCACAACGACAACGGTGAGTTGCATCGAGCCATCTCTTCTTCCAAACACATTTCAGAGAAGACTAATTCAATCCATTTCAGACAACCACCACCACCACTACCACGACGACGACGACGACGACGACTACCACGACGACAACGACGACGACCACAACGACAACGGTGAGTTGCATCGAGCCATCTCTTCTTCCAAAACACATTTCAGAGAAGACTAATATAATCCATTTCAGACAACCACCACCACCACCACTACCACCACGACGACGACGACGACGACTACCACGACGACGACGACGACGACGACGACTACCACGACGACAACGACCACGACCACAACGACAACGGTGAGTTGCATCGAGCCATCTCTTCTTCCAAAACACATTTCAGAGAAGACTAATATAATCCATTTCAGACAACCACCACCACCACTACCACCACGACGACGACGACGACGACAACGACGACGACCACAACGACAACGGTGAGTTGCATCGAGCCATTTTTTGCCAAATACATTTCAGAGGACTAATTCGATCCATTTCAGACAACCACCACCACCACTACCACGACGACGACGACGACGACTACCACGACGACAACGACGACGACCACAACGACAACGGTGAGTTGCATCGAGCCATCTCTTCTTCCAAACACATTTCAGAGAAGACTAATTCAATCCATTTCAGACAACCACCACCACCACTACCACCACGACCACGACGACGACGACGACTACGACGACGACGACGACGACGACGACGACGACGACAACGGTGAGTTGCATCAAGCCATTTTTTGCCAAATACATTTCAGAGGACTAATTCGATCCATTTCAGACAACCACCACCACCACTACCACGACGACGACGACGACGACGACTACGACGACTACCACGACGACAACGACCACGACCACAACGACAACGGTGAGTTGCATCAAGCCATTTTTTGCCAAATACATTTCAGAGGACTAATTCAATCCATTTCAGACAACCACCACCACCACCACTACACGACGACGACGACGACGACGACTACCACGACGACGACGACGACGACGACTACCACGACGACAACGACCACGACCACAACGACAACGGTGAGTTGCATCGAGCCATTTTTTGCCACATACATTTCAGAGGACTAATTCAATCCATTTCAGACAACCACCACCACCACCACTACCACGACGACGACGACGACGACGACGACCACGACGACGACGACGACGACGACTACCACGACGACGACGACGACGACGACTACCACGACGACAACGACCACGACCACAACGACAACGGTGAGTTGCATCGAGCCATGTCTTCTTCCAAACACATTTCAGAGAAGACTAATTCAATCCATTTCAGACAACCACCACCACCACTACCACCACGACGACGACGACGACGACTACCACGACGACAACGACGACGACCACAACGACAACGGTGAGTTGCATCGAGCCATCTCTTCTTCCAAACACATTTCAGAAGACTAATTCAATCCATTTCAGACAACCACCACCACCACTACCACCACGACGACGACGACGACGACTACCACGACGACGACGACAACGACGACGACCACAACGACAACGGTGAGTTGCATCGAGCCATGTCTTCTTCCAAACACATTTCAGAGAAGACTAATTCAATCCATTTCAGACAACCACCACCACCACTACCACCACGACGACGACGACGACGACTACCACGACGACGACGACAACGACGACGACCACAACGACAACGGTGAGTTGCATCGAGCCATGTCTTCTTCCAAACACATTTCAGAGAAGACTAATTCAATCCATTTCAGACAACCACCACCACCACTACCACCACGACGACGACGACGACGACTACCACGACGACAACGACGACGACCACAACGACAACGGTGAGTTGCATCGAGCCATCTTTTGCCAAATACATTTCAGAGAAGACTAATTCAATCCATTTCAGACAACCACCACCACCACTACCACCACGACGACGACGACGACGACTACCACGACGACAACGACGACGACCACAACGACAACGGTGAGTTGCATCGAGCCATGTCTTCTTCCAAACACATTTCAGAGAAGACTAATTCAATCCATTTCAGACAACCACCACCACCACTACCACCACGACGACGACGACGACGACTACGACGACGACAACGACGACGACCACAACGACAACGGTGAGTTGCATCGAGCCATCTTTTGCCAAATACATTTCAGAGAAGACTAATTCAATCCATTTCAGACAACCACCACCACCACTACCACCACGACGACGACGACGACGACTACGACGACGACAACGACGACGACCACAACGACAACGGTGAGTTGCATCGAGCCATGTCTTCTTCCAAATACATTTCAGAGAAGACTAATTCAATCCATTTCAGACAACCACCACCACCACTACCACCACGACGACGACGACGACGACTACGACGACGACGACGACGACGACTACCACGACCACAACGACGACGACCACAACGACAACGGTGAGTTGCATCGAGCCATCTCTTCTTCCAAACACATTTCAGAGAAGACTAATTCAATCCATTTCAGACAACCACCACCACCACCACTACCACGACGACGACGACGACGACGACTACGACGACGACGACGACGACCACGACGACAACGGTGAGTTGCATCAAGCCATTTTTTGCCAAATACATTTCAGAGGACTAATTCGATCCATTTCAGACAACCACCACCACCACTACCACCACGACGACGACGACGACGACTACGACGACGACGACGACGACGACGACTACCACGACGACAACGACCACGACCACAACGACAACGGTGAGTTGCATCGAGCCATTTTTTGCCAAATACATTTCAGAGAAGACTAATTCAATCCATTTCAGACAACCACCACCACCACTACCACGACGGGGCCCCGACGACGACGACGACTACCACGACGACGACGACGACGACGACGACTACCACGACGACAACGACGACGACCACAACGACAACGGTGAGTTGCATCGAGCCATTTTCTTCCAAACACATTTCAGAGAAGACTAATTCAATCCATTTCAGACAACCACCACCACCACTACCACCACGACGACGACGACGACGACTACCACGACGACAACGACGACGACCACAACGACAACGGTGAGTTGCATCGAGCCATCTCTTCTTCCAAACACATTTCAGAGAAGACTAATTCAATCCATTTCAGACAACCACCACCACCACTACCACCACGACGACGACGACGACGACTACGACGACGACAACGACGACGACCACAACGACAACGGTGAGTTGCATCGAGCCATGTCTTCTTCCAAACACATTTCAGAGAAGACTAATTCAATCCATTTCAGACAACCACCACCACCACTACCACCACGACGACGACGACGACGACTACGACGACGACGACGACAACGACGACGACCACAACGACAACGGTGAGTTGCATCGAGCCATGTCTTCTTCCAAACACATTTCAGAGAAGACTAATTCAATCCATTTCAGACAACCACCACCACCACTACCACCACGACGACGACGACGACGACTACGACGACGACGACGACGACAACGACGACGACCACAACGACAACGGTGAGTTGCATCGAGCCATGTCTTCTTCCAAACACATTTCAGAGAAGACTAATTCAATCCATTTCAGACAACCACCACCACCACTACCACCACGACGACGACGACGACGACGACGACGACGACGACGACGACAACGACGACGACCACAACGACAACGGTGAGTTGCATCGAGCCATCTCTTCTTCCAAACACATTTCAGAGAAGACTAATTCAATCCATTTCAGACAACCACCACCACCACTACCACCACGACGACGACGACGACGACGACTACCACGACGACAACGACGACGACCACAACGACAACGGTGAGTTGCATCGAGCCATTTTTTTCCCAAATACATTTCAGAGAAGACTAATTCAATCCATTTCAGACAACCACCACCACCACTACCACCACGACGACGACGACGACGACTACGACGACGACGACGACGACAACGACGACGACCACAACGACAACGGTGAGTTGCATCGAGCCATGTCTTCTGCCAAACACATTTTAGAGAAGACTAATTCAATCCATTTCAGACAACCACCACCACCACTACCACGACGACGACGACGACGACGACTACCACGACGACAACGACGACGACCACAACGACAACGGTGAGTTGCATCGAGCCATTTTTTGCCAAACACATTTCAGAGAAGACTAATTCAATCCATTTCAGACAACCACCACCACCACTACCACCACGACGACGACGACGACGACTACCACGACGACAACGACGACGACCACAACGACAACGGTGAGTTGCATCGAGCCATTTTTTGCCAAATACATTTCAGAGAAGACTAATTCCATCCATTTCAGACGACCACCACCACCACCACTACCACGACGACGACGACGACGACTACGACGACGACGACGACAACGACGACGACCACAACGACAACGGTGAGTTGCATCGAGCCATCTCTTCTTCCAAACACATTTCAGAGAAGACTAATTCAATCCATTTCAGACAACCACCACCACCACTACCACCACGACGACGACCACAACGACAACGGTGAGTTGCATCGAGCCATCTCTTCTTCCAAACACATTTCAGAGAAGACTAATTCAATCCATTTCAGACAACCACCACCACCACTACCACCACGACGACGACGACGACGACTACACGACGACGACGACAACGACGACGACCACAACGACAACGGTGAGTTGCATCGAGCCATCTCTTCTTCCAAACACATTTCAGAGAAGACTAATTCAATCCATTTCAGACAACCACCACCACCACCACCACCACGACGACGACGACGACGACGACGACGACGACGACGACAACGACGACGACCACAACGACAACGGTGAGTTGCATCGAGCCATCTCTTCTTCCAAACACATTTCAGAGAAGACTAATTCAATCCATTTCAGACAACCACCACCACCACTACCACCACGACGACGACGACGACGACTACGACGACGACGACGACGACAACGACGACGACCACAACGACAACGGTGAGTTGCATCGAGCCATCTCTTCTTCCAAACACATTTCAGAGAAGACTAATTCAATCCATTTCAGACAACCACCACCACCACCACCACCACGACCACGACGACGACGACGACGACGACGACGACGACAACGACGACGACCACAACGACAACGGTGAGTTGCATCGAGCCATGTCTTCTTCCAAACACATTTCAGAGAAGACTAATTCAATCCATTTCAGACAACCACCACCACCACCACCACCACGACGACGACGACGACGACTACGACGACGACAACGACGACGACCACAACGACAACGGTGAGTTGCATCGAGCCATGTCTTCTTCCAAACACATTTCAGAGAAGACTAATTCAATCCATTTCAGACAACCACCACCACCACTACCACCACGACGACGACGACGACGACTACGACGACGACAACGACGACGACCACAACGACAACGGTGAGTTGCATCGAGCCATCTCTTCTTCCAAACACATTTCAGAGAAGACTAATTCAATCCATTTCAGACAACCACCACCACCACTACCACCACGACGACGACGACGACGACTACGACGACGACAACGACGACGACCACAACGACAACGGTGAGTTGCATCGAGCCATTTTTTGCCAAATACATTTCAGAGAAGACTAATTCAATCCATTTCAGACAACCACCACCACCACTACCACCACGACGACGACGACGACGACACCACGACGACAACGACGACGACCACAACGACAACGGTGAGTTGCATCGAGCCATCTCTTCTTCCAAACACATTTCAGAGAAGACTAATTCAATCCATTTCAGACAACCACCACCACCACTACCACCACGACGACGACGACGACGACTACGACGACGACAACGACGACGACCACAACGACAACGGTGAGTTGCATCGAGCCATCTCTTCTTCCAAACACATTTCAGAGAAGACTAATTCAATCCATTTCAGACAACCACCACCACCACTACCACCACGACGACGACGACGACGACGACGACCACGACGACAACGACGACGACCACAACGACAACGGTGAGTTGCATCGAGCCATCTCTTCTTCCAAACACATTTCAGAGAAGACTAATTCAATCCATTTCAGACAACCACCACCACCACTACCACCACGACGACGACGACGACGACGACGACCACGACGACAACGACGACGACCACAACGACAACGGTGAGTTGCATCGAGCCATGTCTTCTTCCAAACACATTTCAGAGAAGACTAATTCAATCCATTTCAGACAACCACCACCACCACTACCACCACGACGACGACGACGACGACTACCACGACGACAACGACGACGACCACAACGACAACGGTGAGTTGCATCGAGCCATCTCTTCTTCCAAACACATTTCAGAGAAGACTAATTCAATCCATTTCAGACAACCACCACCACCACTACCACCACGACGACGACGACGACGACTACGACGACGACAACGACGACGACCACAACGACAACGGTGAGTTGCATCGAGCCATCTCTTCTTCCAAACACATTTCAGAGAAGACTAATTCAATCCATTTCAGACAACCACCACCACCACTACCACCACGACGACGACGACGACGACTACGACGACGACAACGACGACGACCACAACGACAACGGTGAGTTGCATCGAGCCATTCTTCTTCCAAACACATTTCAGAGAAGACTAATTCAATCCATTTCAGACAACCACCACCACCACTACCACCACGACGACGACGACGACGACTACCACGACGACAACGACGACGACCACAACGACAACGGTGAGTTGCATCGAGCCATTTTTTGCCAAATACATTTCAGAGAAGACTAATTCAATCCATTTCAGACAACCACCACCACCACTACCACCACGACGACGACGACGACGACTGCGACGACGACGACGACGACGACCACAACGACAACGGTGAGTTGCATCGAGCCATGTCTTCTGCCAAACACATTTCAGAGAAGACTAATTCAATCCATTTCAGACAACCACCACCACCACTACCACGACGACGACGACGACGACGACTACCACGACGACAACGACGACGACCACAACGACAACGGTGAGTTGCATCGAGCCATCTCTTCTTCCAAACACATTTCAGAGAAGACTAATTCAATCCATTTCAGACAACCACCACCACCACTACCACCACGACGACGACGACGACGACGACTACCACGACGACAACGACGACGACCACAACGACAACGGTGAGTTGCATCGAGCCATTTTTTGCCAAATACATTTCAGAGGACTAATTCGATCCATTTCAGACAACCACCACCACCACTACCACGACGACGACGACGACGACGACGACTACCACGACGACAACGACGACGACCACAACGACAACGGTGAGTTGCATCGAGCCATCTCTTCTTCCAAACACATTTCAGAGAAGACTAATTCAATCCATTTCAGACAACCACCACCACCACTACCACCGACGACGACGACGACGACGACGACGACGACAACGACGACGACCACAACGACAACGGTGAGTTGCATCGAGCCATGTCTTCTTCCAAACACATTTCAGAGAAGACTAATTCAATCCATTTCAGACAACCACCACCACCACTACCACCACGACGACGACGACGACGACGACGACCACGACGACAACGACGACGACCACAACGACAACGGTGAGTTGCATCGAGCCATTTTTTGCCAAATACATTTCAGAGAAGACTAATTCAATCCATTTCAGACAACCACCACCACCACTACCACCGACGACGACGACGACGACGACGACCACGACGACAACGACGACGACCACAACGACAACGGTGAGTTGCATCGAGCCATCTCTTCTTCCAAACACATTTCAGAGAAGACTAATTCAATCCATTTCAGACAACCACCACCACCACTACCACCACGACGACGACGACGACGACGACGACTACCACGACCACAACGACAACGGTGAGTTGCATCGAGCCATCTCTTCTTCCAAACACATTTCAGAGAAGACTAATTCAATCCATTTCAGACAACCACCACCACCACTACCACCACGACGACGACGACGACGACTACGACGACGACAACGACGACGACCACAACGACAACGGTGAGTTGCATCGAGCCATCTCTTCTTCCAAACACATTTCAGAGAAGACTAATTCAATCCATTTCAGACAACCACCACCACCACTACCACCACGACGACGACGACGACGACGACGACGACCACGACGACAACGACGACGACCACAACGACAACGGTGAGTTGCATCGAGCCATCTCTTCTTCCAAACACATTTCAGAGAAGACTAATTCAATCCATTTCAGACAACCACCACCACCACTACCACCACGACGACGACGACGACGACGACGACGACGACAACGACGACGACCACAACGACAACGGTGAGTTGCATCGAGCCATCTCTTCTTCCAAACACATTTCAGAGAAGACTAATTCAATCCATTTCAGACAACCACCACCACCACTACCACCACGACGACGACGACGACGACTACCACGACGACAACGACGACGACCACAACGACAACGGTGAGTTGCATCGAGCCATCTCTTCTTCCAAACACATTTCAGAGAAGACTAATTCAATCCATTTCAGACAACCACCACCACCACTACCACCACGACGACGACGACGACGACTACCACGACGACAACGACGACGACCACAACGACAACGGTGAGTTGCATCGAGCCATCTCTTCTTCCAAATACATTTCAGAGAAGACTAATTCAATCCATTTCAGACAACCACCACCACCACTACCACCACGACGACGACCACAACGACAACGGTGAGTTGCATCGAGCCATCTCTTCTTCCAAACACATTTCAGAGAAGACTAATTCAATCCATTTCAGACAACCACCACCACCACTACCACGACGACGACGACGACGACGACTACCACGACGACAACGACGACGACCACAACGACAACGGTGAGTTGCATCGAGCCATCTCTTCTTCCAAACACATTTCAGAGAAGACTAATTCAATCCATTTCAGACAACCACCACCACCACTACCACCACGACGACGACGACGACGACTACCACGACGACAACGACGACGACCACAACGACAACGGTGAGTTGCATCGAGCCATCTCTTCTTCCAAACACATTTCAGAGAAGACTAATTCAATCCATTTCAGACAACCACCACCACCACTACCACCACGACGACGACGACGACGACTACGACGACGACGACGACGACCACAACGACAACGGTGAGTTGCATCGAGCCATCTCTTCTTCCAAACACATTTCAGAGAAGACTAATTCAATCCATTTCAGACAACCACCACCACCACTACCACCACGACGACGACGACGACGACTACGACGACGACAACGACGACGACCACAACGACAACGGTGAGTTGCATCGAGCCATCTCTTCTTCCAAACACATTTCAGAGAAGACTAATTCAATCCATTTCAGACAACCACCACCACCACTACCACCACGACGACGACGACGACGACTACACGACGACGACAACGACGACGACCACAACGACAACGGTGAGTTGCATCGAGCCATCTCTTCTTCCAAACACATTTCAGAGAAGACTAATTCAATCCATTTCAGACAACCACCACCACCACTACCACCACGACGACGACGACGACGACTACGACGACAACGACGACGACCACAACGACAACGGTGAGTTGCATCGAGCCATCTCTTCTTCCAAACACATTTCAGAGAAGACTAATTCAATCCATTTCAGACAACCACCACCACCACTACCACCACGACGACGACGACGACGACTACCACGACGACAACGACGACGACCACAACGACAACGGTGAGTTGCATCGAGCCATCTCTTCTTCCAAACACATTTCAGAGAAGACTAATTCAATCCATTTCAGACAACCACCACCACCACTACCACCACGACGACGACGACGACGACTACGACGACGACTACCACGACGACGACCACAACGACAACGGTGAGTTGCATCGAGCCATCTCTTCTTCCAAACACATTTCAGAGAAGACTAATTCAATCCATTTCAGACAACCACCACCACCACTACCACCACGACGACGACGACGACGACGACGACGACTACCACGACGACAACGACGACGACCACAACGACAACGGTGAGTTGCATCGAGCCATCTCTTCTTCCAAACACATTTCAGAGAAGACTAATTCAATCCATTTCAGACAACCACCACCACCACTACCACCACGACGACGACGACGACGACTACCACGACGACAACGACGACGACCACAACGACAACGGTGAGTTGCATCGAGCCATCTCTTTTTCCAAATACATTTCAGAGGACTAATTCAATCCATTTCAGACAACCACCACCACCACTACCACGACGACGACGACGACGACGACTACCACGACGACAACGACGACGACCACAACGACAACGGTGAGTTGCATCGAGCCATTCTTCTTCCAAACACATTTCAGAGAAGACTAATTCAATCCATTTCAGACAACCACCACCACCACTACCACCACGACGACGACGACGACGACTACGACGACGACGACGACGACGACCACAACGACAACGGTGAGTTGCATCGAGCCATCTCTTCTTCCAAACACATTTCAGAGAAGACTAATTCAATCCATTTCAGACAACCACCACCACCACTACCACCACGACGACGACGACGACGACTACCACGACGACAACGACGACGACCACAACGACAACGGTGAGTTGCATCGAGCCATCTCTTCTTCCAAACACATTTCAGAGAAGACTAATTCAATCCATTTCAGACAACCACCACCACCACTACCACCACGACGACGACGACGACGACTACGACGACGACAACGACGACGACCACAACGACAACGGTGAGTTGCATCGAGCCATCTCTTCTTCCAAACACATTTCAGAGAAGACTAATTCAATCCATTTCAGACAACCACCACCACCACTACCACCACGACGACGACGACGACGACTACCACGACGACAACGACGACGACCACAACGACAACGGTGAGTTGCATCGAGCCATCTCTTCTTCCAAACACATTTCAGAGAAGACTAATTCAATCCATTTCAGACAACCACCACCACCACTACCACCACGACGACGACGACGACGACTACCACGACGACAACGACGACGACCACAACGACAACGGTGAGTTGCATCGAGCCATCTCTTCTTCCAAACACATTTCAGAGAAGACTAATTCAATCCATTTCAGACAACCACCACCACCACTACCACGACGACGACGACGACGACGACTACCACGACGACAACGACGACGACCACAACGACAACGGTGAGTTGCATCGAGCCATCTCTTCTTCCAAACACATTTCAGAGAAGACTAATTCAATCCATTTCAGACAACCACCACCACCACTACCACCACGACGACGACGACGACGACGACTACGACGACGACAACGACGACGACCACAACGACAACGGTGAGTTGCATCGAGCCATCTCTTCTTCCAAACACATTTCAGAGAAGACTAATTCAATCCATTTCAGACAACCACCACCACCACTACCACCACGACGACGACGACGACGACTACCACGACGACAACGACGACGACCACAACGACAACGGTGAGTTGCATCGAGCCATCTCTTCTTCCAAACACATTTCAGAGAAGACTAATTCAATCCATTTCAGACAACCACCACCACCACTACCACCACGACGACGACGACGACGACGACTACCACGACGACAACGACGACGACCACAACGACAACGGTGAGTTGCATCGAGCCATCTCTTCTTCCAAACACATTTCAGAGAAGACTAATTCAATCCATTTCAGACAACCACCACCACCACTACCACCACGACGACGACGACGACGACGACGACTACCACGACGACAACGACGACGACCACAACGACAACGGTGAGTTGCATCGAGCCATCTCTTCTTCCAAACACATTTCAGAGAAGACTAATTCAATCCATTTCAGACAACCACCACCACCACTACCACCACGACGACGACGACGACGACTACGACGACGACGACGACGACCACAACGACAACGGTGAGTTGCATCGAGCCATCTTCTTCCAAACACATTTCAGAGAGGACTAATTCAATCCATTTCAGACAACCACCACCACCACTACCACCACGACGACGACGACGCACGACGACAACGACACGACAACGACAACGGTGAGTTGCATCGAGCCATCTCTTCTTCCAAACACATTTCAGAGAAGACTAATTCAATCCATTTCAGACAACCACCACCACCACTACCACCACGACGACGACGACGACGACGACGACTACCACGACGACAACGACGACGACCACAACGACAACGGTGAGTTGCATCGAGCCATCTCTTCTTCCAAACACATTTCAGAGAAGACTAATTCAATCCATTTCAGACAACCACCACCACCACTACCACCACGACGACGACGACGACGACTACGACGACGACTACCACGACGACAACGACGACGGTGAGTTGCATCGAGCCATCTCTTCTTCCAAACACATTTCAGAGAAGACTAATTCAATCCATTTCAGACAACCACCACCACCACTACCACCACGACGACGACGACGACGACGACGACTACCACGACGACAACGACGACGACCACAACGACAACGGTGAGTTGCATCGAGCCATCTCTTCTTCCAAACACATTTCAGAGAAGACTAATTCAATCCATTTCAGACAACCACCACCACCACTACCACCACGACGACGACGACGACGACGACGACTACCACGACCACAACGACGACGACCACAACGACAACGGTGAGTTGCATCGAGCCATCTCTTCTTCCAAACACATTTTAGAGAAGACTGATTCAATCCATTTCAGACAACCACCACCACCACTACCACCACGACGACGACGACGACGACTACGAAACCCCCCACCAACGACGACTACCACGACGACAACGACGACGGTGAGTTGCATCCAGCCATCTCTTCTTCCAAACACATTTCAGAGAAGACTAATCCATTCTATTTCAGACAACAACCACCACTACCACCACGACGACGACTACCACAACGACCACGACGACAACTACCACGACCACGACCACCACGACAACGACGACCACGACCACCACGACAACGACGACGACGACTACCACGACAACGGTGAGTTGAATCGAGCCAAATGATCTGCAAATACATTTCATAGATGATTGATCCAATTGATTTCAGACAACAACCACTACCACCACTACCACGACAACCACGACGGTATCAACTATAATAATTTTCTTGAGGTGTCTGTCCGTCTGTCTGTCTGTGCGTCATGTCCCAGATTCACTCGAAGGGAGAGGAGCTAGAGCTTAGCTCTCTTCGGATTCGGATAGAGCATGGTCAGAAACCCCCAAACTGATAAAAAAATTATGAAAAAGTTTTAATTTAAATTATTAAAATTAACTTTGAATTTTTCCTTATAAAAGGGGGGAGGGGTTTGCCCGATTTCGACATAGTGGCCGGTCGCGCGCGGTTGGCCAGGGAGGGCGGGCAGGGAAGGGGCGGCCGGTTGGGGGGGAGGCGCTGGAAGCGGCTGGTTTTTTACAATTTTGGACGCTGCCTTATAGGGCTGTGAGGTTGACATGTCTAACCGCTCTTATTGTTGGGCTAACTTTGCTTTTAGACAAGCGCTGGTTGCTGCAAGTTGGGAGGTGTTTGGAGCGAATGGAGTTCGCCGACGACGGCTTGCTCGGACTCTTGCGGTCTTTGCGGAAACTGGACTCTCACCAGGACTTGCCTCTCTGCGCCGAGCTGCCCATGCGCGTGGGTTTACACAGGATACCTTAAATAATACGGAGCTATGAATCTGTAAGATTAGGAATTTGAGCACTATATTTTAGCGGTGCTACGACGAAGGTTACTCCGTGCAACAACACTTTATGTGAATTCCCGAGGAGCACGTGCTGCTCACCCTATGTCAAGACAGGACCGGTCAACGGACTGTATGTGTGCGGAAATTATGTGGGCTTCTTGGTATTAGGTTATATTTTGGATTCAGTCGGATCCCGAGCCGCCAGCATCTGATGAATGCGCCCTTGACTGCTGCCCGAATGGAGGTGTTTGGGGAGAATGGTCTCAGGGAGGACAGTGCTCGACCAAGTGCGGAGCCTGCTCGACGATTACACAGGTGCCAGTAAAAAATTTGTCTAATGGTTGTTGTTATAGAGACGCGTCTGCCTGACGGAACCGAAATGCGGAGCCTGCACCGGACAAGCCACTCGATCTGTATACTGCAACATCCGTAAGTGACGATTGTAGGTTGAAATCTCGACGATTTTCAGAGGTATGCTACTACCCGCAGAACAGTTGCTGCTCACCTTGGCACGCGACTGTCGTCAACAATACAAATGCTTGTGGAGATATTGTAAGTTTTAGCAACCGGTTTTGAAATTAGAATTTTTACAGCCAGCCCCGTACGATCCGACGCCAGCCCCGAATGTTTGCCCTCCACCTTGCTGCCCATTGAATGGAACCTGGTCTGAATGGTCAACAACCCAGGTTGGTTCTTTTCTAATAAACCTCAGAAGGCAGGCGGGGCAAAAGCCTTAGGTATGAAGGGTGTACCAAAAAAAGGACCGCCGTAGCGACTCGGAGAAGTCTCAGATTTTGACGATTTAGGTATTTATCGAAAGCTCTCGGAAAGGCGAGAAAACAAGCAGCACTTTTTGTTTTTCAATATAGGCATTTTTATTCACTAAATTTAAGGCCAAAATTCATGAAAACTGCAGATTGTATGCAAATTTCGCATGTTAATTGCTTGCTAAGGTAACAGGACGATACTAATTTTACTTTTGTTTTTAAGAAATCGTTAAATATCGAGCGCGGGCTATAGAAATTTGTAAAACCAAAAGCACTTGTTTTCTCGCTTTCACGAGAGCGTTCGAATGGTGTAACAATCATGCTGATCCGATTTTTCTCCGGACCGCTAGACCGGACCGTACTGATTCCAACATTTTCTAGACCTGCCCCGATTATTGCGGATCTTGCGGTAATTTGACCTACACCCGAACCTGTACCTCGATGGCTGATGGCTGCCCCTGCACGTAGGAGTTGCCTTTTCAGCGTATTTATCCCGTTTTCAGTGGAGACACGACAAAGGTGCAAGCGTGCAACATCGGTGTCTGCTACTTCCCGCGTCTCTCTTGCTGCCCCGGCTACAGCGCCACCGTCATTGACGATACCAATGCGTGCGGACCCCAGCCCACTGTAGGCACTAGAGTTTGGACATTTACACGAACCTTATTCAGCTGACCCCTGATGCCCCACCGTTCGACAACTGCAGCACAACTTGTTGCACATCGGGTGGTTGGTGTCTTCTACTTGGTTCTTATAATTAATTTATTAGGAATTTGGAGCGAATGGTCATGGAGCGGCAGCTGGCAGAAGGGAGGAGACTATAAGAATTTGACGTGCGGAAATTGCGAACAGCGAACACAGAAGAGGACGTGTCTGTCAGCCACTTACGGATGTCCTTGCACGTACGTGTTAATGCGCCTTAATAACTACGCCGTCTGTCTTGGGAAAATGTTGATGTTTTTTTCCACTAATGGTGGTTTGAAAAAGCCGTTTTAGTGGACCCAGCACAAACGCGATCGGCAACAACGATACGCTCTGTGTATTCCCGAACCCGACATGCTGTAATGGATATGTGAAGAAGCTGAACACGACCTCGAAGAAGTACACTTGCCAAGCCAACGCTACTATTCCAGCCCCTGTTGGCGATGGATGTTGCCCACCAAGTCAGTTTTCGGCAAATTTGATCATTAAGCTTCGGATATTATTCTTTGATCAATCGATTTTTAGGCGGACTTGGCCTCTGGAACCCATGGCAAAGCTGGGCGACTTGCAGTGCCACTTGTGGTCTCTGCGGAACCCAATCTAGGACGAGGACATGCGCTTCTGCTGCCTATGGATGCCCATGCACGTTAGTGGCATTTTTAGAGCGTAGCAGACTACATTTTAGCGGAAATTCGACTACATCTCGCGCTTGCGGCAATCCGGCTTGTACGGGCGCTACACCTTGCTGCGGAGGAACGTACCAAGCGATTGCTTACGATGGAACATTGTTCTGCCAGGATACGCCGGTAAGGGGGCAGATTGAGTGTTTTAGAAAACGTTAGAAAGTGCTGTGTATGCACTATTGGTCAATTTAGTGGGCCCCCACGTGCGCAGGAGTGTGGACAGAATGGACATTGACCACAAACTGTACCACCAACCTTGTGCTGACGCCGGCCAACTGCGGAATGTGCGCCAAGACGACGTACAACCGCTTCTGCATGAACCCTGGATGCAACTGCTCCAATAGCCCGTAAGATGTTGTTATGACTTTCTTTTTCGTTTGTTTCTCTCTCTCTCTCTCTCTCTCTCTCTCTCTCTCTTTCTGACCCTCCCTCTCTAACCCCTCAATTTTTCAGCGCCGATTTCCAAAAACAAGTTGCCTGCACGGACACGATCTGCACGTTCCCCAACGCGACCTGCTGCGCTGGATACGCGAAGAAGCTGAACACGACCTCGAAGAAATACACTTGCCAACCCACCTAAGAACATAATCAAAGAATGAGAACTACCAGTTTGTTATGATTTTTCAGCCCGCCTAATAAATATTTTTTAAGTAATCCAGTATTTCAATACACATTTATACACGACCATTTAACTGTTCACCACCCCAGGGATCGAACCCTGGGGCCCTAGGTACACCACAAACATTGAAAAACGGCTTTAAAAGACTTTAAATACGCACATACACATTGTTTATTAGAAAATGGCCCCAATTTACATACTGAATAATCCAGTCATGGACAAATCAATCCGTTTCTTTTTTTGCCAATCACCTAATAGATACAAAACGCCATTTTTTTTAAATTTTCCTAAATTGACATATTACAACGACCCCGAATGATCCCTAGTTGGTTTGATTAAAAACGGAAAAAGTTATTTCCTTAGTATATCACACTAATTTACATTCATCAATACACATAATAATCTAATAATGCTTCAATTGATTCCGCTTCCTTACCCGCTTCTCTAAAACGCGCAAAATACCATTTTTTTAGTAAATTATACCAATTTGCATTCCACGAGGCTTCGATTCTCATGCTCAGAGGCTGTTCCCGCTCCCCTAGAAAAGCAAGAATACTTTTTTTGTCGAGATTATTGCAATTTACATCTATGAATGTCCCGAATAATCTAATAATGCTCACATTAATCCCTAGGTCTTCTCCAAAGGGCGGCCTTTTGTGAGTATAGACCGAAGAGCCGAGAGGCATTGCCTTTTCTTGGTCAAGTGGCTTGTCGAACCGGGGGGTCAAATTGGTCGCTTGTTAATCCATCCTCTCCAGAGAGGGGGTGGCCCTTATCCGCATTGTCCCTTCCGGGGGCCCTCCGTATTGGCGGCATTTGCATAAATGCCGCTTCTAGTGTGAGTTGATCCGGGCGGCGAGCTGGAGGAATACACGCATATGTTCGGGGTGGTTGTAGATTTTGGGCGCCGGGTGGCTGGGTGGCTGTTTTGATTGCTAATTGGTTAAAGGTCCCGGCAAGGCAAGACTGTGGATTTTTGTGTTCACTGCACAGCATGTTTTTCATTGCGTAATTGGTCATTATTATTTATATTTCGTGCCAAGCAAAAGCGAATTCGATAAATAAAAGTCTTGAAAATCCATAGTTGCCACTTGTCCTCACTTTTAAAGAACCGTGCCAGGCAGGTCTATGGATTTCCCAAAAATTTCAGCCGCGCCCGCGAGACTTGACGCGCCAGCGACGAGGCGTTGCGTGTCGCGGGCGAGGCAAAATTCTGATAAAATCTAAAAATTTCGATTTTGAATCTAGAAAAAACTAGAAAATCCAAAAAGCTAGAAAGGGAAATATCTTAAATTGCGCCTTCTTTTACGGAGCTTTGAGACTCCGCGAGACAGTTTAATACGTTTAGCGGCTGAATTAATCGCTATAAGCGTTCTTTCCCTCTCTCTCTCTCTCTCTCTCTCTCTCTCTCTCTCTCTCTCTCTCTTTCTCTGTCTTTCTCTCACCACGTTTTAGCTAACTGCTGTTTTCTACAATCTCAGAGATTCCAAATCCCTCTAAGACCTCCCCGAGTTCGCGATGGTACGTGTCGTGAGTTGTAAGGCGTAGGGCTTGAGGGGGTGAGCCTGGTGGTTGTTGTGTGACAGTCAGGCTGTTCTCCAACAGTCTCTCTCTCTCTCTCTCTCTCTCTCTCTATCTCTCTCTCTATCTCTCTCTCTCTTTCTTTGTCTTTCTCTCTATCTCTCTCTCTCTTTCTTTGTCTTTCTCTCACCACGTTGTAGCCAACTGCTGTTTTCTACAATTTCAGAGATTCCAAACCCCTCTAAAACCTCCCTGAGTTTCTCCTAACCTGCAAGACGCCTCATTTGACGCGGGAATCGCTTCCAGGAAGCATCCGGATCGTCGCAAGCCCGTCGCGACGTATCCATTACCGCGTTGTCGTCGGTGGTCCGGGCCCCAACCATTGGATCGTGGATACCGTCTCTAGATTCTTCCCTCTTCTTCTCAACACCTTCCAATCCAATCGCCACATGTCTCGTTGGGAGGAGGTGTTTACCCGGGTATGCGACGCACAATAGCACTCAGCTCAGCGCCCCAAGTCCAGAAATGACCGCCCAGCTAATGTGCACAGAATCGCCCCAGACACGCCCTCGATCCACCCACGGGACCAGTCACTCCCCCCAATGGGATACGGTAGCTGGGTAGGCTGGGCGCGCGGCTGGGTACCATAATCCTGGCATGCCCGATTTTGGTTTTTGCTGTTTTAGAGGTTTTGAACTAATCTTATAATCATATTATTCATAAATATAATATAATTAGAATACCAGATTCCTGAAATTTTTGCAAATCTTCATGGTGTCGATCTTCGTATGGTTGGGTTCTAAAAGATGAATTTTTGTAAGCTTATGTTAAAACCGTTTTATAATCGGTATTTAGTAGTTTTTTTATTAAGAAAATCCGCCAAATTATCGAATAAGCCAAAATTTGGTGTTTTGGAGCCCTAGATTCGCTCTTTCCTTCTTCTTTCTAAGAGCTGTAAAAAATCGTAAATTTTTAAAGGCCTCTCAAATTTCCAAAGTTTTGTTATTTAATTTCTTTTTTTATGATTTAATCCACTGGTCGATTTTTATCTGTATTATCTCATGTCTCTATGATTATTTGCTTTCCTAACCCTAAATCGGCCGAACTTCCATTTTCCAGTTTCCATCATGAGCTCGCCAGCCTCTCTAACACCCCAAAGCTTTTCCCAAGAACAATTGCTGCATATCTGGGGTATGAGATACACTATTACGCAGACAAAATCTCAATTTAAGGAGCCAGAAACATGTCCAAGATGGGGCGACGATTCGGCGGGGATGGAGAAGCCGGGGGCGGACCCCCACCCCCACCACAACCACAGCCAATCAAGACCGGCGCTGGCACGAAGCCAAAGGTATTGAATTAAGCTAGAAAATAAATTAAGCATTTCATTTTTTTAGGTTGCTACTCCTCAAGTGGTCGCCAAGATTGAGCAGTACAAGCGGGACAATCCGACGATTTTTGCGTGGGAGATTCGGGAGCGACTAATTAGTGAAGGTAAGAGGAAGGTTTTTGGGGTTGCTGAACTTTTAAACAATTATTTTTGTATTTAAAAACTGCGTTAAGTTTTGCAGACGATACGAAAATGGAGGAACTAATTTTAAGGGTTAAAACAAGTCATAAATCCCAATTTCGATTTTTACCAGGTCCTTAATTTTTGTAAAACAGTCAGCAGTGGCAATTAAAAATTAAAAAAAAAAAAATATTTTTAAAAAAAAAAATTAAAAAATAAATATAAAAATAAAATATAATTTTTTTTAAAAAAATTTTTTTTTTTTTTAAAAAAAAAAAAAAAAAAAAAAAAATAAAAAAAAAAAAAATAAAAAAAAAAAAAAAAAAAAAAAAAATTTAAAAAAAAAAAAAAATAAAAAATAAAATTAAAAAAAAAATAAAAAAAATTTTTTTTTTTTTTCAAATAAATTTCAAAATTAAAAAACTCTTCCCCCCCCTTTATATAAGGGTTAGACCATTTTCAAAGCTCGGTTTTTGTCTAGAAAAGTAGGTTTTGGTTATTATATAATAAGTATCAGATTTAAAGGCCAGATCGAAAAGCTTAAACTTCCAGAAGTTGTTTGGTTTATAAAAACATTAAAAATCTGTTTCTTTTTATGCAATTTTTAAAAGTAATTTTATATATTTAAGAACATTAGGTATTCTGAGTTTTTTGCCGCTAATACAGGGTGTCCCAAAAAAATCGACCCCCCTCTAGCGGTCCGGAGAAAGGTCGGAGCTGCATGATTTTTACACCATTCGAAGCCTTTGAAACGGCGAGAAAACAAGCGCTTTTTGTTTTACAAAATTTTTTTAGCCCGGCCCGCAATATTTGACGATTTCTCAAAAAGACTAAAATCAGCCTCGTCCTGTTTGCTTTAGCAATCAATTCAATTTTCCATAAAATGTGCAGTTTTCCTCGATTTTGGCTCTGAATTTAGTGACTAAAATGAATATATAAAAAAACAAAAAGTGCTTGTTTTCTCGCCTTTTCGAGACCTTTCGACAGATACCTAAATCGTCACAATCGGACATGAATGCGGCCCGTTAGAGGGGGGTGGTTTTTTTGGGACACCCTGTAGACACATTTAGTAAGGTCTACGAGCATGAAAATGTTCGAAATGAGCATGAGAATCTAATTTATTATGATCTATGAACATGAAAATATTCAAAATGAGCATGAGACTCGAGCATCGTCGGCTTGAACTCTCTTAGCGCCCGATACCCGCTAGATACCCAGCAGTATTCTTTTTCTACCTCCCCAATAATACCCCCATATCCGAATGAATAAGACAAGCAAGCCGACTTGTTGACATCCCCATCCCTCTAGCTACCAAAGGTGGGATGTGTCGGTGGCCATAAAGAGCGGTCAAGTGGCCCAATGAGCCCCCAGGCGCCTCTCTCCCACCCGAAAAGCATCCCCGTATCTATCGCCGCCACAATGCAAGTCGTATTTGCGTGTTGGTAGGGATCGGATGGCATCTACAGCGGTACTCCAAACTTATTCACGGCACATTTGTTGGGGGAGGGGGGATGGAGCGGATATTTGCCTAGGATCGGCTTGGGGTTAGATGGGGGTGGGCGGGTGATCAGAAAATAATAATGTAAGATTATACTACTATAATAATACTAGGGGGTGGTCTTAAAGGAGCTTACAAGGCACGGCTTGTCGATTTCTTATTCATGGATGACCTTAAAGAAACAATCACCGCCTAATGTTATGAAATCGGTCCACGCTATGGCTGGTCTGTTTCCTAAAGCGCGGATAAGCCCCCCCCCCCTGTTCGGATTGCATCAGCCAGTTGGCTCATTGGTTTTGTGTTCGCTTGCCACGCACAGGACCCGGGTTCAACCCCCGGAGGTGACAAAGGTGTTTGTTTTTTCATAAAAAGCTGGGAATTGGCTGGTTCTATGAACACCTAAGTCTAAGCCTAAGCCTAAGCCTAAGCAAGCAGGATTAAATAACTCTGGGCCTAGAAAATCACGGGACGCTCGAAATGACACTCTCGTTTGTGTTCCAAAAACCCGGCCCAAGTCCCTGCAAAAATGGAATTAGCTCAGCCATTTGGCCCCGGCGCGTAATTGCCTAACCTCAACTGGCAGTAAGCGTCGATCCTTGCACTTCCAACTCCCCTTAAAATTCTTGAAAACGTCAAGGAACCTTTTGAAAATTTGGTCCAATAAATTTTTCAGGTGTCTGCACCACCCCACCATCAGTATCCTCCATCAATCGTATACTTCGTACTCGAGCGTAAGCATATTTTCAGGAACCTAAAATCCATTAAATATGTATAGAGCTGAACGCGCAGCCGAAGAACTCACCATCATCCTAAACGCCCAGCACAATCGGCCACCAAACTTCGCCAGGCCCATGCCGAATGTACTCCCCCCACTACCGTACCCGCCGCTTTGGCCAGGTATGAAAATGCACAGTTTTTAGCCAATGTGAGAATTTAGGTCTTCTCCTGACCCCCGGCGCTTTCCCACCAAATATGGGTCCATTTCAAGGCTGCTCTAACACTTTGAATTTACTTGCTGCGCTGACGGGGCAGTTGAATCAGGTTCGAAACAATTTAAAGATTACTTATACAGTTATAAAACATACTTAATGGGTAATTTAAAACGACATTTTGACATGTAATTTTGCCTATTTTAGCTACAACAATCCGGATCTACAAATGGTGATACATCACCGGCTGAAACTGTCGCCATGAGTGAAGAAGATCAAACGATTCGACGCGGTAGCAGAAGTCAATTTACTTCGGGTCAGTTTTTAGGTTTGATCACTTACTTCTTACCTATATAGTATAATCCTTAAAATTATGCAGTTTTTTATTAAATATAGTACACCTAAATATTTGCAGGCCAACTCGAAATCCTCGAAGCCGCCTTTGAAATTGACCCCTACCCCAGCAACGCCGAACGCGCCGAGCTCGTCAAGAAAACCCAGCTCCCAGATGCACGTATTCAGGCAGATTTTAAGACAAATTTTGAATTTCTGAGAATTTTGACGCTTTTTAATGAAGTTTTTTTAGGTGTGGTTCTCCAACCGACGCGCAAAATGGAGACGTCATTTGGAAACCCATGAATCATCGCCTATGCAAGAGTAAGTTAGTCCTCAAAAATTTTGAAAACTGCATATATAAATTAAATTACTTAAATCAATTAAAAATTTTTAGCTCTAATGAAGACCAGACAAGTGATGCCGAGAAGAGTCCAAAAGTGCTGAGCACCGATGAGGAAGGAAATTCGGGAAAACGGAAGCTGGAGGCTACGGAAAGCCCAGAAGAGCCGATGGTGAAGCGCGTTTTTCGGCCCTACGAGTGATAATTAATTGAATTTTTGTAACAAAAATTGTAATAAATTAAATAAAATATTCAAAATATTGTTTAACACTATCATAATTACTGCAAGTCATTCATGCACTGCTGGTATTCGTTTTATATTAATACCAAAAAACTTGAAATATTTTCAAGCAACAAACATCAAATTTTACACACAATTTATTCGTGGCAATGTCGTACTTTATTATATAAGCTCGCTGGGCATAGAAATAATGAGTGTTCGGGTGACAGGATCGCGTGCTGTAGTGAGGTTACATATCGAGTGATCCCTGTTTGCAGTGACGGCGTTCCTCTTTGATCCGTTCCTCCATTTCCCGCATTGTTTCCACCATCGGGTGTCTAGCAACTAGGGCTCGACATCTAATAAATTATTTATATCAAATTAAAGCCCATAACTCACATTTTTACTCGAATACAGCAGCTCTCTATCCGGTTGCACCTAAAAAAAATATTTTCATGCCGTAATAGATTATTCACCTGTCCTTAAATCTCTTCGCGATAGCCTTGCATTGGCTCTTTGTCTTTGCCCTCTTCCTCGCGTCCTTCACGTCATCCCCGTAAAAGTATTGATCGAATTCGGCGATTTTCCGGATGCACGTCGATTGGTGGCGCTGGAGAACGGGGCTTATCAAGGCCAGAAATTGACAGGTGCTTACTTTTTTGGCGCTCGCTTTTTCGAATTGCGAGTCGTCGACTTGATCGACGTGGCCGGTGATGTAGCATTCTCTGGAAAAGGGAAAAATAGGCATATAGCGAGATTTTTAAGTTTTTTTAAAGGTGCGAACAAGGTAAGGCCGCTGGACCCGCTACAAATTTATTTTGCCGCTTGGCGCTACACAACGGGTGTGATTTTTTTGTACTAGCTAATTTTTAAAAAGCATGCTTTCCTAGCTCTGATTGATTTTTGGTTTTATTAAATATTTGAGGTCGTCTTTCCATTGCGTGATCAATTAGATTTTTTAAAATAGGTAAGGGGCGATTACGTTGCGTTGCGTGTCGCGATCGCGATAAAAAATCCAAAAACTCTAGTGCCTAGAAAATCCCAATTTTAATTGTATTAACTGGTCGTAAGCTTTACATTTTCTATTCCAGATTTTATCAGACATTATAGAGGATTTTATAGCTTCATTTTCTTACCTAAGCAACTCCGCCCTCCTCCTCTTCCTCGAAATCAATTCGGCAAACAACTTGGCAATCGGCTGATAGCAGCTGTCCGACGGCTCCTCGTTCTGTAATTATATTTTTGCGGTCTAAATAACACCCTAATTTATCCCCCCGGACCCGCCTGTTTTGAGCGACCCTAACGCAGTTTAACAACTTTTGCCGGGGCCACATTTATTTTTCTGCGTTTTGGAGGTCGGGTTGGGCAACCTGAGCAGGAAGTGGGGACACATGGTCCTCCTCTCAGGGGTCGGTCTCCCCTGCTGGGTTATTTGAGCCAAATGTCAACTCTGAAGGAGTGAAGGACGGGTTTTTGGAAGGAGGGAGGATAACCTTTCAAAGAAGAAAGTGAGGAAGAACGTTTTAAGGCTCACAAAAACAGCGATAATTTTGGGACGTGCGATATGGGGGTGGGCTCATCATTAACTTGGCAAAGATCCGAGGGAGGGCAAATAGAAAGCGGATCGATGTGATTGGGATTCGCAGAAAAAGGTGACTACCCAGAAAGAACAGGATCAAAAAGCATGAGGGAAAAGTTCGTGATCGCGTATGGATTTTAATTAAGATGTAGAAGTTTCGGTTCCGGTTTATTAACGGGGGAGGAGAGAACGACTTGAAGGTCTTATTAGTACTTGTAAGCTACTTTACAGCAATTTATGGATTTTTTAAACTACATCCAGATACCGCTTCGCCAACATTTTAGAATTTAGACGTATTAGGTTTGTAAATTTAAACTATTGGGGCTATTTAAGCTGATATGATGTAATAATGACGAAAACCACCATTTTTAAAAATCATTTTAAAATCGTATCGGTTTGTACGGCGTTGTATTAATTATCAACCATTAAATACGTTAAAAATCAGCCAAATTTTCTTGAAAGCTGGGCACAACTAAAGAAGGGTGACTAGTCCCCCCCGTTAATGCACTAAAACCAAATAATTTTAATAGCTCAAATTTACATACCCTAAACTGCTTCTCATCTCCACATGCCGATACTAAGAGATCATATTTGGAAAGGCATCGATCATATGCCGAGCAGGCATTTGTGATCCAATATTCGACGGGTTCTTCTTCGGGTTCGGGTTCGGGTTTCTTTTTCTTCTAAAAAATCCAATTAGCATTATTGCACCAAATTCGCTAAAAAACAGGCTGATTAATCTTAGAATTTTACATAATACAGTATGCGAAAAAGTGTGCTCGATAAAAGCTTGATAATTCACCTCTTTCTTTGCCGACTCCACATAGGCAAATAATGAAAGCAAAATTAAAATATAATTTGCATTCATCGAAGCGGGAATACAAGTAGATGATCTTTTGGATGACGATTTTTAGTTGATGTTCCAAGAATAACAGATGCCGTTTCTTTGTTGAGAAATGAAGACAGTGGGTGTGAGGGTTGGGGGGGCGAGGATGGGTGATATCTGTTTCCTTCCACGTGCCTCTGTCCCTCTCAAAAAGCTTCTTGTGTCGACATGATCCTCTCTAAAGTCCCCCCTAGCTGCGACCCGTTTCAACCCCTGGCATCAACCGAACGGCCCATTCCCACCCCTGGGAATGAACAGAAGGGAGAAACAGCCAAATAACTCGAAAAAATGGGAGCGGTGGAATGGACCACCAGACAGCTGTAAATAATGGTAAAGAAATGAGGGATTATAATAGAGCGAGAAAGAGAAAGAGAGAGCGGGAGAGAGTGCGAGAGACAGAGAGTGAGAGAGATAGAGAGAGCGAGAGAGAGTGGGAGAGGGAGCGAGGGAGAGAGAGCGGGAGAAAGAAGAGCAAGAGAGAGAGAGCGTGAGAGAGAGACAGAGAGAAGAGAGAGGGAGGAGAGAGAGAGAGAGAGAGAGAGAGAGAGAGAGAGAGAGAGAGAGAGGGTCCGCAACACGCAACGCGCCGACTGTGACGACCCGGCAGCTGCAAATGGCAAACACACTGAAGTTTATATAGAAATAGTGGAAGAACTGCCCTTCTGAAACTGGTACATTTAAAGGGACCGGCAAGTTATCAATGCGGGTGGTTCAGGTGATTAGTGAGATTTTCAAGGATCCCTGCAGCCGCAACACGCGAAGCGTTCGCGGTTTCGCCAACCTAATGGTCGCAAAATCCATTACACGATACAGCCCAATCAACGCGTTGCGCGGGCGCGAAAAATTACTAAAGAATCCATAGCTGGCTGCCTTTCCAGTGTCTTTAAGACCTATTTTTAACGAAGAAAATCGCGAAATAAAGGATCTCCGTTGCACCATTCCACCAAGCCACCGCTTGACCTGTGACGTGTCCACACAACCCCCCAACGTCCATTCAAAGCAAACGCCGGGCCGGTGAAGCCGTGTGCCCATGACAGGTTGTGAAGCGCCCCCCAAAAGGATGGGTTGTTATCAACCCAATGTGTACATTAGATCCTGCAATCTTAAACGCAGTTCCATTCTTTTTCTCGCTTTTTGGGGATTTGGGCTTTTAATCGACAATTCCTATTTGAAAGGTTTTTTCTGCAATTCGTAATAAAATTTTGCGTCGTATTTTGTGTATAAAATTTGCATGTAATAGCTTTTCTAATATGATCCTCAAATACATCACTCAAATGCTTTTAATAATACTGCTATCTATGAAAATCTAGAAATATTTTTAAACAATGACAAACGAATATAAGAATCATAATTTGCATAAAATTTCATTTATAAATTTTTTTAGTTAGAATCATGGCGGTGATATTCTATTAAATGTTATTAAAATGCGTCGAACATGACAACTACTGACCGTACTGTACGGACCGTCGAACTGACAATTCGGGACAGTCCTGAATGCTACGTGTATTTGCTGCATAAAATTTTGCATATCCATGCATATCCTTTGAATTATAATGGTTTCATTAAATACGTTTTTATCAGCTTGTCAATAACACCTCTACCATTTCCAAACCAGCCCTGAAACCGTCCAAATGACATGTCAATCTTCCAGTTATCGATTTGGCATCATGAAACGCCGAAACCCTTATCAAAGTGACCCGTCCCTCTCCCCCCCCTCTTTCAGTCCTTTATGCGCCTACGGACAGCTGGCATTAAAGCACCGGAAATGTTTTCCAATGCCTAAAAATCCTTTGATGCTTTATGCATACTATGCTTACTTAATAATAACAATATTTTCAGGGATGAGGTTGATTTTTGTCTTTGTATTATTATCCTTATGCTTGTACGTGAGCGCCGGCCGAACAAAGGTCCAAAGACACGAGTCAAAACAGACTGATTCTGGGGATGAAGCTGTTGATGACGCCGTGGCGGAGGTAGCAAGCAAGAAGAAGGCTGCTAAGAAGGTTCTTTAATAATTATTTTTATAATTCAATGATATTTAGCGTCCACCACCTGCTGAAGAAGAGGAGGATGTTGAAGAAGAGGAAGAGGATCCGAAACCCCTCCCAAAACGAACCGGGGTTAAGGGAAAGAAAGGCGAGAAGCCAACCTTTGCCATCTGCAAAAAACCTCTAGACGATGGAGGTGCCTGTGATTGTACCGGAAATGATATTGTTTGCGATCAAGTAAGCTTAATTTAATTTTTTAGTCTAAATTTTCTCTAGGTCGTTTTTGATGATGAATCCGAACTTGACACCCTCATGCTCACACCCCCAAAAAATGCCACCTACACCTATTTTGCGGCTCGAGAAAATTTCTTTCCGATTTTGAAAAAGGTTAAAAACTAATATAATATAATTTTACATCTAATTCAGGGCGAAATCCTACCCCTCATCGCCGACAAAATTGAAGAGCTTGATCTCTCCAAAAACAAGCTGGTCACCATCGAGTCCGAGGCGTTCGCCGATTTAAACAGCCTCTCCAAACTACACCTCAACCATAATAAACTCAGGCGTCTCCCAAAGTGCGGAAAATTAGGAAATTTCTAAATCAAATTCAGGGACGCTTTCAAGGGCGTTGAGGACAAGTTACACCAGCTTTTCTTGAATTCCAACGATTTGCGCAACGTGGAGGAGGGGACATTTAAGTCGTTGAAAAGTTTGCGGCGCTTGGTAATATTAAAAAATCAATTTAAACGGAAGTTATAATTTAGGAAATGGATTATTCGAAGGTGAAGATAACGAAGGGGCTTTTTGAGGGAATGGATAATCTGGAAAAGTTGTCACTAGATGGAACCACTTTTGACGACAATACAGATGTGAATGTTTTTGACCATCTACCGTAAGCCATATTGCTATATATAATCTGTTTTTACCATTTTAAGAAATCTTAAAGTACTCTCCCTGCGCAACACCCACCTTACTGAGGTCCCAACGTCGATTCAAGGCTTGAAACATCTTGAAGAACTCGATCTCTCTGGCACAAAAATTTCTGAACTCCACGCCGATTCGTTTAAAAATGATCAGAGCTTGAAGGTGATACTGTAGTTTCAGAGCTATTAATAGTTTTTAGATCCTTTTCATGCAAGATATGCCTTTCCTGTGGGGTATCGAAGACTGTGCCTTCTGTGGTCTTGAGGGCCTCCAGGAAGTTCACTTCAAAAATTCCTCCCAGCTCTACAGTGTTCACAACAATGCCTTTGGGTTTGAGAAGGGAAAGGATGCGGTAATTTTTCATAAATTAAAAATTTATATAATTTTTTAGACGAAAAGCCTCACGAAAGTCGTCTTTTCAAAGTGCAATATCAGTACTTTGCACGAAGCGCTTTTTGATGAGGTATACCAAATCCATTCGCGTAATTATTGTTATATTTTCAAGGATTTGGACTTGGATCTGCAGCTTGATGGTAATAAAATTATTTGCAATTGCAATACGACCTGGTTGCTTGGGGAGCAGCGATTTAAATTTGCTACTACAAGCCAGGCACCGAGGTAATGTATATAAATTTATTTTCTATGGAAATTAATTCCTGATTTTTGTATTAAACAAAAAAATATTTGTGCATGATTTAAAATGTCTCTTTTCAGATGCGCTGCACCAGAAATCGCTAGAAATCGCGAGTTGATGGCTGTTGATCCGGCGGATGTTTGTGACGCTGTTATGAGCCGGAATAAGGGTAAAAATTTATATATTACAAGTTATTGTTGTTATAATTTATTTTTCGATAACATTATTAACATATCTATACCCTTAAGGAGCACGAATGATTAAATGGTTTTTAATGACGCTGATGTTTTCGACAATCGGTGTCCTTGGATATTACATGGTTGCTACCGGGAAAGTGAAAAAATGGATTACCCCGAAACCTCGTGAAAATGTAATTATATTGTTTTACTTTCAAGTTTAAAAATTATTTTTAGGTCCTCTACTCAAACCTCCAAACCAACGATGAACAACCCCTCGAAAAAGATTTCCAACCCCGACCTCAAGACGTTTAACCATTTGTATACAAATATTTATCGTGACAAAAATAATGGGTGAATGTGTGCATTGGATTGTATTGGATAAATGGTGCCTTTGGTAGACTTGATGTAGCACTTGATTAGTTGACCGCCAAGACGAATTCTAGGGCAAGAAAAAATTTCTTAAGGTTTGCCAAGATACCTTCAAACGAGATTTTGCCATCACCGTCGACGTCGGCCTCCCGGAACATTTGTTCGATGACGCCGCGGGGGAATGAGGAGCCGAGGGCTAATTCGCGGACAATTTCGATCATTTCTTGTTTTTCGATGTAGCCGTCTTTATCCTAAAATTCAGGGAATTGTAGTTTTAAAACCATGTAAGCCTAGGTTTAACTTTATTAGGCAGAGATAATTGGGCTTAGGTTCACGCTTAGGTTCATGATGTCAACTTAGGTTTCAGCGTGGGCTTGGCTTAGCTTAGGCTTAGGTTTAGCTTGGACTTGGAGTTAGCTTAGACTTGGGCTTGCTTTGACATAGGCTGAGTTTAGACCTAGGCTTAGGTTTATGCTTACGCTGAGTTGAAGCTTAGCTTAGTCTTAGCTTAGGGACGGCCTAGGTTAAGTAAGGCCTAGCCTAGACCTAGGCTAAGGCTTGAGCACAAAATAGGCCTAGGCTTAGGCTTGGGCCGAGACTTAGGTTTGTGCTTAGGCTTGGACTTACAAGGAGACGTTTTTGAGTGTCGTCGGTACTTTGGCACAGGACCATGCCTATCTTGTGCAGAATTTTACGCTGATTCCGAATATGTTAACCGTTTTTGCGGAATAGCCATTTCTCGAAAGTTATGAACGATTTAAACCTCAAAACAGCCCAAAATCGGCTACTTTCAATAGTCATAAAAGGCTTCAAAATAGGTTTTAGACAAAACCAGATAGTGCATCTTGTTCAGAAAAATTTTTCTATAAAATGTACTATCTTCTCCAAAATCATTGAAAAGTTGGAAAAATTTGATAAATTGGTAAGTCCATATTATATTACATATTACAAAAATTTTCAAAATTTTAGCATTTTTAAGTTAAGTAGTTTATTTTATAGAGAATTTTTTTCTGAACAAGATGTACTATCAAGTTTTGTCTAAAACCTATTCCGAAGCCTTTTATGACTATTGAAATAGCCGATTTTGGGCTGTTTTGAGGTTTAAATCGTTCATAGCTTTCGAGAAATGGCTATTCCGCAAAAACGGTTACCATATTCGGAATCAGCGTAAAATTCTGCATAAGATAGGCTTAGTCTCATGCCAAAGTCCCGACGACACTCAAAAACGTCTCCTTGTTAGGCTTAGGCCTAGGCTTAGGCTTGGACTTAGGCTTAGGTCTAGGCTTAGGCATTGGTTTAGGCTTCGCTTAAGCGTCATCGCAATTGTAGAAAATAAAAGCATTTTTCCAGAATTTTAAATTCCTTTTAATTGCTCTTCCAACCCACCTTATCAAACATCTGAAACTGCTCTTGGAGCTGAGCAAAGGTATACTTGTTCCGCGACGTCGACCCGCTCATCAGATGGGCGAACTCGTCGAAGGTGATCACGCCGTTTTCTGGAATGATTTTGGATGAGTGTTGGGACCACTAGGCCGGGTGGTCCCGTAGCGAAAGAGCATTCCGGGATGCCGTTTTGGATGTTTGGCGGCCATTCGTCGGGAGGGGGAAAAAGCCCTTCCGCGGTGGTCGATTGGGTTGTCGGATTGAATCAGGGCTGACGCATGCAAATTGTGGGGGGCAATAAGAAAATCGGGGGGAGTGTTTTCTCGTGACTTCCGAAGAGGTAGTGGATGAGCGATTAGCTGGTTTGGGTCGTGTAATTGGTCGTTTTCGTATGAAAGGTGGCTTATTTTTGGTAAATTATTGTTATTTAAATTATTCTTGATGGCATAGAAAATTCTTATTCAATATTTTAATACAACACAATGCTAAAAACATGATTTATGACTTTGATGCCTATTAAAGTAGTGGATTTTGGCCAGCCAATTATGGTTATTTGGTCTAATCCTGAACTTTCAAAATATCATAATTTTAAGAATCTAATTTCGCTTATAATATTTTATTCCTTACCCCCGTTACTAACAACCATTTCCGAACAACTAGGTGCCCCAGAGGTATTCCCCAGGGTCTCACCGCGAAATTTATCAACCGAAATGGACATGCCCCCAAAACGGAAACCCCCAGAAAAGGCGCCTCGACCCTAGGGTATCCCTCCCAACGCCCCATGCAAATGGAGAAACGTTGCAAATATCAAAGTGTTTCCTCAAAACGAAAAAGATTTACGACCAAAGTGCTAGTATTGAATGCCGATCAGGAAAATGCCGACAACGGTAATATCGATACGCCAAACGCCGGTCAGACCAGAAATGCTACAAGCAAAAATACCGACAAGCAAAAATTCCTATAAGGAAGATACCGAGAAGAAAAATGCCGACACGCAATAGGTTACTTCCCGTGCAAAACTTTTCAATTGCAAGCATTTGCGCGTCGATATTTAACGACGACAAGTTAAGATACCGACACCCGCAATGCCGACACCCAGAAGCGATGTGACATACACAACATTTCAATTTCATGCGCATGTCGACATTTTGGCTGTCGGCATGCTTGCTGTCGGCATTTTGGCTTGCCGACTAGGGGTTTTGAACATCGGCATTTTTGCAACACCTCGAAAATACCGACAACCGAAGAACAAACCTCAAAAATAGAAACTCCCAACCACTTTGAGGGGAACACCAGAAAGTTCCTGGCCCCCGAAGGGGGAGGCGCTCTCGAGCATCACCTCTCCCAAAGTCTCAAGCACCCCCGGAAACGCAAATTTGAATGAAATTTCGTTTTTTTCCTTGCCTAGGCTCTCTAAAGACCATGTCCTACGCAAGGGGGAGGGCTTCAAACATTAGTCGTTAATGCTAATGTTGCGGAGTTTCAGACGTGCTGGGGAGCATTATGGAATTTTTCTAGAACCCACTGTCATTATCCCCATGATGGATGATCAATCTGAGCTCGAGCTTTGACGGGAATTGGCCACATTTATTCATCGCGGCTTCAAGCTCCTCGGCAGTGATATGGCCATCATTATTTGCGTCGAAGAAGTCGAAGGCTTTTTTGTAGTCTGAAGTTTAAGGTTTAGAACTTTAGAAAAAGTTTACCTTCAACGTTGGCGCATTTTCGAGACTCTTTCTTGGGCTAAAATTGAATTTTGGTTTCCTTTTATTTTCTACCTGCGACGGATCGAAGAAGTTCATCATATTTGAAGCAGCAACTTAAAATAGAATTAGAATCTTTCAAAAGCAAATAATCGTTTTTAGAGAAACGGCAAATGGTAAAACCTTTAAAATTATTCAAAGTTTATGAAGAATCCATTTACAATTAAGCAAAGCAAAAAATATACAATTCTTCAAGTAATAAAAGTTCATGATCATTTCAAATTTGCAGCTCAATCGAAAAATCTTAAGAATTATTGAAATTTGCTTAAGAATAGTTTGAAGCTTTGAAAATACGGAATTTAAGAAAAAAATAAACGCCCGATTCTTGCAAACGGCAGCTTCCTCCAGATGCGTTCCATTCCGAAAGTGTCAAATAAAGTTTATACCCCGAAATTTGGGAGGGCTACTCCCGGGAGGAAGAGCGTGAAGCCGATGGGAAAAGCCGTCGAGTCGAGTAGGTGGATGAAAAGGTGGAAGAGGCCAAAGATAAGGAAGAAGAGCCGGAAGAAGGGGGTTAAGATGGAAAGAACAGATGGATAAAGAAGAGAAAAGGAGGGGGAAGAAGCTGAAGGAAAGGGCGTGCCTTCAGGGTTGGGGGAGAACCAGCTTTTGTGCTTCTAGAGGGGGTGTCTGATGAAGATTGGGTCTTTTCGGGAACGGGGTGGGGCCGTTTGGCGAGGCATTCAAATTCAAGTAGCCGCTACCAGGTTTTGAGACACAGAAAGGTGGGTTGGGGGGGGCTTTGGTCTGTGGCATCCAGACAACGTGTCGAAAGGTTGTCTCGGGGGCAAATGCCTTTATGGAGGTTGGGTGGGGAAATTCTGGGAGTCGAAAGATTCACGAGTGAAGAAGACGGCACTTAGCGCTAATTTAGGGGCGTATGCTTGTGGTAGAGTTTGGAGAGCAGTCACGTAAAGTATAGTAGTTTTAGGTTGTGAAAATGTAAATATTCTTTGTATTTTATTTGTATTGGTATTTTCTAGATTTTCTAATCAAAATCTTTCACGTTTTTAGTTTTAGAAAGAATAAAAAAACAGTCTAGAAACATCTCCGTTATTTATATTCGAAAAACTACAGCCTTAGAAAAAAATTTCTGTAAAGTTCCCCAGAAACTCCACCCTCCGCCCCCCCGACAATGCAAAAGAACCCTAGAAGCATCAAAACAGCTAAAAGCTTGTACGGTCACTGAAAGAAAAAGTCGTTCACCTGGCCCTGTTGCCTTTTGGGGTCACCCGAAGCTCCGCCCCTTTTCGGTTCAATTACCCGAGTTTGAGGGTAGATCTAGGGTTACACCATGAAATGACGCTTATTCTTCTTGTTTACACATAAATTAATATCCTATTTAATCCAAACGCTTCCCCGATAACAGCAATTCGTTTATAATTATCAAAAATACATTGTCCTTACATTAAAAAACATTTAAAATTATACATGCTCATCCATGAAGAACTTTGTAAAAAATCTGCTAGTAGTGCGATTTCATTCCGTTAAAACTAATGGCGTGTTTCAACCCTCTTTCAACGCGTCATCTACCGGCATTCGTTTAGAACATGCCAAACGAGCCAAGATATCGACGACGCATTAAATAATTAAGATAAAAGATCAGAAAGATAAGATAAATAAATAAGTGAATATCGATATAAAATCATAATAAAAAAATCCGAAAATCCACAATTCAAATTTTACTTTAATTTTTGGCATGGCCCCGGTTCCCTTTTCCAGAATAATTAGTAGGGTCCTCTTACTATCTAATTAGTTGGCCCCTCAGCGCGTCGACGGTTATGTTGTTGGGGTGGGCCAGGTCGGGGGCGTTTCGGACAAGCATTTCACTTTTCTCGCTTTTTCGCCCATAAACAGCGGTGTATTCGAGGTAAAAAACACATCATTCGATGCAAAATTCTTTGGCGCATCTTTTGGGACTATTCTCAGACAGCTAGCAAACATCTCTCTAGCCGAAAATGCCGAAAAATTGTTTAGTGAACGCGATTTAGCCATGTTCCCCTGATTTTGGTGCTTTGAAGTGTATTAGACAAATGATTGCCGTCTCAAAATACAAATAATCACGTGTTTTCAGTCAATTTGGTTCAATATTTTTGGAGGCTGTTTTCAGGATCGTTATAACTGAGCAAATCAAAAATGAAGAGTTGGACGAAAAATCAATGTCTGTGGCGTTTTTTAACAATTGAAATCTGTAAAGCACCGAGAAGCTCGACCCTCGCCCCCCATTAATGCAAGAGAACCCCCGGAAGTAGCCAAACTACTGGAAGCTTGGACGAACACTGGCAGCATTAGTTGTTCATCTGGTCCTGTCGCCCTCCGGGGTCACCCAATGGTCAGCCCGATTTCGGTTCAATTACCCAAGTTTTAGGGTAGGTCCGGGTGACAAGACGAAATCACGATTAATATTCTTGTTTTTGCGTAAAATTAGTTTCTGATTTGATCCTAACAATTTCCCGATATCAACAATTTGGTTAATAATATTATTAGTACTACTTTGGCGCTTCCAGATAAAAATTTATTAAAATTATACATTCGCATCAATGAGAAATTTTAGAAAAACTTCTAATAGAGCAACTTCTTTCATTTAATAACTATTATTAAGGATCAAATCCTTTATTTTATGTCATATTGCAGAATCCGTCGGCTGCAACATCTGAATTTTACAGGCGAAAATATCTGCAACGAAATAAAAGAGAGACTACAGAAATATAAAAAAATCCTAACATACTAACACGCTTAATATCGATACAAAGTCATAATTAAAAAGCGGAAATTACAATCTAATTTTACCAAAAAAATTTGTGGCATGACCCCGCTTTCCCATTTCTAGAATAGTTGTTAGTCGTTGATACGATATGATTAGTTGGCCCCTCAGCGTGTCGACGGTTATGTTGTTGGGGTGGGCCAGGTCGGGGGCGTTTCGGGCAAACATTTCACTTTTCTCGCTTTTTCGCCCATAAACAGCGGTGTATTAGGGGCACAAAACACATCATTCGATGCAAAATTGTTTGGCGCATCTTTTGGGGCTATTCTCAGACAGCTGACAAACACCTTTCTAGCCGAAAATCCCGAAAAACTGTTTAGTGAACGCGATTTAGCCATGTTCCCCTGATTTTGGTGCTTTGTAATGTATTAGACAAATGATTGCCGTCTCAAAATACAAATAATCACGGGTTTCCAAGCAATTTTGTTCAATAATTTTGGGTATACGTTTTTTATAGCGAGAAGTTGACTGCCCCTATAAACAAGGGTTAATTTGACTGCGATTTAGAAATTACCTAAATTATGTGGTAACTTAAGAGGAAGTATTTTCTTGGTGTTCTTAGTAGAAAACTAGAAACTACAAAACCATCTAAAAGCCTAAAAACCTATTAAAAATTTTAGTCAAAATCGGCCATTTTTGGTCAAAGAGTCGATATTTTTTGCGTTTTTAAAAGCTAAATCTGCAGAGTTTCTGGATTGGGAAACGACAACAGCATAAAAATTTCCGTTCTTTTATTCGGAAAATCGGGCCGTAGGACAAAAATTGGTTCCCGGTCGGGCACTTCCCTCGTTAGCTTCGGCAGACCTGACTTCATCCTATGCAGCTTAGCTTAACCCTAGATTATTTTCTGCTTGGACTTAGGCTTAGCTTAGACCCAGCTTCGGCTTAGGCTAAAGCTTGGGCTTAGGCTTAGGTTAGGCTTGGCTTTGCCCGTGGGCTTAATTTAAGTGACGTGCGTCGAATATGTCTTCTATTTTTCGTAGTATTGCAATTATTTATCGTAGTAATAAATCTTTATTCAAACAAAACGTTTCCCAAGTTATCGTCCCATTTACATTCCGCAGATCGGTTCGCGGCTGAAAACAAAATTTCCGAGATTTTACTCCAACTCACAAGCAAGACAGTGACTGGATGAGGTTTCCAGCGTGCGTTGCAAAATCGTTGTCATTTCCGGCAAAGTACGAGCATCTCTGGCCGGCCAAGGAGACCAACCAATCAGGAGGAGACTAAAAAATCTATACCTTACTACGCTAAAAAAATTACAGTAAATCCAAGCGAAACCACAGCAAATCCGTAGCTTCCTGAGCGCTTCAGGGCAGTGACGGCAGAAATGGGGTCGAGATTTCCGTCAGAATACCTAGAGGATATTAAAAATTACGTTGTATTTAAGGATGACGTACATCTGGCTGGAAGTGACATAAACGACAAGATGTCGAACATCACGATCGGTACGGTAGCCATTTGCGGGGTCCACGTAGTTGGCGCTCACATAGTTGATGGCCCTGGAACCAAAGGTATTGAAAGGATACCTCATGCTCACGATGTAATATTTTGTCCCATACGTCCGTCGGCTTGCAGGGTGTTGAACTTCAAGTTCAAGCTGCTCAGATCGGAGGCGGCGTTCAGGAGGAAGGGGTTTCCGCCGGGCTAAAAAATATGTTAATGTATATTAATTTACAAATTATAGTATTATTATTATGTAAATTTTTATTAAATAAGATTTAATAATCTGATATAGAATGCGTATTAATGAAAAACTATACTAAATGATGTTGATGTTTCTGCGGAGAATTGTCATAAAGAGCTTGAAAATTAAGAAAAAGAAAAATATTACCGTGGTGGAGGAGAAGGAGAAGGCTCCAAATTGAGTACCATTCACGCCGATGGTGAATGCGCTAGCTACGTATTGCATGAAGAGTTTGAACTTAAAAAATATGGTTCTTGGGAGCTGTTAAGGATTTGAATACCGTTCCGAAGGTCCGATCTGACATGATGGAGCCATCAACCATGAAGACGATGTCGGTCTTCTTTGTCGTCAGATCGCAGAACGGTGGTGGTGCTAAAATTAAAATTTATTAACTAGAAATTCATAATAAAATCTGGGTATCCCGCGCCGCCGTTAATACAAAAGCACCGAAAAATTTCCAAAATAAAAAAAATTTCTTACGTGGCGGAGTCGGCCTGTTGTTGATACAATGGCTGATGAAGAATCGGTTAAAAGCAGCTCCTCGCGAATCACGTCCATAGTAAATCACGTAGAAGTTCTAAAACAAGTTTTTCCCCAGGGTTTTTTTCCTTTACCTCCATATAGCACTCGAAACTCTTTGTGGAATAATATTCATATCCGCACTCACGGCTTCTGCGCTTCATTTCAGAAGTGAAATAGAGACCGCGTCGGGGGAGCACGATCTGAAAATTAAAAGGATTTCAAAATCTGTGTTTAAAATAACCTGAGCATATTCCAAGACAGCTCCCTCGCCATGGGTATCCTCATGAGCCAGAATAATGTTTTGAGCCCCTAAAAATTGATTTTAAGAATTTTGGTGTGGCTCGATTATACCGATCAAAGGTTGGAAGTGAGCATCATCATTTGTCGCTCCACCGTATTGATCGTTGACCTGGATTCATACTTTACGCTTTATTATCATTATTTTTATACCTGGGTGAATCCTGGAAGAATGTTGATGGCCGATCTGATCCTGACATCAAGCTCACAGAACGGTGAGCCCGGGTCGACGATTCGGATGGTATAAGATCCGGCCATAACCGCTCCATTAAGATTAAGCGGGAGCACGGCCAGATAGTTGCTGCTCGAGGTGACCAAATTGGTGGGGAGGCTCAGCGAGGTGTTATCAGGGGCGATGACCGTGATCGCATTCGTGCTTCCGAAATAGTCGAGCAGGAGGTGGGTGGCCGCATTTTCAACCTGTAGATAGCAAAATATAGTTTTTAAATCGTTTCATAATAATAATGTATAAGTTAGACAAAACCTACCGGGATGATATACTCTGAGAATGAGCAATTTTCGCTGACAGCTCCTCCCATCACCCATCCAGAGTGGTAGGAGTATGGGAAGTAGACACCCAACCAATTGAAGACGAGCTCAGTAGGAGAGAGCTAAAAAAGAGCTAAGTATTTAATAGCTATGCTTTGTAATACCGGATAGATGCCACCACCAGTGTATCCGGCAATAGTCCTCATAGCATCGACAGCAGGTGTGTTCCAGCCTTCATTACAAGGTGAAGAGGTACCAGCCAGCAGGAAGAACACCTTAAAAGCCACAGTACCTATAACTTTTAAACACTACATACCTTCGATCGACTGTTCTGAATTTGATCGATCACTTCATATTGAATTTCATGATCTTCAGGGGAGGAACGGGTGACGACAACAATATCCTAAACCTCTATAAAAGTGCGTTAAAAGTTATATACCGAGTTCGGGGCCTGGAAGATGGGGTTAGCGATCATATCGGAGATGATACGAAGGTAGGGGCGTTGACAGGCTAAAAGTAGGTAAAATTCGAAGCGGCACTAGAAAATACTTGTAGTATCACAGCTAGCGTTCGGGCAACCGCGTCCAATGTTGTTTAGGCCAGTGATCAGATCGGCAAAGTTGTTGGAATAGACCGGAGGGTACCAGTAGGCTTTGTTGGAGGCTGGAAATTAACAGAATTTGAGTTGTGTAAGTTGAAGCTTACTAGAATCGAAGGGATATAGGATGTAGCTGTTCCACCACTCGGGGACTCCAGTTCCATTGGTGATTTGGTTGATGATGGTGGTTAGGTTGCGCCTAGAACAGCGATAGAGTTATATAGATAGAGAGAGCGAGAGAGGGCGAGCGCAGAGCGAGAAAGAAAGCGAGAAGGGAGAGAGAGAGAGAGAGAGAGAGAGAGAGAGAGAGAGAGCGAGCGAGAGAGCTAGACAAAAATAGATTGACAAAACGAGAATGCCAGCGGGAGCTATATAGAGACAGAGAGAGAGAGAGAGAGAGAGAGAGAGAGAGAGAGAGAGAGAGAGAGAGAGAGAGAAAGAGAGAGAGAGAGAGAGTGGGAGCTAGGCGAGAGATTTGTCCTACTTGAGCAAGAAAATCGACGTCGACATGAGGGTGGACGTCTCCAATGCGATGGCAAGAGTACGGTTGGTCTCGGCATGAGATGGATGCGGGTATGGCGGCTCGCAGAATGCTAATTTTTATATTTTTTAACAATTTTTCAAGACAAATACCCAGCTCGCAGAAGTCTCCCGTAAAGGCCGATGGGCAGGCGCATTGGTTGTTGCCCTGCACAACACCACCGTTCTGGCAGACCGGAATCGAGCACCGGCTTCCGGTCCAGTACTGTGGGCACACGCATTGACCCTGGTAGACGTAGCCTCCGTTGTAGCAGAAGCTTTCTAGACTTTAGCGCTCAAAAAAATTCAAGTTTTGCATACGGTAGATGCCACAGTATGAAGAAGCCAATCGTTCGAAGGTGTAACCGTACTGATCAATTCCAGAGAACTAAAATATTTCATTTTTTAGCTTTAATTTTCACATCAAAAGCTAACGCTCATCTTTAAGCTCCCACCCTAGCGAAGAACTTGTCGAAGTAGTTGCCCATGTTTTGGCAAGTAAAGTTCTGCGACAAATATCGGTATGAGCACTGGGCACGATCCTCGAAGGTCATGGCATTGTAGGCGGAGTCTAAAAGATGCTTATGACTTTAATACATATTATTTTAATTAATTTTAAATTTTTGAAAGTATGTATTTTAATTTAATACTATTTTAACTTACAGTTGAAGCCCATGTACACATAGTTCAATCGTCCCTCATTCGACGGGTGACGATCATCGACGAACATGTTCAAGCCGGTCGTGCCAGCGACGAAGTAGTTGTTTGCTAAATATCGGTATTTTTAATGAAGTATTCAACTTACTGGCATTCGAGTTAGCATACAGCTCTGGGTAGTCCATGTGGGTGTCCTGGACAAAGCCAAAGTAAACTTGGATGGTGGACTGGACGCGGGCTTGGACGGCGCAGGATCCGGAAGACGATTGGACCTGGAGCTTCCAGAAGCCACCGGGGAGAAGGTCTAAAAATGTATAAACTTTAAGGTTTCGACTACTTACTGGTGGTCGGGTCGTTGGGGATGACGTCTTGGCCAACTGAAAAAAATATTATGGATTTTATTAAAACAATAAAAATGAAATTATATGAGACAGAGTTGTAAGTGAACTATACATCGGAACTTCTGGCAGATAATGTAGTGGGTCTCAGTACACGGGACGTCCACCCAGAATCCGTCTCCATCCATAATTGCGCAGTTGTTGGCAGCGTTGTTGGGGGTGACGCCGTTTTTCCAGTTGGCGTAGGAAGTGTTAAGCTAAAAGGAATATAATCGTTAAGTTAGAGAAGGAATGGTTTTGAAAGAAGAAACGCTTTGAGTTTAGTTCCCAAAACAATTTGCATGAAAAACTTCATTTGCCACCAAAACACCCTTCTTCTATGATAGATATTTTCCGGATCTTGTTTTCCGGATCATCTACTTGAACATCACCTCACACCGTTGCACTACAAGGTTGTAAAATATATACTAAGATATGGGTCTTAACCTGTCGAGTATTTTTATATACTTTACACCCTTGTAGCTCAAAGAAAACCAGAGATACAGTAGGTGGAGCTCAGTTTGGGTAAAGGACACCTCAGCAAGCGCAACAGCAAGTCATGTAACTCACCAATTGCACCGGCTGATTCTGATCCGCGGTATCCCAATACCACGCCGACCCAACCTTCGTCAATCCGATCCAGTTCTGCACACCAGTTGTCTCCTCTTCAAAATTTATGCTAATTTTTAAGGCTAAAAACCCTTACGATGAACGTAAGCCTGCTGTTCTGGGTTGAAGATGTCAACCGACCAGCCGCCAAGAGCGTGACAGCGATTGGAAGCATCGCGGAATGGCAGCATAGTCAGGATGAAGGAGTAGCACCCACGCCCGAAGAACTCCCAACCAACCGGGCAGGCTAAAGGATGTTTAACGCCTTACAGAAATTAAATTACGGATGATAAATTGGTCGATTTCCATGTAGGTCTCCTTGACCATCACCAATTCAAGGGCGTTGTTCCTGGCGTTGGTGCCGTCGGGGAGGAATACGGTGGCCTAAAGGTATGCGCCTGGACTTGTCTTAAGTCCCTTACCGTAACGTTAGCTCCATTAGACACAACAGTCATCGACTGAGTTCCAGAATCAACTGGCAGGTAGTATGTCTGTGGTTGCGTGCAGTCATCGACGTAGGTATCGAGGATGATACCGTTGTTGTATTCGGTGAGGATGAAGTGGTACATCTATTGGAAAATATATAGAAATAGGTTTTTAACGTACTCCTCGAATATCCGTAGTCGAGTACAGCCAACCGGCCGAGAAGATGAAGAGGTTTTGGATCTCATCCGACAGCCAGCCGTCCACGCCGTTGCATAGTCCGGTGTTTCCAGAGATGGTGGCGATAAAGTTCAGCTAAAAAGCATATGAAGCTGTTTATCTTGTTTCTTTTCCAACATACCTGAACTTGAACTTGCTCCACAGCTGCCATAATCTGCACTGGCAGAATAGAACTCTCTTTGACACCGTTCGAGTCCGAGAAGACGAACACCGGCGACCGGGCGTACGAGTTTGAGGCAGCCATCATCATACCGGTCTCCATATAGACGGAGCAGTCCTAGATTTTTATACAACTTGAAAGAGGAAACTATGAATCTACCGGGTTGGAGGCGTTCTGGTAGTTGGCCAGGTTGGCGGCGACATCTTGGACGGAGCGGACGAAGCCATCGACACGTTGGGTTTGGGAGACGAGCTGGGCGCCTAGAGATATAAATCTATGTATACTCTCATTTATGCAGAGAATAGAGAGTGAGAAGAAAGAGAAAGTGAGACAGATGGAGAAAAAAGACAAAGAGAGAGAGAGATGGAGAGAGAGAAAGAGCGGTGTTCATCCTTGCATTACGCCCACCCGCTGAATTTGATACACCTATGTACACTACAACGTACGCAGTACACTAAAGCTCTCCAAAAGTCCTAAAACCCTACCCTGGTTGTTCATAACGATCAAATTGTAGCGCTCGAACCACATGGGATTGTGGAGCTGGATGTCGCGCACGAATTCCTGGACTCCAGTGGCAAGCTGTTGCCAGGTCTAAAAAAATTTGCCCGTGTGGTCTTTCTTAAAAATCCTTACAGCATTCATCGATGGCAGGGTCGAGACAACAAAAGTGAGGGACCGGCCGTTCGGGGTGAACATCGGGTACTCGTTGATGACCAGACACTTTTCTGAAATCAGAAATGTGCATGAGCTCCAAACTCCTACGCTCTTCGCAGAAGGTTCCTCCAAGTCCCACGGGGCACTGGCAGATACCATGGGTGTAGACACCACCGTTCTGGCAGTTGTAGTCCTGGCAGTATTGCCCTGAAAGTTAAAAAATAGTATTGCAAATTAATAATTAGAATATTTTTCTGAGAAAAGTTAGAATTACCAGCATAAAGTGGCGGGCAGAGGCATTGAGTGGAGTTGTTGGGATCTGGGACTCCGCCATTAATGCACCCAGTGGGCGGGGCTTGGGTGGGGGCGCCTGGAAAATTTAGAATTGTTTTTAATAATTAAACTCATTTACGTAAAAAATGAATTAATTGTTTTGAAAAAATTGTGCTTACGTCCAGCGCAGTATCCAACGCTGGTACGCTGAATGGTGTAGCCTTCTGTATCATCAGCATAGACCTAAAATCGAGGTTTTATTTTGTGATTACAAATTCGCCGTTTTGAATTTCGAAAATATCCAAAAATTTTCAAAAATTTGAAAACAATTCGAAAAATAATAGATTTATGGCTATAATTACAATCAGCTTTGGAAAACCAAAAACTCACAGTAGCGTAGAACACCTGTCCGGGGTGCTCGCAGAAGTTGGTGGTTCCGAAGTAAAGATGGTAGCCGCACATTGTACGGTACAATCCGTTGGAGAAGTACAGCGGGCGGTGATATCCTCCGTTGTCGTTGGAGACGATCATCACCTCGGCGAAGAGGCGGAAAGGGTCGATGACACGGCCGTAGATACCGTTGATCTGGGCGACGATGGCGTTTGGCATACCTTAAGAGGTTATATTTAAACTATACCTATTTTAAAAAGTTATATATAAGCGACCTACCATAAATAGGTTCCGCCGAAATAGCGTCAGTGTAGACGGCATTGGTGACACCGAGGAACAAGTCATAGTCAGAGCGAGCGAAGACACGGTAGCTGCAGGGGTATTGGGACTAAAACAACATTATAAAATATGTATATAAACTATTATATAAATTAATGAAAAGTATCGAAATATTACGTTGTAAGAATTGAACCGCATGAGGTACTCTCCACGGATGATCTTTTCTTGCGGGATTGTGTAGAAGTAGTTGCGGCCATCCTGGAAGACCTGGGGGCTCGAGACGGTGCCGTTCGGGTCCGTGATAGCGATGAGGAGGTTTTCTGTAAAATTGTAGATTTCGAACGTTGTATTTGTTATAATTTGGATGTTTAGATGGATGTGTTAGCCGAATGTAGAAATTCGTGACGGCGAAATTTCAGAATGTCAAAATTCAGAATGTTCAAATTTCAAAGTGCCGACATTTTTTGCATACGTTCTGTGGGTTTTTTTTTGCAGATTTACCTATGTAGATTTCAACATTGGGTATTTCGAGTTTGTGTAAATTTTGGCATTCTCAAATTCTTGCGATATCACAAAATTTCGACATTCTGAATTTCGCCATTTTTAAAGCAACCCTTTAGACGCTAGCTCGAAATCGAAGAGTCCATACCTCCAGTAGCAACAATATGGATGTACTTTGTAGCCGAGTCCGCGAAGAAGGTACGATACCCATCAAGTGTGCAAACCTACAAATTTAATTTTGCTTTTACTGAACGTATTTTTCATACCGTAAGATCATCGATCAAGACCTGGTTGATCTTGTAGCTGGTCGAGCGGACAAGGAGAGCGGTTGTCTAATCAATTAGAAGATTTTTAGTACAATTTAAGCAATACCTGGCTGTATCCAGACTGGCTGAGGCCCATCACCAAACCTCCCGTCATATAGGCGAGAGTTCCCATAATTCTGTAGCCCTCCGAGATCTCGTCAACCTTGCAGGTTTGAGCGCTCGAGGTGTTGTGGAAGAGGGAGAAGATCTAAATTTAATAATTAAAATTTTTAAACTTCTGTAATTACCGGCAACTTCTTGTAGGCGTTCACTTCAGCCACCCCAAGGAAATCATTGTAATCCGAAGCCGGGGCGTCGGTGAAGTGGTAGATTGGGGACTTGTTGTAGGTGGTCTAGTATCCAAAGGTATAATTTGTACTTTAAGATAGTTTTACCGCTCTGAAGACTTCTTGAAGCGCTCCAACAGCCGTATCATTGCAGTTTCCGCTGACCGTCGTCGAGTTGAGGGCGGTGAAAGCGTCGTAGAAGTTTTGCCATTGTTGTTGGCCATAGAGGTTGCGAGTGTAAACTAAGACAATTGATTTTTAAGGTATATAAGTAGGCTTTAAGGTACCTCCATTAGCATAGGTGACCAGCAAGAACGAGCGATACGGCTCGAGTCCGGGGGTGGTGGAGAGGAATTGCATCTCGTTGTAGAACTAAAAATATATTTTGCTACAAAATACAAGATTTTTACGTACCACTTGAGCATAAGCATTGACATATTGATTCATGCTCGAAACGGCACGCCAGACGACGACCAGGGTACTGTAGTCGGTCAAGAAGTCCTCGAGGTTTGGTGCGCAAGCGACTAAATATACCTAGATGCCTAACTATGGGTTTAACGTACCGTTCTGGCAGTTGATTCCAATAAATCCAGTCGGGCAGATGCAAGAAGACTCGGTCGGGTTCAAGAAGCCGCCATTCATACACTGCGGCTTCTGACAGGACGCTCCAGTGAAAAGCTCGCGGCAGAGACATTGAGCATTCGGAGTTCCACCGTACACCAGGGTACCTTAAATTTACATACCTCCAGATGAGGTAACTTTTAACGTACCTCCATTCATACAGTCCTGTGGGGGTGGCTGGGTAGTGGGTGGGGGTGTAATGGGTCCCGCAACGCACGACCATCCAGTCTTTGTGCGTCGGAAAGGGTTTCCGAACGAATCGATACCATCAACCTTAAAATACCAATATCTGGTTCTTATATTTATTTTTAATACATATCTAATTTTTGTTTCTTCCATTAACTGCCGATTTAAATAAAATGACTTACCACAACTTGGTAGAATTGGCCAGCCTGGCAGGTGAATTTTCCGGCAATGTATTGGTCGTAGGCGCAGCCGTATCTAGAATTTTAAGCATACTTTAAAGACTATCAATACTATAAAAAATCGTACTTTAATTGAATATTCTCATATGTTAATTTAAAATTGCTTGACAGTCTAGATAACAAAACCAACTAATTTTTAAATTTTACTATGACTTTTTGGTCAGTTTTTGATAATTTTAAATTATAAAAAACGATACTTTAAATAACTTTTTATAACTTTATGTTTCATATTTCTTAAATTACCGGGTAGTCAACGGAGATCGAATAATCGGGTCAGTCCCTCCTCGTAGAGCCAAGGAAGCGGTGGTAGGCACTACAAAAATACAATTTTTGTTTTTAATTTCTCTCTACCAGCTCTGATTTCCGGATGGTACGTATGCACGACCAGATTCTGCATCTGGCCCTCGGTCGGGCTCGTGCCGTGGGGAGGGAAATCCGATTGGGGAGTGTCGACAAATCCATGGGTGATGTCCAGCTTGCTAGCTACCTAAAAATTCATTTGAAAGGAGTTGAGAAGTGTGGTAGCCAGATGCAGCCGCAACCTCGCCGCATAATTTTTATGATTTTTTGGGCGTAAAAAATGCGTGAATTTCAAAGTTCGGACGCTATTTCTGGAATTCTCAGGCAATTTTAAGCATCTAGGGTTTTTTAAATTTCCAAATTGACCCAAAAGTCACAAAAATGCAGGGCATTACGACATATAATTCATGCGGGCCCAAAAAGCCGATTTGGCCTCCAAACAAACATGTCGTCGTTTTTTCCAAATTACGTCTCGGCAAGAGAAATTGCGGTATGTTTAGCGGTATTCCTTCCGTTTCTCTCACTAATTGGCTCGATTCCGGATAACTCAAATTTCGACTTCATTTAACGTTCCAACGCCCCTTTAACGTTCTGTCCCTGATCTTTCCCTTTTCACAATTTTCGGCTCCCCAGAATTCCTGACTGTTCTTGAAACAGTCAAAAGGCAGTAAAAATTTAATAGCTTTTGGGGAGGGATGTTTAATTGGCGTTGCGAGAAGGGGGTGATGGTGATAAGGGGGTTGTGGAATTGGGTGTGGCTGGGTGAGTATTTCTTTGAATAAATTATGGTAGGCCGGGAAATTTGAATGTTGTTAGAAGTAGGGATTTTTCGCAGCTTAAAAGTTGGATAACCTACCGTAATCTCGATGGCGCAGAGATTGGAGGTCTGTCCCTGGAGGTCGATTTTAAGGGAATATTTTCCGGGGGCGATCGGTTGGTAGAAGTTCATGTTGTGGCCAGGGCTGGGGGCGACGGCGGTTGGTGGGACGTGATTGCCTTAAAACGGAATATAAATTCCAATATTACGTAATTAAATTATTTTAAAGGTATAAACTCTTAATTTTTTACTATTTTTTAGAATTCGTGTTTTTACAACTCCTTAGTAAACCTTTTGAAGGTATCTAACCATACCCGACGAGTCGGTCAAGTTCATGATCGGTACAGCGCCATCGGTGTTGGTCTTAAAAAACGAATTTATGAATGGTAGTTGTACAACGAGTAGTACTGTCCTAAGCCGAGGCCTAATCCAAAACCGAAGCCTAACCATAACCTTACCTGGATGAACAAATAAGTACAAGTCGAGTCGACCGGCACGTAGAAAGTTCCCATACAATTTGCCGGGGCGTAGATGAACTCAACGAGCTTGTCGGTGTTCTGCTCGACCGGTACGGTAGTAATATTTGTACACAACGCTAAAATAACAAATTTTCAAGGATCCACTATATAAAAAAAAAAAAAAAAAAAAAAAAAAAAAAAAAAAAAAAAAAAAAAAAAAAAAAAAAAAAACGTATATTTTCTCCTTAAAAATTCCAAATTAACATACGATTCTCGCAATAGGTTCCAGTCCATCCCGGCGCGCAATCTGGCATCATCGCCAGCGCAGCGTAAACGGCCCGCTTTATCCGGTGATGGAGGGGCTCCACTTCCTGGAAAATCTATTTTTGAATAAGGTTTTTAAAGTTGTAAATTAAGTTTTCTAAGTTCAAAAATTTCCAAAAAGATCAAAATCATTAAATTTCGAAAATTTTGAAACTTACATCCTTGTAATAGTTGATAGCATTGACATGCGGGCCTTCCGGTTCGGGGAAAAATGAGGTGAAAACTGAAATTTTTTATATGGATGTTATTATTGTTTTGTTTATATTTTTCCGTATTATTAATTACATCAAAATTACCGTACCTTTCCCCCAATTCGGCGCTGCTAATGTGGAGCCCCCGAGGAGGGCGAGGAGGAGCAGCACAGGCCGCATCTCCCTTTCCTTACCTAAATTTAGGTATATCTAGCTTACTTATTTAAAAAATAGCCAAAATTAAAGGAGCTTAGAAGTACGGACAAGTTTTTAAAACCAAAACCAAGCCCAAAATGAGCGCGTCCTGATTTGACAACGAAGAGGTGTGTCCACACCGCCCTCTTTCCCGTAAAACGAGCTCGTAAAAAGAAGACACCACCCAATGGGGCTTCGTTTTCAAGATGGGCGAGAGTACTCGTTACAAACGTGGCGCCGGCACGTAATTTCCCGTGATAACGTCCATAATGGCCCTCCGGGAGACGCGGCACGACGCCTCATGCTGGGCGATTTTGGGGCATCGGGGATAAATTAGAATCGGGAAAGTGAAGTCATTGGGTGGGTGTGGGATTCTGTAGAAAATCATCATTTCTATATCTGGATCGTTAAAGATGCTGATTTTTATTGTGAATTTGTCTTTCAAATTAAAAATGATTCTTTGCGCTGTGATTGAAAAAATAGATAATCAAACGTAAGCATTAGCATGTCGAAATCATTTGACGTTGAATTTCGTAATGTCAAAATTCAGAATGTCGATATTCCATAATTCCGAAATTTCAATATGTCGGCTTTTTTGCATAGAATTTGGGGATTTTAAGGGAGATCTTATATAAATTTCAGCATTTTCAAATTTCTGCATTATGATTTTCGACGTTTTTAAACCAACCCTTGCGAGATTCGTGATACGATTATGTAATTTGAAAGGACAAACTAAACTAAATTCTAACTTTACTGACCCTTGAGACCCCCAAAAATTTTGTTTTGCGCACCTGGTTTTCAAAATTATGCGGTGATTCTCCATCAAAAATAATTTATCAAAATCACCACCACCAATAAATTATCAAAATTCCACATTGCAACATTCTGTACAAACATAATATAGTCAAGGAATTAGCATATAAACTCCTGGCCTCGGCTGTCTTTCGAAAGTCGAACCGGCAAAAAGCCGATCTCCCCCTTGTTGTCGCCCATATTTTCGGCAATCACGCGCATCTGAATAAGCAAATTTAAAGTTTAGTTCTCGTAATTTTACCTCATAAATGCCGACAGGCAGCTTTCGGCATTTCAGCTCCCAACGTTTTCCTCCTTCCTAAAAAGTAATAAAACAAATAATAAGTAGACAAATTAAAGTAGAAAAAATCGATATAAATCTCTGTATTTTATTTACCTTTTGAGAAGCAAACGCCTCCTTTAAATCCAAAATATTTTGTTGATAGAAGCAATCCCCTCGCTCTGTGCAAATACTAAGCGATAGTCCGTTGGTCGTTAGATATTCGTAGAAACAGAAATATACTTCTTCAGTCAATGGAATGCTAAAGGGGGTTTAAAGCTTCAAAATAACGTTATAAAACTTACTTAATTTTCTCGGTGACAAGGGTATAGGAGTGGATGTGAGAATCGAGGAATGGAGCAACGAGGTATTTTTCGGCTGTAAGAAAACATAGAATTAGCATAAAATCTGCTAGAATACTTACAGTTTCCGGGCGCTGTATTGATCCCAGTCAACGGATTGCTAACCCGCCCCGTCGATCCGATTTCCCATTTATTATCTCCGGACGAACGCCAGAATTGACAAGATAGATCTATAATTAACGTTACAACTTTTTTGTTTTTATTTTTAACTTCTCCAACTCGCGCAGTATTTTTGGAGGTCTATTTTTGCATGATTCCATCGAACGGCCGTGGGCTAATTGCCCCTGTGGTTCCCCCCGAGGGCCCGAAACCGGTCTCGAACCACCGGATAGGCATGGCAGCCCGAAAAACAGGTATAGATTCGATTTCACGGGCGCGTGCCGCAGCAGATTAGCGAGTGAAACCCGACGTTACGTTGTAAGTTTTTGGGGTGCGTAGGTACGAATCGATTTGAAAGTATAACAACGGTATAGAACGTTGTTGGAGGTCAGAAAACGTCTGGGGACACCAGCGCAATTTTGTATTGACTTGCCAATACTTTTAAAAGCGTGTTTTTGACTTGACAAGGCCTTTAAAATTAGCGTCTATTTGGAAATTCAAAATTTCTTTAAAAGCTCGAAATTTAATTAGGCAAATTTTGCAGAAAATTCAGAAATCTTCTGCGAAAAATGTCGACATATTGAAATTTCGACATGTAGAAATGTCGATACTATAAATGCTTTTAAAATTGCGAATTTGACTTCCCAACACCTTTAAACTAGTTAACATACCTGAAGGATTGCAGCTCAACGCCAGACACTGCTCAAAAAGCGAGTTGCTAGACGTAGATGGGAATCGTGGGGGACGATCGGCATTCGTCTTCGAGTTCGACGTCGAGAATGCTGGTTGCGGTGCCTTGATCGGGGCGGTGTCATCGTAATTCGGGGCATTAATATCTTCCAGCTGGCTGGAGGCGATGCTTTGGATCGACTAGAAAAAATCTTTATTTTTATGTTTTTTGTAACCTCAGATTGCTGATCCCTTTGGAAGGTGTCAATGAGGGTTGGGTGTTTCTTAGGGGAATCGCCAGCACAGTTGAGGGTTCCTTGAAGCTAAAAATAACACTGTTTAGGTTAGAAAAATTTTACAAACCTGGATATCCTGAATAAACATGGCTCCCCCTTCAACAGCGGCAAAATTGTTGGCAGCGAGTACGATCTATGAGAATTAGGTTTCTATATTTTATATACATTTTAGCGTATATATAAATGATTGATCTATATTTTATATATATTTTAAAGTATCACCTGTGATGGCTGGCTAGGATCGTTGGGCTGTGGAACATCAATTTGAATAGGAGCTCCATTGTGAATCGGGATATCCAGACAATTGGCCAGTACCGCACGAGTCTCGGCCACGTTTTTGGAACAGATCTGGAGTTTTGGCTGGCTGTTCGGGTCACCGATTCTAAAGGTCATAGATTTTTGATGTGGAAAAATCATTCTTACTTGCTCTTCCAAGCCGTGATACCCAAAACAAGATCAGTTGGGAAGCAGGGCAGTTGCTCGGAAATTAATTTTCCGCCTTCCCATCCTCCTCGTTGTCCGGAGATGATAGCACCGGCGTTGGCTTCTAAAAACGATTATTATTTTTCCGGCATAAATTAGCTGAGTTTGACCTTCAAAACTATTTAGAAACGTAGGAAAATGCTTGAACTGTAAAACTTTTCTCGAAAAATCGATATTTTTGTATTCCTTGAATAAAAATAGAGGAAAATTTTTGCGTTTTTGGGAAGGGAAAAGCGCTTAGAAACTGGTATCGAATATTTTTATTTTTCTAAAGCTTTAGAGCCAGAATTACCCGGATATTCTGACGTCCCCAAGCTCGACATCCAGCTCTGACTATTCGGAATGTCCTTAAAAATTCACCTTAATTAGCATACGTCCAAGATTTACCTTTGTCATAGACCAATCCAGCTCATCCTCATTCGTATTCGACCATCGACAATTGTCTTCAAAGTTAGCGCAGTTTAGGGTGGTGACGGAGTGTTTCTAAAATTCTGTAGGTATACGTTTCCAGGCTCCACCTGTTCGGAGTTCATCTCCGATCTGAAGGGGCCAATTCTAGGGCCAAGGCCGACTGGAGGGAGGCCAGGCATCGCGGGGAGGCCACCAACAAATGGACGGGCCATGTAGCCTGAATAAAAATCAGATAAAAATAAAATTAGAATTACTTTACCTCCAGAATAACCCGGGTAGCCGAATCCATAACCAGGTAGGCAGGCTGAAAATAGAAATATATGCGTATTGGCCGACTTTTGTAGCTTGTAAATTGTAGTTTATAATGTTTTTAATGAATTTTCGACGTTCTAATCGCTTTTAAAAATCGTTTATTGTTATTAAGGCATCGAAAACTCGGCAGGAAATGTATCAGATATGGTAATTCCATTTTCAGAAGATGGAAAAATTTGAATGATAGCACTACGCTAACCAGAATATAAAAATAGCTCGATTTTGCTGAGTTGGCAGATTTCCAAAAGTCTAAACAAGTCGAAATTTTCCTTTAAAAGTACCTTTAAGAGCCGTGCGCGGCTTAAACCCAGTTATTTCCGCTTCAAAACAAGACCAAACCCTTTGAAGGTACCACCTCAAGTTCCAAAACCTACCCTCAAACCCCTTGGCCAACAATAACATAGTAAAAAACGAGAAGCCCCGCGTCATCTCGTCAGCTCTCGATTGCGAATGTGAGTTTGGTGTGACTGTGCACGATGACTGAGGTAGAGCACCAGCAGCAGCAGCTAGCCCTCGGGGCGGGAGGGGGGATCACGAGCCTTTTCTGCCCCCCGAAACCCAAATCCATCGCCAACGATAATCCATCGGACCCATGTGTGTACAAGCCAGCGCTCTTTTTACTCACTCTCTTCCCGCTCCGCCAAAACCTAGACAAATCCCACTACATACAGAGCCGTATGATCCAGTTCTTTTCGAAAGGGGGTATGGAGGGGATGGGTGGGCGAGAAAAATTGACACGTTTTTGTGGCACGAGAACTTTCGCCGGCAGAAAGCAGTAAAGCTGGTTGGGGAAGTAGCTAGGGGAATATTGAGATTGAGATGAGAGAGCAGGTACGGTATCTGGCGAAGCGTGTAATTTGGAGCTTAACGGCGTTCAGGGCTCTGTCTTTGCCATTAAAAGGACAGTGGTGTTAGGTACTAAACCGCCGCCGCATACTGTATTTCAAGCAGTAACATTCATTTTAAAGGGACGTGGAACGCAAAACGCTTGATTTAATTGTTTTTCATGAATGATTAGTACATTTTAATGCGTCTAATGTACGTATACGTGCAAACGTACAGCAGTATGTACTTTTTAAGAACTAATTCCGTATCGGCATAATCTAATTTTTACTTTACCAACACCCTAGTATTTGCTTTCCGTTTTTACTATTTAAAGATATTTTATGCATGATCAGCGATCATCAATGCGCCCACCTTACGCAGGTTACAAAAATGTACTTATGACGCGCTACCGTAAGCCTCATTCTTAACCGCCATCCCCTAAAAATCGATCCATTTCAAGAAAGATTCCCCACCCCCGCCCATAATTCACACCCGTCACCCCGTAAATGAGGCCGTATGCAAATGTGCTCAACTGGGTCTCCTTGTCTCCCCTCTTTTTCGTGCTCCCCCCTCCCTTTTTGCCTGTCGCCTCAAGACGAGCGTTTCTTCGCGGCTGTCACCGCAAACGAATGACCTTTATGGGGGATCGTTTATAAATGGCCGCCCGGAGCAAAGGCGCCTCGTGAAATGTGTGGAAAAAAGGGGTGAGCCGTTGTCTCGCGCGCTCGAGAGCACACAGTAGCCCTTCATGAAGATTGGTTGGAAAAAGCGGGCCACCAGCTATAGTCGCTTTTTCAGGAGTGGAGATTGGATGGGTGCCAAGTGGTGCTTGGAAGAGCCGCGTTGGATGCAAAAACTCTGAAAATATCGATAATAAGTGATGTTATCTCTAAAACGTCGAAATTGCAGAATACCGAAATTTACATTAAAAAATCTCGCGTAAAACACCCAGATACTTTGCAAAAAATCGGCATTTGAAAATTCGCATTTATGGCATTTTGACATTAGCTAGTGAGAGAGAAGAGAGGGAGTGAGAGAGGAAAGAGAGAGAGAGTGATTGGGGGAGAGAGAGTGAGAGAGCGAGAGAGAACCAGAAGACAGATAGAGAGAGAGAGTGAGATAAAGAGAGAGTGAGAGTAAGAGGGAAAGATACAGAGAGAAAGAGAGAGAGAGAGAGAGAGAGAGAGAGAGAGAAATTCGCCACCTGCAAACTCGCTGAAAACGCGCACCTTAACGGTAAGATTGGAATTTTTGCTTGCAGACTTTCGAGCACAACATAATTGGATCTCAGCATTTTTTCCTTTTCTTCGATTTTCTACGTTATAATAAATTGTTTTATCTGATAATCTCCAACATGGATTAAGGATTACGGTAACTTTTGAAATTAGCATTTCAAATGTTTGCGAAAGGTATAATCCCCTAGAAATTACGGTATTGTGGCAAGATTCAAAAACAAAAACCAAACGCGTTTTCCCACAAAAACGGAAAGAGAAACAGTCATTAGCTAAAAGCTATAACTTTCCAGGAATCAGCGCATTAATGGCAATTTCTGGATTCAAATTTTCATCATATTTCTGTGGTTTTAAAAATTAGCATAATTTTCTTCCCAGCCCTTCTCCCCTTTCTTCCCCTGAATTTTGCTACTTTTTTGCAACACTCCTTCCCCGTCCCCCGGTTTGTTTATCCAGCAGCTGTCAGTAAGGAGTCCCCGCAATGGGCCCCCGAAATTTAGACAAACGACCCAAAGACGGGGCCCAATTTTATGGGCAAACCGGGGGGAAGAGGAAGGAAAACGGAGAGACTACCGTAGCCAAGTGGAGAGAGAGGAAACAGGGGGCCAATCGGAATAAGATTGATCTACTCACCGCGCGTTCCTTACGCAACATGCCACGATACGGCAAAGACGATTCATCACCCACTTAGGGTACTGAGGTATTGGCTTTGTTTAGTGGAAGATTGGGGGACGGGGTTGCGCAGTTTTGTGCGCTAAATTAACATAGAGAAAAACGATATAATTATTTTGAAATTCGCAGGCAAAAATTCAAAGCGCTATTTTAATTTTTTTCTTAATATTTAAATCAGATATGCAAAGTTTTGCTGAAAAATATGGAATCCACGCTTGGGCTTGGGCGTAGGCTTAGACTAGGCTTTTGTTTTTCAAGTGCCAATGAAGCCAGTTTTCAATTTAATAATTATATATATACCGACCATATGCAAATTTCCGGCCACCTCAATATGGCCATACGCAACTATACCGCTCCTTAGGCCCCAAGGGCACCCTTAATGAGTGTCGGGTTGCCGTTTGTCGGCTTCCCCATCCGCTTCTCCCCCTCTTCCCCCCACATACCCATCGTAAAAACACGGCTCATGCAGAATTGATGGCCGTCTAATTGCCGTCGGGGGCTAAATAAAGGAGGGCATTCCGGTGAAACAATCAAAGGGCAACCCGCCGAGACCCCGTCTTGCGCAAACCAATACAGTCCCCCGTGGGAGAGGAGAGAGCTCATTAATTTTGGAAGAGGTGCTGAAGGGGTTACGGTGGGGTACGGTGAATTTTAAAGGGGTTGGCAAGGCATTGTAGCTTTGGTAAGGCTTTTGTGCACCCGCCAGCAACGCAAGTTGTACGTTGCAATGTTTTAAAGGCGCATTGAAGACCGAAACTATGCATTAAAGACTATAGAACCTCAAAAATTCACTTTTTGTACTTTCTAAGCCTTGCATACTTCAAGAAAAACGAAACTTTTTCTGGCAGCTCCGTTTAAGTACATTTTTGTGCTTTGCTATCATAGTGTCGAAAAACATAGCGCCGAAAACCAGAATGGCGAAATTCAAGATGTCGACGTTTTTGCATGTCGAAATGTCATGATGCCGAAATTTCATAATATCGAAATTCCATAATGCCGACATCCTTGGCAAATTTGGGGATTTCCGGAAGATTTTACTATGTGATTTTTGACATCACATTTGACATCGCATTTGACATCGCATATTACGGCATTGTGAGTTTCGACAATTTGAAATGTCGCCATTTTGAGATTTCGACATTTTGAGAGTAACCCCATTTTCATCGTTACGAATAATCGGTTTTTTTTGTTATCTGTTTTCAATTGTCCGCGACAAGCGAAACGATAGATAGATAGAGCGATAATTAGAGCTTTCCCTAAGGAATCCATAGCTGACAAAATAAGTTTTTGTGCCTTGCCAACAACTTTAAAGATTTTTAACAGTTTCAAATTTTCTATTTTTCTGCTTATTACAAGTTTTTTGCTCTTCTCTAAACTTTCGCCAAGCAATCAACACGTGAGAACTCGGATATTTGCCCCGAACCCGAGAGTCATATGCTAATCCGCGAGGTGTGTTGACCTCTGCCGCAGAAATCGGATACCCAGATATCTTGGTAGTAATTCTTACAGGATGCTGGGCTGTCACTGTAGGTAAGATAATCCGCGGGGGGGGTGGTTGTCACAATGTTTGCGAGGGTTTGGGAGCTTAATATCAAGCTCAAGTGGCTTAACTGAATTTTTCGGGGAGCATAGCAAAGATTCTTGTGGAAAGGGGTCTTTTCAGAGCTTTTTGTGTCGTTGTAATTCAAGTTAAGCGTCAAAATCGGATATAAAACTCTAAAACACTTAAGTCCTGCAATTAGTCGCGTTAATAAATTAAAATGTTATAAATAAAAATTTTCTGAAATTCGATTTAAGATATTTTAGCAGCGAAACTTAATGAAAACGTCTTTTCGTGCCTTTCCGGTCGCAGAACGTAATTAAGCGGAATAAACTATAATTAAGGCATTTAGTCACACCCTAGGGAAGTGCAGTATTCAGAATCAATATTTTTTCCGGAATTTTCGAATTATTTTTCATTAATTTTATCACTCAGCTTCTTCCCGCACCTAATTAATCAACGTCACCCTATGCCCCTGGAATGAAAAATCGCATACTGACACCTGATCGCGCAAAGCCGTAAATCAATATGCATTGTCGCCTCCTTGTCGTCCTGTGGTCTCTCTCTCTCTCTCTCGCTCTCTCTCTCTCCCAACCTA